TAAACAAGATGCATTTTCGCCCTATTTTGGTTTAAGATATTCGGAAGTCTAAAGACTGGATGCGAAACACGATTAAAATTGACGACTTTTTTATCTGTGGACGGTGGTTCGTGACCCGGTCGAAATAGAAATATATTAAATTAGTTGGTTAGCAATTATTATTATTAGAGCACATAGATATAAAACATGATTATTTTTATTATAGCCAACGATAGTTTGAAATGAATGGCGTTGCTCTGAGCATCTTAGATACAGTGACTACTTTATGGTCCTGAGTTCGAAGGCTGCGCGTGTCGCCTTTTTTTTCAATCCAAAATAGATTTAAATAAAGCACTAACGGTTTAACGCGCCAAATATATTTTTTTAACAAGTTTAACTAATATATATCTCGCGTTTTAAACCGTTAAAGTGTTTAATTTTAATGTACGCGTAAGTTTTCAATTTACTTCGATATGTTTAAAATGCGTAAGATTTTTACAACCCTAGCTGTATAAAGTCGTAAATCATGCGATTCTCTCTGCTTTTTGTTACCATATTAAACGTTTTGCGGTTTCCACTGGCGACTCCATTAGTATGCGTGTCGTGAAAATCTACTTTGCACCACGTGCAATTGCCGTGCGAGGTACATTTTCAGCTGAGGTACGAGTAACCAGTGCGGATTTACTGATTTTTAGAGCTCCCTCCCTATCCAATGGGTCAGATAGAGGCTTGAAGACAAAGATATATTGAAACTAGCTGGTGCCCGCGACTTCGTCTACGCAGCATTAGGATTAGGAGTAGTATCGCGCATTTAAACAAAATGATGTCTATCATTATCATACATTACATAATTATGTGTAACTAACGTTTATGGCAGCGCACGCCGGAATAGCTCGCGAAGGTAGGATTTTTCCTAGTTACTTGACACTTAATGTCATATTTTGGACAGCGTACACAATATCTATATAAATTGTAGCCTATGTATTATTCTTATGTATAAGCTATATTATTGGAAAGTTTAATTGAAATCCATTCAGTAGTTTTTGCGTGAAAGCGTAACAAACATCCATCCACACATACAAACTTTCACGTATATTTAATAATAGTAGAATTCAATAAAAGTCTTTACAGTTGCCAGTTAGATAAATTTGTAAGGAAACACTCGTACGCGATTCCATCTTGCGTTCGTTCTAATAATAGAAACTTAAAATACATCAAATAAAAATAGTTTTAAAGGTTTAAATAGGATATATTTTTTATGATAGAGGAGGACAAAGAAGTAGGACTCACTTTATGGTAGGTGCTATTTCTCGGCGTGGATATCCGGAAATCCACAGACTGAAACCAAACCGCTAATAAACTCCGACGTTTACGACGACGGAGTTTCGATATTCCGATCACATTTTTAATATCCAGATTTCGAGACGAAACCGTCATGTTTCCGAAATATTATAAATTAATTAGGAAAATGTTGGGCGGGGATCGAACCCACGGCCCATTGGTTAGTAGCCACACGAGCCATAATAATGTAATGGTAGCAATTACAACTGTATTCTTAAGAGTGAAGTAAGAGGGATATATATACGAACTCGTCACACGGTTTGATTAAAAAAGATAGAAATCTAACCTAATATATTAACAAGGTCTAGAAGATCTAGAGTCCGTCCATTATTTTATAAAATCAATAATTTATTTTCTAATTATGAGCCGACGTTTCGCTTGCAGTGTTCAGTTTCAAGTCAGTTTCGTATCTATTTTAAATTTCGTATAGAAAAAGATGGAAGGAAGAATCAGAATTGCCGAGCGCTATTTAAATGAATGAAGGTATAGCCAGCTCCACCTAAAATTGTTTGGAGAACGGTTCTCCGATGCGACATTTCGCGATGGCCGTTAATTCGCGAGGTGTGGCGCGTTGCATCAGCGAACAGATATAGCCACTATCGATCAGCATACTTGGTTTCCTTTATTTTTGCAATGTGCCGCCACTCCGCACGGTGACCTACCCACACCCGCCGCATAAAACGGCCTATTTCGGGATCGTTAATTACGCAAATCAATCGCGGTGGATCGGTTTAAATCCGTAGATAGCTGCTAGGAATTTATAATTATACGAAATTCCCTTTTTAAAATGTAATGAAATATTTTTCAGAGATTCTAGAAATAGAAACAATTTCGTAATGAAGTAGTAGATATGTAAATAATAGTTATTAAGTATTACTGCTAGCTCTAGCATACAAATAAATAAAATATTAGTTATCATACTAAGTGGTTCTTAATCTATGTTGAAGACGTCTATTCTGCACTTTTGTTAGATATATAACTCAATCGATTCTAATTATTACAATTAGTAAAGCAAGTAGCTTGGAAATCATCTAACAAAAAGGTGCGTCTGCGCTGCAATATGGAGGATATTGTGTGTTTTTTGTAAACACTTTACAGAAAGTAATACTCTAGTTGAGCATGCAGCTGACTAAAGACGATCAATCAAATTATGCAAAACTGTTCTGGATGAAATTATAATGAAGTAAATGAAGCAACTGCGTGTGTCCGTCAATTTATCGTGGCCCGCGAGTAATAAATCGATCGTCACGACTCTCCACTGAGCAGGCGACTTATGTGGCAAGCGTAGGCGAATGCATCACCGGGTAAATGCGCTCGCGCAGCTAAGAAGCGGACGCGAGGTCAAGTGTCGTTTCCATGACGACAGATCACATAATTATTTGCCTAACCTTATCATTACCAAGAATTCAACAGACTAGAAAATTAATGTAGTTTATAAAATATTAGACATTTAAGCTTAACACAGCGTATTGTGCCGTTTGTCTTGTAAATAGTTAGGAAGAGTTGTTTTTAATCAAGCTTTAATTACGATTAACATGTGAAAACTGTAATGATTCAAATCTAAAATTGCTTTTTTTTTAACTTAAGATGTAATTTATACGAAATAAAAATTCTATACGATACTACGAAAGAGTTTTTGGTAAATGATAATTTATCTACAATAAACGTAACCTAGAAATACTGGTTATGCACATGTACATTAAATATTCCACTACAAGAAACGGCTCAGCCAGCTGCGCAGACGCACGCGTCACCCGCATGATGAGGGCACGTAAACCGCGACTCGCGACAAATCGCGTGGGTCACCCACTTCATCGATCACAAACTGCGCACAAATACGAACTCTGTATAACCCTTTCTGACACAAAGTCAAGGTAAATAACAATAGTAAAAAAGTGTACGCTACATCATTTGCTTATTTGTGCTCACAACCAAACCCTTACACGATTTCTTAATTCTATTTAGCCGTACACAAAAATATGAAGGAATAATTAATAAATAAGAAGAGAAATGAAAATAAAATTTAGCGATTTGCAATGTCTAAATAAATTTTAGCATTGTCAGATATTTTAAAACACCAACTAAATTATATGAGTCAGCGTAAAAAGTAACACCATAAGTAAGTAAAAACATAAGTAATCTAACTTAAAGGTATACGCAACTTTTTTTATAAGGCTGTGATATTTCATGTACCACGAATTGATCATGACCACGAACTGTTCTCCTCTATGATAAAAGAAATACATACTAACATTCACTTTAAATGAAGGTAAGTAACAAATTTTAGAAGAAACAAATTACTTTATATGGATGGTGAAATTTCTATGACATCTTGAATCTATTTGAGTGGACACAAAAGTCTGATTGATCCAATTCAAAAATGCAATTGTTGAAGATTATTTTAACATATATGTGGTAAATGACTAAGTTACGACTGATGTAAATACTTTTTGTATTCGTCTTTTTGTAATGACGGCGACGCGGGCGCGTCACGCGGCGCATCGGCGTTCCCAAAGCGAGGCAATTAGCGAAATGGGAACCGGAAAGGCAACGAGCTGGTCGCGAGGGACACGGCCTATTAATAGTATGGCCAGCGGATAATCAATATTCCCCGCGCAATCTACCCTCGCGTCTCGCAGTGCCTCGGGGCTCGGGTCGGCTGAGCCCGCATCAAACTTCCTGCAACCGCCGTCTCAAACATTCGAAACGCCCTTGACACGTTTCAGCTACTCATACGTTTTCATCTATGTAGGAGGTACCTTTACTTTGAATAACCTATAGTCAAATCAAATAGTTTTCAAATGATAATGCACACGTGTTAAATTTGATTTCATTGACGATGGAAACAATGTACATATTGTAATTCCCGGGGTTTCGAATTCCGACCTTCTCATGTTTGTCGCAACTTAATTATTTATCCGCAGAAGCGCCTATTGCACATACAAACTTATATTAATATGTATATAAAAATAAAAATGTATATATATATATATAAAGTGTTTTAACTGTGCCGACGCTGTGTGCAAAACTGTATCAATATAGATATGTATACATGAAATATATAGTTGAAGTATTACCGCGAGCTGGTTTAATGAATGACCTAATTATTTGGGTATTAACCGGTAGATTGTAGCGACCACTAGAAATTCCATTCATATCTGAAAGTCAATCTTTATTTCGAATCATCGCAGCCCACTATATAGTTAACTAATATTATAAAGCTGAAGAGTTAGTTTGTTTGAAAACGCTAATCTCAGGAACTACTGGTTCAAATTAAGAAATTCTTCTTGTATATGGTTAAACCATCTATTGAGGAAGTCTTAAGACTACAGAACATCACGCTGCGACGAAACAAAGGCCAAAATTATACATCTTTGCGGTTTTCCGTTGCGTGCGCTGCGAAAAAGGTTCATGATACCCAAAAAAATATGTATGAGGCCTCTATAAAAACTATCTGCGACAATATATGTCTCTCTTTTAAGATTTACTTGCAAAAACAATGGGACGCGACCGACGTCATGGGCACTTAAAGCTATAATTTATAAATATACGCAGCAGATTTGCAAAAACAAATGATGATGTTCAAAATAACTACGGGGACGAAGTCGCTGGCTCAGCTAGTCACGGATAAACCCATTATAGTTCTGAAAAGTTCAGAATAACGCCGTCCTTTCCACATCCTAGCCGACAGCCCCCGGTCGGCGCCGCGTGGCCATAAATCTCTCGAGGGCCGCGCCGTTTGCCGCCGATTCTCTTTTGTTTTTTTCCACTGGTAATAAGATCGCGGACGGACGGACGCGGACGTCAACGTCAGGTATATGCGCAGACCCACAGGGTGGCATCTTGGCTTCAATAGCCAGGCCTAAGTGCGTACACATGTTAAAACATAGGAGACGTCAATTGTCTTAAGTCCAACCACACGTACAAGTCACGTGTTTTTAAATGTAAGACTCCTTTGAAGTTCACGATAGCCTACTGATATCACACAAAAATGCTACTGATATAGTACGTAGGTATAGTAGATACGTATATACGATATGTAATATAGTAGAAACTACAGCATAAAATACTGGAAAAACAAAAAAGAGCATGATACAGGACTACAGTAACACAATACAAGATTACAAATTACACAAACTGTCAACATTGCTACGTATCTACACTAGATGTCTCAGCAACTTCGTCCGCGTAGAATTTTGGCCATCCAAATTTGGAGCGCACGACACGGAAACCCACCCACAAGGATGAACATTTTTCCTATGTATTCACGTTTTCCTCTATTCTTTCTCTCCCATTAGTAACAGCCTGATGTTGTAGCCTAAAGCCTTACTGGATAAATGTTTCAACCAATTCAACAATATTTTTTCAAATCAAACCAGTAGTTCCTGAGATCAGCGCATTCAAACAAACAAACTAACTCTTCAGCTTTATATATTAGTATAGATATATATTTATAATATTAATATAGATACCTACTCAAATCAATTGACGAAAGCTTCATAAAATAATCCAGCAAAGATTAAAGGCAATCTCGACAAGTTACATCTGGGTCTTTTGTTGTCTTATCGTACATGTCTCTGATGAAAACGTCGCGACGAGTTGCTGAGTCAGGGACGACGTGGGTAATTAACGAGTTAAAGGAACCAAGTCTAGTCCACTCGCTGGGGTTAATTGCGAGAAAATAAACAAGTCCAGAGATAATCCATCGACTTTTCAATACGGTCTTTTCCAGATTAGGTATAGCAGATATAACAATGAACTCTTACAAAATAGAAGTAAGTCAGTGAAACGGGTTGAGAACGCCGATGCGCCCGCGTCGTCATTATAAAAAGACAAAATATAGGTCATATTTCAATACTGTCTGCAGTTTACGCGAGTAGTACACATTTAAATAAAACACTTTAACGGTCTAAAACGCGATATATTTTAGTTAAACTTGTTTTCAATTATTTTTAACTACGGCCTTACGGCTTTGCAACAGCCGTGGTCACTGGGAGAATATTTATTTAAAATAGTTTTTTAGCCGACATGTATCTAAAAAATTTCATTAATCACTAATTTTTATTATTCTATATAAGGCTAACTAGAACCCTTCTTTAGGGTACACTGTATAAATATGTACATACTTTGATAAAAGGCTGTTTGGTTGTAAGCATATATACACAAATGCAAACATAAAAAACATTTACTCTAAACGGAGCAAGCTCTATTAAGAAAACAAAACAAAATACTGTACGCATGCCAACATTAATAGAGTTTTTAATTTAGTAAGTCACTAACACTATAATACCAATACTTTATAACACAAAGTTAATTTTAACATGCAGCGAAAAGCTTACCACCGGCGAACTGATAACAAGCAACAACAGTTTCTGATAACAGTGATAACTTTGAACTTACATAATGCGTGACGCATCATACATCGACCATAGGACAACAATATCACATTACCAACAAGATGAAAGGACATTAAAATATATATATATGTCCTTTCTTTTATTTCTTTTTAAATTTGTGTCTGACAATTAAAGTTAGACAATTTATTGAATTTTACTTTTTCTCGCATTTCGAATGTTATGTATTGATGATATATATTTAGTTTGAATAAAATTTACGACACGGGACTTAAACCAGCAGCCACGGCATTCCAAACAGCTGTTTAGACTAATTAAAACTACCGTGCTTGGTTACAGCAGCAGCACGGAATTCAATCTAAACCAATTATAAATATATAATGTGCAAAAACATGTGAAAAATAATAAAGTATTTAAATAACGACATGTAGGTACCTTGCAAAATACCACTTTTTTAACACAGCGCAGCGACGACAATGTTTTTCCTGTATTTTAATATATTTGGCTGTTATAATTTAATCCCGGAACTCAACTTTACCATTTACATTTTACGAATGCCAACGGTTAACACCGTATTGTATTATCAAAATAACAACCTCTCACGCAATGACGCCGCTAAAGTTCCCTAGTCGATAACGAAAAAATCGGAAAAAGTAAATGGTACTTTCACAGCCGTTTAAAAAAATCTGACTTGACTGAATTCTTGGACGGCTGATTAGTTCAGAAACCCAAGAACTTACATAATACATAATTTCTTATATATAAATCTGATTGGCTGACTGATTTGCATCCGATTATAATAAGACCAAGCTTATTCTGTCACCTCAGCTTAATCAATTTGTAGGAACAACTGAAGACGAACGACGACGTGTAGACGTAAACTGATAAACTGGCTGATAATATATTATACTGTCTATAGTTTACGCGAGTAGGAGACATATCAATAAAACACTTTAAAACGCCATATATATTAGTAAAAATTATTATAACTACGGCCCGACGATTCGGATTCTTTGCAGCAGTGTGGTCATGGAAGAGCCCCGTGTGAGCCCGTGACACTGTTTTATTTAATAATAATAATAATATATTATAAAACATTTTCTATTTCGTTTTCTTTCTATATCGGACGCAGTTTTCATTTATAAAGGTATAACAATGTATTAGAAATAATGTAAGGTCAATCAATGAGCTTTGTGTTATGTCAATGTACTTTTTTGTTTTTGTCTTTTATTACCAACACCACACAAGAATTTTCCTTATAACTGAAAGACCGTTAAGGAGCTGACAGTACGAGTTTAAGACTGCTTTATTATAGTACCATAATATATTGTAGAGGTCCGAAAGGTTTTCCAAAAAAAAAACAAAGAGTAACGACGCTGTACGTTAAAGTATTCCCAACTTCTGTACTTTCCAACTTTGTCGTCGACCAATGCCACCCGACCGATGTCGTGAGAGTTGAGGACGCTTCCGGCAACCCTTGCTATTCCCACGAGTATCCGCGAATCGTTGATCAAGTTCGCGAGATACTTCACCCTACTAGGGCTACCAACATGGTACAAATAACATTTTAATAGGTCAATAATATTTTTTTAGTCTGCGTTGCTTAATCTGGGTTCTTTAATAAAATCAACAAACACTTCTCTATCTTAAAGAAACAAAGTGCTATACGCTGTCTGTAATTTACGCGAGTAGTACACGATTTAGTTAAAAGCCTTTTAAGAGTTTAAAACCGTTTATTTGTTAAAATTATTTTTAACTTCGGCCCGTCGTTTCGGATTCTTTGCAGAGGACGGGGGGGGGGGATTAAATAAAAGTCAAATAAGTTTAACTAATATATATCGCGTTTTAAACCGTTAAAGTGTTTAACCTAATAACAAATGCTGTTATTTTCTAATCTTAATAATATTAATAAATGATCACAACTTTTATTTATCTCATCAATACTTTTTTTGTATCAAAAGATGAAAATATATAAAAAGGCGCGTCTCCGTCATCTGTCGTGGGTTCAAGTCCACACCTAGGAAAGTTATTCTTTTATATTGTACAAAACTGTCAAACATGATCTGTATAAAAATAAGAATATAATGTTTCATGAATTATTTGTATACTATATAACGTAAAATCTAGCAAGTGACAACCCTAAAAACCGCGACTTGTATTCTAATTACAATGCCCTATCGTGCATGACGCCGGCTGCATCGGTATCAGCGAAATACGAAACAAAAAACTCAATCCTTTGTTAAAATGAAACCGCCACTGCGTCACCGCGTACCGTCTATATAATATGTACTCGCTGCAGGTAAGAACACTTAATCTGCTGATCTGGGATACGGGATCAGGGCATACTATTGTTTACTAGCCCTTTTCCACGGCTTCACTTGCGGGCTTAAGTTACGAAACAAGGTGTATGCTAAAATAGAGAAACTACTGAATTTCATTCTACGTTGAAGCCAGGACTTGTGTAGCGAAATACTCAATCTAATAGACATAAAAGTAAAAAAAAATATCTTGGCTGCCTTTTACATACACTAACTAAGATATCAACTTGAATTTGGAATACAGTTAATTAACAATTATATTTGTCACTAACTTACGGTCTAAAATATTTTTTATATTAATTTCTTTAGCGCGACTTATAGGCGCCATGTTCTGATAGTCTACTTTTCTTTTTACAAACAGGACATTACTATTGTCTACTGATACTAAGGTGCCATTAGGTTGTATAAAAATAAATGTTTAATATAAAGAAATAACTATTTCATCAATTCAGTTTCATTAAAATCGGACAGGACAAAATCACCTGTTAAAGCTTCACTAGAATAAATGTCACTAATCATTGATGACTGCTAAGTCCGTGTTTTTCTTTTTTGATAGATGGGGTAAGACAAGCACTTCACTTGAAGGTAGGTAAAATACCCCAGCCATCTAGACACGACCAATTTTTGCTTTGGATATTCAAATCCAGATTTCCAGAGGAAATTTCATATAAATTATAAATTGATTAGAAAAATGTTGCAACCGGTAGGTATCAATCCCACGACCTGTTTAATAGTCGTACCTACCATTACACCAACGAGCCCGTGATATCCTTTTCAAACATTAAGCTATATTAAAATTCCACTACTTTGCACTATTTTTTTGTATGAAAAAATAACATGTTTAAACTTGATCGTAATTGAATTTAATTTTTAGAAATATATTTATTACAATGAGTATAATGCATTGTTAAAATATATATAATAAGTTTGTCGAGACTCTATTACACTGAAACAGGTATTAGGGAAGTTAGTATGTCAATAATGATAGATGCTAAAGACTAAATTGTTTTGTTATCAGACACGTTTTCTACTCAGGACACTGCGACGCCAATCTTACAGTATTACACTAATCCGAGAAACCTTCGTGCAAATGTCATTGAACATCTTTATCGATAAGCCATTGATAACATAGGATTGCACTGTGCGTTGCTTAAAGAGAGAGTACTTTATCTCGGAAAGGAGTCGTATATTTGATAAGATAATTGATATAAAACCTTAACAGCCGTGGTCACCACGGCTGCTGCAAAGCATCCAAAACGTCGGGACGAAGTTAAAAATCATTTTCAAATAAGTTTAACAAATATATCGCGTTTTAAACCGTTAAAGTGTTTTATTTAAATACAACTCGACGTTTCGATCTTCTCGAACCGCGGCAAAGTATCAGAAACGTCGGTTCGCAGGTAACTACTAAAAATATTGACTAATATATAAAACTGAAGATTTTGTTTGTTCATACGTATTAGAAACTATGGGTTCGAATTAAATAATTTTTTTGTAAAATATAACTAATACACGAAAAGTGTGAAAAGATTTGGGAAAATTATTCAATATAGGTTTCCGAGGCGTACGCTGCAAAAACGGTTCAAGATACCCAACAAATATGTATGAAAGAATGGTTTCTCTTTAAATTACCTAAAAAAAGTCCCCGACGCTATATGTCTAACTTTTAAGATTAACTTGCAAGAACGACGAGAAGGGACGCAACCGACATCGTAGGTAACAGCTTAAATTTGTAAAGCTGACAGGGTTTTGCAAAAACGAAATTGGATGGTCAAAATAACGATTCTCGCGGACAAAGTCGCTGACACAGCTAGTATTAAACTGTTTAATTTAGTGTACAAGGACCGCTCGTAAACAACACCCAATAATTAGGATATGTAGTTCTTTTTTTATTAGGCCCTTTCTCTAAGGTAAATCATTGTTTCAGAGGATATTAAACAACAATGAAATCTATATATATATATATATACGCTTTTGAATATATTTATTTTCGATTGAGAATATAGTGTGGTGTATATGGTCATAGTATAATTGTTATCGGGTTTATCCGAGTACGTCAATTTTGTCAATTCGGCCATTCTAAGCCGATGTTCTAATTAATACTGAATCAACATGCTAGATTAGCGAACTGTGCATCGAAGTACAATCGCCTACACAAGCGAACTGTACTATTCGAATTTGAAGAGCAGAACGAGTACAGTCGTGTACAGTTAATCACCAACAGGATGCAGCGCGAGTGGCCACGACTCATTTACATGCACGGCCCGCTCTCGGTCCGCAGTCGCTCGTCAACGGCTCATGCCGATCGCCTGACTCGCGGTCGCCATTAGCGAACCGACACAGACCTATGCGACTAGATAAGACATATAACATCACTATTATACGGAACCACCCAAGTCGCTGAGAGAGTTTTACTATCCGGATGAATTTCTCGAATGCCTTAGCGATCAGGACATTGTAACTAAGCACTGAGTTTGACAGGCGCTATAATGACCTTAATTAAATCATGTTTATAAGTAGATTATTTTTTAAATTTTAAATGTTGATAGATTATTAGCTATACATATAGCTAATAATTCATCTAGCTTCATTGATCCGTGTACGTACCTGCGCGCTCATTATCGCGCCGACTACCTGCACCGAGCCACCTACAATTACCCGCCGCCAAGGTTTTTTCCGCGACTGTACCAATTTTTACTGTTCGCGCATTATATTCTCCGCTTTTCAACCGGCAGATTTGTATAGGCTGAATAATCTAGTCCGCACCAGTTCTGCGATTGTTAGCTTACAGTAGGACTCGACTGTACAACTTATTCACGCTGTAATTAAGAGCTTAGGGATTGTACTGCTCCTATGAATTACTTCTAGGTACATATTATATATGACTACAATGTTATCAACTCGCTACACAATTCTGCGAAATTGGTGAAATAACAGAGACAGCAATTCCGTGGATTACGTTATCTGAGTACTTAAACTAAATTTAGTGAAGTATTTGTCTTTCTTGTAATTAAAAAAATCAAAGCCGTTTGTAGCGGCACGCTAATCGTTCTTTAATTACCTAAATAACTATGCAAACAATTTAGATAAACTGTAATTTGACAACCCTGACAAGGCCGTGAAAATGGAAACGTACTTTTATGTGCAACATTGTAATAATTTACTTTAACGGCCTCGAAACAGCGCAACCAATAATTGCTGACCGCTAAGGTTGTGGATCATTGCCGCGCGTAAAATATATTAATGTATAACTTTACTTAACTTATAGTATAAAATATATAATGCTCCTGTAGGGCATTTGTGTGGTATGGGAGTGTAGTAAATCGAGGTGGTAGTTGGAGCTAGTGGAACCTAATTTACCAGAGAAGCGGACGGTTCAGAACCGAGGAACACCATTTGTACGATTTCAAACTTCCATCACCAACGCCATACAAAAGGCGAAATCTAAGAGATCTTGGGAGGTACGCGTCGCCTCCTCGATCTGCTTCTAACCGCGTTTAAGTACTTACGCCCTTTTGGTTTTACAGCCTTCTCCAGCATCACAAGCTCACAGAAGGTGGGGACTGCTTTCGACGATCATTTGAAACGTAAAATGGCTCAATGAATACTTTAATTCACAAACACGATTTTAGCGGGATATTACTTATGTGGAATCGGCGTGACCGAGTCGTGAATAGAAATTCCTGATTTCCCTCATACAAACATTACGGAGCACAAAAAGCTTCCACTTACCTAGCGACGACTGTATTTGACATATACACATGTGTTTTATATAATATCTCTAAAATAATTATCAAACAAAATGCCTTGGAAACTTTCATATTTTTCACATGTACATATCACATGATAGCACTATATCATTTAAAAATCGAAAATAAATTGAAAATTTTCTCGAGAACGCCGACGATGCCAATGCCGGTACTGCCCGAGTCGGATTTTTTAAATAATTATTTTCGATTTTTAAATTAAACAAGATACATACCTGTAAATCCCTATAAAAATGTTTACTCTCCGTTTTTTTTTATTTACTTGATCACGACTTAAAACAAAATTAGCTTTACAAAAATCGTAACGTATATTAACTTTAAAAGTAAGGAAAATCGACTAGGTTTTACATAATGAAAAAATCGAAAAAAGGCTTATTTAGAATATAAAAAAAACATATATATAAATAATCTATAGTTCATAGAGTTTTAGAAACTGCTCTTATCCACTATGCATTACTGGAACTAATAGATTTCCTAGAATTTAGATCTATGTAATGTATTATGATGACATACAAACTCATACAAACATTACTTATCAAATCTACTGTATTGACGTAGACTTATCCCGCATTACTCGCGGCCCAGCAAAGATTACTTCTTACTTTATTGTTCGTCGAATGTTTTTCATCTAACAAGTTCGAAACCCATTTCCAGAACTAGGCGTCAAACTATTTAACATGGACACTAGAGTCGAAAACTTTCTGAATAAGTTTTCAAGTTGACTTGAAAAGGTTCAATGGACTAAGTTACAATTAAGTATAGTTTATGTCCCATTTTATAGTTAAGCTTAGAAATTAGTTTGGTTGTGAGTTACATCTGTGTGTTTAAAAATTAAATAATCATATGATAACTATAGTAATAATAAAAATAATAAATAAATAAAATTAACCGCCTCTGTAGCCAAATAGTTAAACGCATTGCCTAGCATTGCGTTAAACGCGAGAGGTCTTCGGTTCGAATCCCAGAACGGATCAGTGAAACGGACACAAAAATGTGTTCGCCCCATGCCCCACGAGGGGAAAACAGGATTTCACACAGTAATAAAAATCCTATTTTCGTAATGAGACAGACTCTGTCTACGTTTTATTTCGTCTCGAGTGTAAATAATAAAATATTCAATGTTTTCCGAGGATTCGAACCACGGAAATTCTGCACTTTGCTAGACAACGCAATTACATGCTAAAGCTTCGCAAAAAAATCGTCAAAAATAAACTTTGATTAAGTTAAAAAATAACCCTGTTAAAGACGATGAAAAGAAAAATAAACATAGTGAAAGAAGTCGAATACAAATGTATGTACCAAACTCTACTTGGATTATATTAGCAGCGTGAGAACTTACACCAGATTTAGCGGCATTAATAAGCACAATAGATCATTCTCGAAATTACACGATAGTTAACAATTCATTTAAAGTGAAACATCGATCGTATAGTAGATAACGCAGCGTTATTCCCGGAAAGCGTCCGCGCTCTTTGTTTAACGGACGGACAACGCGTCCAAAAGTTAAGCACGTACAAGTAATAACTGGTAATGAGGGATAACAAAAGATGCAGTTCTTTTCAATTAGTTTTTACGATAATGATTCACTCGACGCGGTAGCGAGATTAGAGATCCGGTCATGTACCTACTTACATAACGACTGCTAAAATGCGATTCACCGCTCGCTAAAGGAGAGTAAAGTTTTGAACTCACGCTTAAATTTTAAACTATCTATATTTACGCATCTGTAGTCTAATTGTTAAATAATAATTATAGCGAAGAGGTTTTGTTAGTAAAAATTTTTTATATATTTTGATATTAAATGTTTTAATAAAATTTTATATAAAAAAATGTTTAGGGATTTGAAACCCCAATCTACAGATTAATTCGAGTAATAAGAAGCGAGGACAGACAAACATGGGTTCGCTTGATAGGAGGTAAAATACCCCCCCCCCCCTGTAACATCTACACAAAATGCACTGTTGACCTATTTTGACTTTGGATATTCGGAAATCAATAAATATATCTCCCCGTGACCACGGCTGCTGCAAAGCATCCGAAACGTCGGGCCGAAGTTAATAATCATTTTCAAATAAGTTTAACTAATATATCGCGTTTTAAACCGTTAAAGTGTTTTATTTAAATGTTTACTACTCGCGTAAACTATAGACAGTATTCGAATATTCAATGAAAAATAAAAGGAGTATTGCTATGCTGGTTGAATATTGAACGATCAAAACATTTAATGCAGTAGCGATGATCAATACCTAATACTTTAACAACTTTTAGACGAAGCTCGCCAGTCAAAGAGCATCGCGATCGATAGTTACTGCGGGTCTAAGCCCCCGTCAGTCAGCGTATAGGCCACGCATCGATGGCTTCCGCCGTCGGGTGACGGTAATCGCCGCGGTCGCCGTTTCCCGGAAAGCGACAATGGCTAAAGCAAGCGCTTTTGTTTGCGCCCGCGCCGCTAATAATAATATCTTCGCCACCCGCCATATCGAACGCGTCAGAGAGGCGTCGCATCGCCACACTTATCGCACAATCTCGCCACGGAGGAGAAAATCATTAATAAGTAAAATATCATGCATCGATAGTTGTATGTTTTTTACGACCATAACTATACCGTATACAGTGTATTTGTGTCCCAGAAGTAGTCCACAGTTGTGGGACTATAAAACTGTTCAATCAAAATCAAAATGTATCCTAATACCAAATCCAGAAAGAGTCCTCGCTCTAACTTCCAATACTTATTTTCTTTTCTATCAGCAATATTGTTCCTTTATTACAATATAGTACTGGCAAGAATAATCAACCGGTACGAGGTACTACTGGGATGCATGCGTGAATTAGTTGATAATAAAATTACTTAATAGATATAACATTTAAGTTACGATAAAACTATCAGCGTAAATATTAAATTTATATTTACTAATCATTATAATTGATTCTTTAATTATATGATGATAGTTTTTAAATTATATAAATTAAAAGAGATAATAAAACGTGTGTGATGATATAAGTATCCGAAAACAGATTAAAAAGACGAGTAAAAGCGATGTCATAACTCGGAAACAATAAATTAACTCCATACAAATTTCATATTCTCCACTCCGTACCGACTCCGATGGACCTGTTGCTCGGTTGTGCTTTTACGAGCTCTCGTTTAATATTTAAACAGTTTTATTACTTTTGTTTTGTCTTTACACTTTGCTTTCATTTATTTTTACACTGAACCTTTTTTAGGTTCGGAACAAATGTGGACCACATTTCGAATCCTTTAGAAAAACGCGGTTCCCCTGCGAACGTTTCGTGTTACTCGGCTTTCTATTGTCTATGGGGATTGAGGAAGCGGAAAAAAATGCTCACAATCATCTTGCATCAAGTCTTGCCTTGCTGGCTAGTGTGCGGATGGGGTGCGTTTTAAATTATTATTTGTTAAAAATACATCGCGCATGTCCGTGGCCGGTCATTAAGGAGCAGGGCGGAAAGCCAAGCTGCATGAGATTTGTGAGTTTATTATATTACTAGCTGTCTCAGCGACCTTTACACGGCTTAACAGGCATTATATTTTTAATTAAATTAATCGTTCACTTTTACATTTTTTGGTATAGTAGCATTAACTTTATATGGTATTAAAGTCCAAATTAACTTTTAAATATTTTTAGGCAATTAATAATTTTCTTTTCGTAAGGATTATTGCCGAAATTAGTTCAGCTGTTCTCTTATTAATTGGCTTTTGTGATGAGGCGTTTTCCAACCACATTTAGTAATTTATTCTTTTTTTAAAAGATGTACAATGCAGAAAACCAAGATACTTACTATTATTATTATACTCAATTTATAATTTATTACTCCCATTACCCAAACGTAATACTGTATGGTTATTAATTAATGGGTCATGTTTTTTTAATCAATTGGTAGTTCTGGAACAAAATCATACAAATTTTGTCATAAAGTAGGTGGCAGAAAAAAAGATCTTCGTCTTCTCGGTCACGTTGCTCCTTGGGACACTTTGTGTAGAATCTCGACGGACAGACAGACAGACATTTTTGCTGAATCTAAATCATTTTTGAAATCTTAAAGAGAATAAAGTATATTTTATTTTGAAACATTTAATCAAACTGATCCGTGGATTCCCGAATGTCCTACGCCAAAATACGTAGTGCATCTCATTTAGATATATGATCGGGGTATTTTACCTTCTAAAAAGTGAATCCTATACTTGTCTATCATCTTTTATAAAATCTGAATAATCCTTGATTCCTTTAACACAGAAATTATAACCCTTTGTTGGCGGAAATATTTTCGACTGACTGCCCCTATTTTACACTTTTTTGGTCGATCGTTCTTATTGAGACTTCAAATCAGATTACAGACAGGCAGCTGTACTATCTCCTTTACTTTTCGTTTCCTTTATATTGTTAACGTTCGTTCTGTAACGGCGCGTGGCCGTATGGCATAAAAAAATTAAATATACTCGAGTCACTATTGGCAAGTGACCATATAAATTGCATTACACCGAGAAGAAAAAAAAAAAAAAATATTATAATGTGAAAACACCTAACCATTTGATTATCCGAGATACACTAGGGCAAGTGGGAAGATAAATCTGCATTTAATGATGCACTGTCATGGAAAAAAAGATCTGTTGGTGTTTTTTATTTAGATATTCCTACCACACATTTATTATCCAGATTTCAGACGAAGTCCAACATGTTTCGGAAAAATTATATGTGGATTAGAAAAATTTTTGGTACCGATGGGGAAGAAACGCAAGACCCGTTTATTATTAGCCCCACATTGCTACCATTACACCAAAGAACTCGTCAAAATCAACTATTTGATTATCATTGAATACACAAATACAATAGTTAGTATGATAGTTAGTACCCTTTAGTTACGGACACCTTTTGCCTGTATCTATATCATTATATCAGTATAAAGTGCAAGTAGTGACAGTTTCAACTTTGTGCTAAAAAGGCTGCAAACAGACATTTTCACCAATTCACAATAATTGCATTGTGTACGTCTATGTACTCATAAACCTTGAAATCAAAATCATGTAAAGAGCACAAAAGAACAATTACCTATACAAGCTACATTTTAGAGCGTTCGTGGAACATCGGCGAAGGACAGCGATCTTTTTCCGCGTATTCATTACGAGAGCTACCTGCGGCCCGCGGCCTGCGCTTGCGCTGCGTAATCGCGGACACGTCATCTCTGCGCTATTTCGAGTCGGAAGACACAGATAAACTATCTATTGATCACTAAACCCAAATACGCCGAGGTGTTTTGTAACTTTATCGGGCTTGGCTTGTTAACAATATCTTACGAAGCAAAGCATTATGCGTTGTAGTACTAAAGACTGATAACATTATGATGACTCAAAATAAATCAATGAGTTTAAATTATGTTTCTATACTAAGTTATTTAAAAGTTTATGATTAAGTCTGTACATTCTAAAATCATATAAGATCAAATGAAAGTTGACATTTTTGCACGAATTTAGTAATAAAAATCGAATGTCATAACAACAATGATAATGTAAGAATTATTTAATATTGTTTTTATATTTTGTGGAAAAGGAATTGCTGAGTATTGTAAAAACAAAACGGTCTTAACGGTTTGAAAAGCGTGTATTTGTCAACTTATTAGAATTTAATTAAACTGCGGCTCGACGTTTCGGATGCTTTGCAACTAATACATTTGGGATGTTAAGCCGTGAATGTGTTTTATTTTAAACTAATAGTAGTTACAGAAGAACAGGTATGAAAATAGTACAATGAAGGTAAGAGAAGTTAACTAGAGATACACATATGAATTGACCAATTAGTTTATCGTTATTACCTCCAAGTTGTTTGTCCTCACGGATGATTGATGTAAAACACAGTAATCGACGTACCCTAAAATACCAAACCGGCACTTATAAGTGGGTAGTAAGGTTTGTTTTTCCATACATTTCGGGCGAAGGTTGTAGGGTTGGGCCGTTATCTATGCGTCAGGCGAGCGGCCTCGAACCGCGGCCCTCTTGCACTCGCGAACGGCGAGTGTCTCGACTCTCGATAACAATTACGGGGAGAATTTATTTCGATGTTAGCTGATGCACGATAAAAGACTTTATGCAATTGTTATAAAACTTGTTATACCATCCGCGAACTCTTGTTTCTAGTTAATTTCATTGACGGGTAGTTTGACAAACATTTTACGTCCCACAGCTGGGAAAGTTTAAGAGCTTAGATCTAGATATTGAGGTGGAGGTTAGTGGGCTTTAACGACTGGCGCTATATCATTTGTGATCAATCGGCACAAACAGCTTGATATACACTCTGAAGCACTGCGGTGATAACACTTTGAGGTATTGTACAATCTATCACAAATCACAAAGTACAGGATTCGAATCGGGGGAACTATTTATTTTTATTTCGAACATTTAGTTTAAGTATCGACTCGCAAGTAGGCTTATAGACTAATATTTCGCGAAATATTGAAGATTCGAAAACTGGCCTTGTAATTTACAAAGTGTACTAACCACTGGAACAAAGAGGCAGTTACCAACAAGAACATGTGTTATATGAAAAGTATTTAACAATTTCAATTATTCACGAACCATAAGCCACAAAGAATCGCGTTAAAAGAAACAAAAGCTAAACGCGTCGACGTAGTTTACCTCTAGAAAACGCTTCACGTTTAGAAACTGTTTGAAATTGATCGAAAACTAAGCTAAACACGTGAAAGTGCGTCAGCTACACTGTTTCCACGACGCACGTTCGCTTCAGAGTGGAACATATTCGTGTGAGCATTTGAAATGCGAAGACATTAAATATATAAATATTAATAATTATAACATAATAATATGTAGTAGCACAAAATTTTTGAAGGCGTGACTTCTATATAAAAACGCATCTAACAGAGGGTAAATTAAATTCTAAATTAACTAACTAATATCTGACTGATGTGTTTGTTTGAACGCCCTAACCTCAGGACCTACTAGATTGGGTTGAAAAAGTATTTTTGTATTGGATAGACCATTTATCGAGGCAGGCTTTAGACAATAAATTATCTGCAATGAATAGGAGCGAAAAACCAGAAGAGAATATAGAAAACGGGGAAAAATTTTTCACCGTTGCTTGCGCTGCAAAAACGGTCCAAGATATCAAAAAATAAGTATGAAAGAATAATTCCTTCGCGATTGTCTATCTTTTAAGATTAACTCCCAAGAACGATGGGACGCGGACGATGTCGCGACTAACAGCTACTATTTATAAAGCTGAGGTGGTCGTTTACAAAAATAAATATCATGCCCAAAATAACTATTCCACGCGGACGAAGTCGCGGTCATGTCTAGTTATACAGAAGTTAGTATATGTAGGTGTCTAGTTAGCCATGTTTGGTCTCCAAACGCTTTTGATTACTTTCCAAGAGATTGCTGACTGGGTAAGCGCTAAATTAGTCTTTATTTAGATCTTCAGCGAGAGCATACCATCTAAAATAGGCGTAGGTTTGAACGTGAATGAACACAATCGATAATGCGCACTTGGCGTATAGTCGAGTGGGCTTCTAGCTGATCGTGTAGGTGTAGCATCTAAAAATTCATGCCGCGGCGTCAGCAAATGCAGCCGGTCTCGCGCCATCGGGCTAATGAGTGTCGCGGGGGTTAGCGCGGGTGTGGGGCGCGCGGGGCGTGGGGCCGCGGTAATGGCGCGCGGCGTCGGATGTCGCCGGGGGGTGCCGCGACGATAACAAAATCGCTAGAGAACGTACGCCAGGATGCGGGAAAGGCACTTGAAACAACGTGGTATTTTCTGGTTCGAACACAATATGTGTACATGCGAAAAACCCACCCATATAAGTAGTTTACGCTAATAGTAGTAAATTTTGAATTAAAAACGTTTATAGGTTTAAAATCCACAAACCAACGTTGCAAATGCTGCATAGTGTATATTTCTCATTTTAAACCGTTCTTAATTACACATATAACAAGACATTTTCGCAATTAAAAAGTATGTGTTAGTACTTAGTCGTTTTTTTAGTTAGTTTAATGATTACCGGATATTTCTACTAAGCCCATAGCCTCATTGGGCTGCCGAGTAGTAGTACATTTTGTGTTGGCCAGTCCATTTTAGTCTTAGAGGCGTAATCAGTATGTCAGTCAGTTTTATCTTATCCCTAATATTTTTCACATACGTTAATCAGGTACTAGGACCACTAGTCCACGTAATTACTACGAATTGTCGGGTCGTATTTATAATAAGCATTTCGCGTTTTAAACGTTAAAAGTGTTCCATTTGCTTAGGAACCAATCTCATTTGTTGTTCATTTATCGGTAAACCATAGACAATACTTAAGTATGTAGATATGTATGTACTTAATAAAAAATAAGAAAGATGTCGCATCCAAATCCATCATCGCTCCATGTCCATCGGCAATGCCCGAAATACAGTGCGGGCGACGCGTCGTAAATCGCGACGCGAGTCGGCAAGGGCCTTTGTGTGGCCTCGACTTGGCACAAACATACCTAGTAGCGACTGCCGTAGCTACGGACTTGATACATTATGTACGTACACTGAAGGCTACCTAGTGCTTGGTGGCGATTGTGAAGCGTGAGCAAAAACAGTTAAAACTCACTGACCAAGTTTCGAATTTCAAGCCGTATAAAAAGCACCACTCAAATACGGCTACAATATTTATTAATACAAAGCTCTTGAATTCACAACCTTCTCTGTATTTGTAACGTCTTAACCCTAAGCAAAATGACACGTTACGTCAAATAAAATTCCTATCTACTCTAAATAAAATAAAGTAACTGCAAATCTTATCGCAATAGATTTTGTTTTTATATGTAATGAGTTCTTGTATGCGATTGCAATACATCGCGGAAATCGTAGGCTTGCGAAATTAGCTAAAGTGAGAGAGTACAAAGTTAAATATCAGCAAACAACAAACAGACCGACCGTGAACCTGCTCATTAAAATAATGTACTACTTTTTATTATGCAAGATAAATCACTTGTACACCCTCTTCCATAAATATTTAATAATAGCAGATAGAATAGGTGAAGTGTGCCATTTAATTAATATAACTCTTGTAATAAGGGCTGCCTAGACAGCCACGAGACGACTTTATGAGATAAAGTTCTCAACTAAGAAAAGTTAGCTAGCATCCCGAGCGGAAGTTGCGAAAAAGTTTACGCGACAAAAGTTTTGAACTTGAGAATATATTTTCACGTCGCCGTAGAAAGTGGATGCGTTGGGAATTAATTGCATTAATAAAGTGCGGAGGCTAGGCCGGTGTTTACGGCTACGGTCCGGGGCGGGGGCGCGCGGGGCGAAGGGTGGACGGACAAAGGAGAGGCGCGGCCGGCGTCCGGCGAACCGCGGCTGGCCTTATCACGGCACTCAGTCGATGTCCGCGCCTCGCGACGTACGTTTCGCGACATCGCCAACTTTCCGCGTTCAGTGACGTGATCTTGTGCTGCTCAAAGTGTACACGTGCCGCGCAGTGCGCATCGAAGCGATACTTTTATTGGACAAATTTCCCACCTCGTGTTCGTTTACAATAAGCAAAACGGCTGACCTGTCAAGAATTGTAAACACAACACACGTGCCGGCTCGCAAGTGAGTTTGTCAACAATTTGAAGTCTATCGCATTTTTACTATCAACTTAAAAAATGTTTTTACGTGGTAAACTTTTGTGTGTGATATTTCAAATTCCAATTCGTACGTTATCGTATTTATTAAAAGTAAAAAATCTAACTTGTCGTTACGCACTCAAAGTTACGTACCTAGTAAATTGTAAAATATTTCATCAAACACAATGTTTATATTGTTGTCCTTTTTTCGTTAGTAACAGAGATGAAAAAATAACATTAATATTTTTTATGAGCTAAAATCTAAATTTCCATGAATTAATGTAACTAAGAAGAATGACGACTTTTCATAGGCCATAGACTGTACAGAATCTTTAGTTGGCTGATTTTTGATTCGTTTCTTGTAAATTTAACCCGGCAGCTTAATAACTTCACGTTATCAAAATGTTTGGCACTTGGCAGTCATAGTTTAAGGTTTAGGGCAGTTAAATTTATTAAAAAGCAGAGATCATTTATAATGTGAAAAATATAAAACTCGCCATCGTGTTTTGTTTATGTTTATAGTAAAAATATGAATTACGATTAAGCTAAAAGTGCGCTCATATTTATTGCAAAATACTTCCTTGCACTAGAATCATATGGGCAGTCTTTTCATTACGTTAAACCGTAAATAATATCAACGAGTCCCTACGAAAAATTTACAATAGTGATGCTAAACAAACAAAACAATAGCACTTTTCCCTTAAACTCTTAAATACGATTAAAATAAGCCAAAAAGTTAAATTAATAAAGTATAAAAAAGCAACAACAACAATGTCTACAGAAAGAAATACTTTGATTTTAAAACGGTCAACGCCATCTACCGGTGTTGACGGACAACGCAAATAATGTTCGCAAGGTCACTGTGTCAACGACCCGACAACTTTTGCCGCTTACTGTTGTCGTAGGTCATAATTTTATGCCTTCTTTTTGTTTATCTTTTTCGCAACTTTATTGCTTCCCGTATAAATTCGTTTTACCTCTGCTAACGAGGTTGATCTTGAAATGCTGGATTCATGATATTATTATAATAACGCTGACAATTGGTGACACGAAATGCATTTTAAAATAGGCCTTGCATTAAGATCATTCCCGTTTTATATCCGCGAATATTTTGGCATTGAATAAAGGAGATACCTCCTTTTAATTACGCATTTTTATTATTAATTTTGTTTTCAAAATCATAATTAAACAGCTGGCATGGCTTTTATCTTTTAGATACATACTTTTTTAACACGATCCAAAAAATAACCTCATCTTTTTTTGCAGTAAGCGAGAGGCCAAAATGACAACGAAAGGGAAGCGACCCATGCGTGCTCTCACGCCTGAAGATAAAATCGAGGCAATTCAGCGAGTCAATGATGGAGAATCTAAGGCATCCGTCGCAAGAGATATTGGAGTACCAGAGTCCACTCTTCGGGGATGGTGCAAGAACGAAGACAAACTCCGCTATATGACATCGCGGCTGTCTTCGCCTGACACTGACAAAAGCAATGATGGCGAGCCCCCAGACAAGCGAGCCCGAACCGAATCTCCAGCCGCTTTACAATCACCAGCGACAGCCGGTCTCGATCTCTCGACTCCAGTTAGCGCTAGCCATGGCATCTCTCAACCCACACCTCCGGCTGATGCCCCCGTCGAGCTAACCACTAAACGCTCAGAACCCTCACCGCCACCACACGCACCCCGAGACAGACGCCCTGAACCTGGAGCCAGCGTGTCAATGAGTGCCATAAGCCCGCTATCCGGTCTCGGGCATTTACCTGGCCTCACTCACTCACACTTGGGGTTGAGCTTTAATGAAATCGCTACAAATTTAACATTATTGGCTCAGCTTAACCCGGGTCTGTCTGCTTTATCTGCTCAACCGGCGAGTCGAGCACTACGTTCGGTTCGCTCTCCCAAACCTACTCACAACGGTGTACTGAATCTTAATGACACGAAACATCGTAGCAAATCGAGCCACTCGACAGACCACTACAGGCAAAGTAGCGCTAAATCTAACCACCACGCGACACCGCAACTCTCTGCAAACCAACCTGTCGATGACACACTTTGGTATTGGCTTAAAACTCAACAAGCCATGCTAGATTTAACAGCGCAAACGACAGCTACCCACCCTTTGCAACTCGGAAAACCGAGTGAGCCTACGTTACCACCAAAACCAGTAGCCCCCGCCCCACCTATCGGATCCCATCTTGATTATAACAGAAATTCATGGTTGTGGCAATACTACAAACAGTTCGGAGGAGCAATGCCGCTACCTGAAGATAAACTCAAATCCGCATCACAAGTGCCGAAGGATAAATCCGCTGAAAACATTCTATATTCACACTTGACAAAAGGGAAAACCGAAGAAGAACAAGTCGTCACCACAGCTCCCCCCTCCCCGCCGAGACAACAACAAGAAATACAAAGAGTACCAGAGCCCGAAGACGCGCGAATTTGTGATACCGAGACTGTCACAAATTCAGAAAGGGGAACTGAAAACAAGGAACCGGTAACAGATAAGTCTGTTGACTCCGGTAGAAGTCAGATCAAAGCCCGGACCGTTCTAGACAATTTATTGTTTAATAACTCCAATCAAACGCAAGGGAGCGAGGACAATAAAATCAATAGTACATACGGTGGATGGGAGGCGGGTACTGCGGAGGCGTTGGAACATGGAGAGAAATTCTTAGCCTGGTTGGAAGCGAGCGGGGACCCGAGCGTAACGCGTATGCACGTGCACCAACTACGTGCCCTGCTGCACAATCTGCGCACGCGGCGGGCGGCCGCCGTGCCCGCTGTGCCCACTGCGACCGCCGAAGGGGCACGTCGCAAATAAGCACCCAGTCGGGGACGGGCGCCGAGCTCGCTACAGGGATAAATCATCAAGATCAATTATTACTTTGTAAATAGTCATACATAGTTATTTCGTCGCCAGTAAGCGTTCACTTGTGATATGTGTAGCCAAATTTGCGTACATTTTTCTTTGTTCTAAAAGAAAGCTTATGCGTTACGATTCTTATTTTAAGACTACAGTTAAGTCGAAATTCTGGCGCCGTTTGTGGCAATGAAGCTTTGTCGAGTGACCACACAGATAGATTAATTATCTCTTTCCGACGGTGTTTTAATATGGATATACCAATTATTGTAGTAGACAGTGGACATTGATGTTTCGTCTCATTAATAATAATAACACAATATACTTTTCGATGCACATAATCTGTTACTCGATTAGATTAGTAGTACCGGTGTATGTTGCCACTTTGACGATTACATTCCTAGCAAGCCCGTATATTTCAATCCCTGCGTTCTACCTCAAGTCGAATCTATACTAAGTTACGGCGCGGTGTCCTTTCGCCTCTTAATTATGTACGCGGCCGTGTGAGGTGTCAGACGATAGTCTGGCGGTGAGACGAAAATACCAAATATTGAAAGGATGCGTAGAGAATACATAGGACTCGATGTGCCAATCGTGCGAGCGACGTGTTGTTAAGATAAATAAATATTATGTTGAAGCTGCGCACGTATGTAATTGTTTTCTATTGCTCAGTATTTTATATAGTAGACTTAGCGTCTCGACTCGGAATTGTATTATATGTTAACGTTAACAGTTAAGGATACTGTGATCAAAATTATAAATTATTGAGAGATTATTAATATTATAAGAACATTCCTATGAATAGAGCGTATTATCTTAATGTTAAAGTATTGTCCAACTTGAAGCTTGGGGCGTGGACGGATGCGACTAAAGTGTCGCGAGTAGAAGAGTTCAAATCTCTATTTCTTTTTCTCTAATGTTAGAATAGCTGATTTACATTTCGTGTTGACGGTACCTTCTAGCTCCACTGAAAATTTTCGAAAGATTGATATTTTGTACAAAATTATGAGATTTGATTATTGATACTCCTAACAAAGAGTTTGTGATCTTGAAAATGTTGAAGAAATAAAAATGATTGAACCTAATAACGATATCTTTTATTTTATTTTTACCATCAAATCGCGATGGTGATTAGATTTTATTGCAACGACCAAATAATTATCCATCCTATTTAGTTAATCTAAGTTTCAAAAATATAATTGCACTAATAAGCCTTCAGTATTTGGAAATTCTGTTCTATATGTTACTAGTAGCGACATCTATTAGACGACACCGATTTACTGTACTTTGCAGAAATCTTCATCTTGCGGTAAGCAGTTGAACTACATTGTTATTACAAGCTATTATAAGAGGTTCAAGTGTAACTTCTAATGTTAATGATATTATTTTTATTTAACTCACATGTAACATAGGCTTTTCCAAAGGCTCGAAATTAAAATAATCCGATGCGAAAGCAGCCAACCCCTCCCACGTGCCTGTATCCGCGTAACACAGCTTCGTAGGGCGTATAGTTGTACAAACCATTTTCTACAATATTTTTTAAATATTATATTGATAATTATATCAAAATCTTTAATGGCTGCCTAGCCACGAAGATTACAACCCACCTGCAATCCACATTCGTTGGGCGCTTGCAGCAAAAGTGGTTTACGCAATTTATAATGAAATTGAAATTGCCGTCTAAAATTTTCTGCATACGACAAAATAAGCCTCTCTTTGTTAGTATTCGTGTAATAGCTCTTGGGAAAACATGTTCTTGTCTCAAAGACAGGATCAGATATGTCTGGCCAACACAAATTTATCACTCCCAATTCGTAAATTGCATTATTTAATGATTCAATAGTCATAGGTTCGAAAATATCTTTTAAACCGAAGATTTTCGGTGGGATCTCTTCGATGTCATTTTCTTCTTTTGGCCGATTGAATATTTCACTTCCAACGGTCTCGTTTACTTCTAAAACAGTGTCGAGCGGTTCCTGTTCATTTCTTTTCTCCTTGTCCAGGGAATGTGTTTCAGAGACGACTTTTACGTTGCTCATTGTTGCTAGTTAAACACTTAGATTTGTTTAGATTTCTTTCAACTTAATTGAATAAAAATAATAAAAGCCGAAAGTCATAATATTTTTTTATTTCGAGCGTGTATTTACAAAACTGAATTACAATAAAATTTAAGAGTTTAGTTGCCAAGCAACGCACGTCAAGTATCAATCTGAATTTACAACCTATACTATTACAAAGTTACTCCTCAAATAGTTAGTAATTTCAAAACTTAAAATTAGACTATTTAGTGAATTTTTAATACTACAACCTACATCGGTGTGTTAAGGTAGTCTGGCCAGTCTTCCAAGATCCACAGAAAAAAGCATAAAATTTTTTTTTTTTATTCGTTGTATATAAAGTAATTATATGGAGACAACTTCACTATATATGAGTTGAGAATATCTGTAACATATTATAATGTATTCGTTTATATGTTACAGCTGATACGTTTCTAAAGTATAAGGGTTATATTAAATTCACACATTCTGAAACAATGCAGAAAATAAAGCTTTTTGTTAAACAAAATACACTAAGGTATGAGAGATGATAAGAGTACTCAAGAAATTACGGCTGCTGACACCGACAACGAGCTGGTTTACTGGTTAACTGTTCCTAAAGAAAAAAAACCCCGGTAAGGGGGGGTTTTTTTTGTTAAAAATTTTTTTTTTTCAAAAGGGTTCGATTTTGTAACTCAATAGTGTTAATCACTAGACAATAGTTGACAATTATTGTAGTTGCTTAATTATTGTATTTATATTGTTTTTTAATAAATACAAATCCGTAACAAAGTTTGCAACACTGAATCTGTCATTGAAATTGTAGTGAGCTGTCATCGAGACAGAAATTTCAAATTAGTGTTACACATATAATGTGAAGTTTGATCTTTGAAGTTTGAATTGCAATGTTAGATTAGATTATTGTTTCCAATATCCATTTCGTGCATATTTCTGTTTTAGAATTATTTAATAGTAAAATATAATAGCAATTCTATAACATGGGAAAAATACACCCTGTCTTATAAAATAATAATTTCATGGGTACTGAAAGTAGACGTGCTTAAATCGGTACACTGCTGAAACAAATAGGTGTATATTCAATATTATCAGTGTAACTAATCATTGTAATTACAATATTCCATGAACTATTTGCTTTATCTACATTGAATATTTATTCAAGTTCTAGATCATACACAAGCTACACGCAAGGGCGTAACACAATGGGTAATAAAAGCTCTTTATTATTAAGAGAAGAAGAAATTGCGCAAATTCAAGAAGAAACAGGCTGTGAGTTTTATAATTATTTATAGCTATAATGTAGTTATTGTCTATCTATTTTAATAATTTTCTCAACATTTTAGTTACTCCCAACCAAATTGAGCGCTTGTATTCCCGTTTTACTGCTCTGGACAAGAATGACTGTGGTACTCTGTCTCGTGAAGACTTCCTGCGGATACCCGAGCTTGCAATAAATCCCCTGAGTGAAAGGATTGTATCAGCATTCTTTGCAGAAAGCCATGATGATAGAGTGAATTTTCTACAGTTTATGAGAGTGTTAGCCCACTTTAGACCTATTAGAAAGAACCGAGAAAATAAATTAAATAGCAGGGAAGATAAGTTGAGATGTAAGTAATGCTACCAGGCTTTATACATTCTATTCTGCTACCAAGAGTGTAATACTGATATTGACAAAGAATAATACTTTGTCTAGAGAGCAAAATAACATGGTTCTTCAAAGCTTCTCCGTCTTTAAAGGCCATTTTAATATTTGTATTACTTTTACTTTTTTTTTATAATGGTGGCCTTTAAATCCTATGGAGGTTTAGGTTATAAGAAACTCTTGACTTAAAATTCAATATAATTACCTTTTTGTTTCACTTAAATTGATTATTCTAATCTAGTTTTTCTATTATTATTATCTTCTATGTCCCTAATAGAAAATAATAATAGTAACCTAGTATTTGAACTATATCTTATGACTACAAAACCTTACGCCAATAAGACATGTAAGTTATGACAAAGTTTTGTTCCCAGTTGCCTTTTCAATGTATGATCTCGACAATGATGGCAAGATCTCCAGAGATGAGTTATTAGCAATTCTTCACATGATGGTTGGGGTCAATATTAGGCAAGTATTTGCATTATATTAAAACAATCATCAATAATAAGAATTGTTTATTTAAATAAAACACTTTTACGGTTTAAAACGTGATATTTTTTTAATACGGAGAGACTCCCCGTGACCAAGGCTGCTGCAAAGCATCAGAAATATTGCCATAGTTAAAAATAATTCTAATAAGTTCAACTAAAATATATCTTGTTTAATTTAAATGTGTACTACTCTCATAAACTACAAATAGTATTTAAGAATTGTTTACTTAATGTAGAAATAGCAAATTGCTATGCTCATATTGTGCTTATAAAATGCTATGTAAGTATAACTGTTAGATCAGCTTCCTCCTTAATATTTTTTTTTAACATTTCAGTGAAGAACAGCTGTCCAGTATTGCGGAAAGGACCATAATAGAAGCCGACACTAACAATGACCAAATGATATCCTTTGAAGAGTTTGCCCATGCCCTAGAAAGGACAGATGTGGAACAGAAGATGTCTATCCGATTCCTCAACTGACCACTGTGCTTTTAAACTGCACAAATATAATCTGACAGTAGTGCTTGTGATCATCCTTTATAAGTAGTTTATTGGGAAATTATTAGAATAACTAGTTAACATGCACGGGGACAAATTAGTTAATTTCCGGCAATTAACATAACATTTGCTTAGTCTATATCCAAATATAATATCAGTCATGCTGGAAGATTAAACAAAAATGTGATAAATGTGAGAAAGTATTTATTTTTGCCATTCAAAGTATAAAGTATTATATGTGCTGCAACAATTCTAAAAATATAAAAGTATAATTTAATTTATTACAATTACATTATTTAACTTTAGGTTATATTAATTTCACCATTTTCACTGTTTTTTTACTACCTGAATTGGACAAAAAAAAAACCTATCATAATATTATGTTTTTTTATGACATGACTTACACATTTTTTGCTTTGTATTTTATGGAGAGAAACAATGCTCTCTAAATAATTGTTTGTTATTTGTTAAAATCATTAATATGTAATAATTGGTATAGGAGTAATATATATTACGTAGAGAAATATATTTTGTCAAAGTATTTGCATTTTGAATTATTTCACGGTTTACAGTGATCACTAATAAAGGAAAAAGGTTTAATAAATAAACAAAACAAAATTTCCATTACATTTATTTAATCAATAATTACACAAATATTACAATTGAATTAAAAAAATTAATTAACCTATGTCATAATTAAACCTAAAAAGATAATATTGAATCTTTACAATTTTCAAAACGAATTAAAACATAATAAATATCTAATTCCAAATTTTGATGCATTATAAAATTTTCTCTTTTTAATTTAATACACCAACCGACGTAGATGAAATATGTTTTACAGTTATATCATATACTTACACACCCTCATACAAATGTTCATGTTGCTTATTACTTGGCACTCAGCCCGACGCGTGCGCATATATTATGAGAAAATAAGAAAAATCCCTTTATTACTTTTATTATTATTTATTGCAAGTGGAATATGGCCCTTAGAAGTGGCGTTTTATGTTCTATAGAGGTAATTCTGAACTAGGTGACATGAAGTTAAATCAGTTTTGAAGTGCCCCAAGGGTATATATATATATTTAATAGATTTTATATTGCATTGCGTCTCGTTGAGTGGACCTCGCAAATAATTTCACCACCAGCCATGCAAGAAGCCGGTATTGTGGTCCTGCTGTTAAGCAGTCGATGACACCGCTAATTTCTTCAAGTGTTCCATAAACACTTGCAACGAAACGTCGTCCGTCAGCACGGGGGCGCCTCCGTCCTGTAATAAGACTCTATTAAAATACTTTTCTCTCAAAAAACCTTGGTAGGATTGAGAGCAGCCCTCAACGAAATAATAAAACCCAAGTCCCATCACCTTAAAAATATAAATATATAACAAAAAGAACTATGTATAAATATTGACTAGGACACAAAATAACGTCACATCACATAATTTAAAAAAAATATTACTAATAATAAATATAAATTATAATTGTGTTTGTTTTATGTAAAAATAATGATTGATTTATACAAAAAAAATTTAAAAGAGAATAAGTACGAAAAAACATAAGCAATTTTAGTTTATTATTCGCATGAGTTCATTGTGGAACCATTAATAGTTACGTTTTCTGCATCGTACCAAAAATAGTTTACGACAACATGGTAAGGTAGTTAAAGGTTTTAATTTATTATTTGTTAAGTTGTTAAGATCATTTAAATGACAGGTACTTTAGTGTGAACAAAAAGTAAATGCATTAGAAATGATTCCAGCAATAACATTCTGCAAGCATATAATCGTTTAAGACAAAACATTAATAATGTTAGCAATTACAAGCCAATAAAAAAAAAGTAACACTACCGCAGATGGTATCGGCATCGCCTGCGTTTCGTCGAAACAATGATGAAAAAGAAAAAAAAAACAAATCAATTCAAACCATGCTTAAATGGCGGAATATCGTGCAATCATCGTTGAAGCTAAAATTAGAAAATGAAATCGCAGCCATGGAAAATTTAATGGCGCACATCTAAGGTATTAATTTTTATAGTTGCAAAAAATAAATGAGTTTTATGGACTACAACAAAATAAATATAGAATAAAACTTACCCCGCCGTAGGCGTACATGTTGTTATGTGTTTGCGATGGGTTGACTTTCGATAGAAGGAAGCGAGCCTGTAAGCAAAAACAAAGTATTTAATAGAAATAATACCGCCTTCATCATACACTACTGTCACTAGTATAACGGAGAAGTGAATGTCGATCTGTTTGTTCTGTATAACAAAGTATGTAGATGAAATGATTGTTCTTTCAGCCAGTCCATGTTTAGAAAACAAGCGAAGTCGGCGACCATGTTAACGATGCTGTCAGCAATTTGGCGGGTCTTGATTAGTGCTATCGTTATTTTATGTACGTTACCAACGCTAAATGCGAGCGGTCATCGATTAGACCGCATAAAAGGTTCCATTATATAATATCTTTAACACGTAGGCAATATAAAACAGACGACAGAATTTAATCAACGTTATTGCAAGCATGTGCCGCCGTAACTTGCGCGAGTAGCACAATTTTAATGATTGAAATTTCTTTCTACTAGACTCACCTACACCTGCTGGCTGCTGTGAATTGGCCAATGCGTCAAAAAATTACTGTTATTTTTCCCGTTTTAAACCTTCAACTGTTTTATTTCATGGTGTTTATATTGCAGATTTGATATGCGTGCTATACTTTAGTGGGTTGCAAAAGGAAGATTTGGATTTGAGTATTCTTACAAGACTGCAAAGATATAATGTAAATTTTGATGACGTTAATAATGAGTAAGTTTTTAATAAAACATTGTAATACATGTTTGTAGGAGTTTATCAATCAGTGAATCTGACACTTATTATTAATTTTAGGGAATTGAGAAATATTTGCCTAACTCAAGAATCAAACCCAACCCCAGAAACAATTAGTAAAGACAATCCTTCGATTAAAGGTACCACAAATAAAGTTTTCTTTACTAGCGATTGTAGAGAACAGTAAGAAATCGATTACATAAGATTTATGTATTTTGCAGTTCCCGATTTTATAAAAAGCCTCAATACTAACATTCCAAGTTATGAAACTCCCAAATATGGTTCGACGATGCCGGAGACTTTCGACAGATTTTATCCCATAAAATATACAAATGGGCAACCTAATATAGAAAGCGTTGTTAATTTTTGGAAACACGCCATACAACCCAAAGACCCGCTCAACGGCACGAGAACAACTGAAATTCATAAAATTATAACTCGGCGAGCAAAAAAAGACTTTAAAACAAATATACCGAATAATGTACAATTCTCAATGGATTTAAATGAAACTGAGTTGATAAAGAAAATATTACTGAATCGTTTCGTTAGTCAAAGTGGAAATGAACCTACACAAGTTAAGCTTGAACCAGAACAAATTTTGAACCGGAATTATAACCTAAATACAGACAGCTTTAGTGAGAAGCAGTGGTCACCTTTCCCTCCAACTAGCCCTCTTAACAATTACAATGAATGAAATGCCATTTTCTATCACCGCTTTAAGGTCACATGAAATTGATAAACATGATGCCAAGACAAGAAAGTTTTCCTATGGTTCAAAAATTAGATACTATTTTGAAAACAATAAACCAATTCAAAGATATGTTTTCTGAGCTGAATCATAATAAACCTAACGATCCCGTTCACTATCCTAATCCTGAACCGAAATCAATGCAAAAAGAAAATATGAGTCCTGTTATGACACAACAAGCTCAACTTACCCCTGCATTAAACTTCACTGATAATTTAGTTAACAAAATAGCACAGAGTGTAAAGGATATGGTTTTACATGACTTAAGAAATGAAATGCAGGCATCATCTACTACGACCCGAACAGGTTATTATTGATTGAATCAGTCTTTTTGTTTTTAGTTTACATTAAATTAAAACTATTCTTTTTCTTACAGATGAATCGCAAAAAAATAATTCTTAAGAAGAACAATCAAGCGTTTAAAGTTTTGGATATATTTCAAGCTTTTAAGAAACCAGACCCAAACACGATTGTCTTCGGTTTAAGTAACAAGATACCGAGACAACAATATTACGATTCTCCTCCAAAACCTGAAATGACGAACTACCAACAACCTTACAATTTTCACCCCCAAATTCATAAGATGAAAACTGAACCGCCCAACACCCATAAAAAGAAGTTAGCACCGAAACCAATAACGGTCCAAACGAATTTGTTAGAAATTCCGCCTTTGGGTATACCAATAACACAGCACCAAAATCCTATAAATCAAAATATTATTGTGACAACAGTAATTCCATTTAAGATGAATTATGACAGTGATAATGGACAGAGTTTCGGTGATAGCGCACTGATGAAGGTATATCCTAAAGAGGTCTTCCAAAGTCCCTTGAGTGCAAAATTTTCAAAGAGATCAGATGATTGTCCTTTAAATCACCCGTGTAACCACAAAAAGGAGGACATAATAAGGTTTCGGCTCAGCAACGATGGAAAAACGAAATATGACACAGACTATTATGAAAAAATTAACCTTGGAAAAGTGAAAGCGACAAGTAATCTTGAGAATGCGCCGCTTCAACCATTTCACGAGAGATTGGAAAGAATAGGAGATAGATACGAAGCGGTGGATGTTAATGAGGACTGTTGCAATACAAAGTTTCCAATGACGCAACAGATGATGGATTGTTGCAATGAAAAAATAGCATCTCGACAACAAATGTCAATAGGGACGATGAAAAGGGCCTCATACGACGATACACATTTTAGAAACTTTCTGAAAACACAACAAAAGGTAACAGATATGTTGGAGCAGATATTAGCCACAAAAACAAGACCAGAACTGTTCCATAGCGTGGAAACAACATAATTTTAAACATTCCATCATCATCGGACCTTCGTCATCTTAGGGTTTTATTACTATTGATAAATCAAATTGGATAAAAATAAAAACATATTACTTTCTCATTATTATTAAAACCAAAATATGTACCTGTGAGCCACCATGCTCTGTGTCAATATATCTCGGTACGGGGAAACGGCTTTGCAGAATCTCCTGCGCATCATCGACAGGTGCGCGAAGTAGCTGCGCAAAGCTTTCGTACTCTTGCATATCTTGGTAACGGAGTGCTCGCCATTGCGCTATTGTCTGTAAAAGATAAATAATTTATTACAATGATTACAAAGATACAACTATGAAGACCGAAATAAGTTTTAAAAAGAAAATAAAATAAAACTCTATCTATCTATCTCTAAAACTCACTACTCTGTATAATTTTAAAAACATTAACAACAAAGAAGGTAATAATTTAGGGTAAAATTGATGCATTAACAATATAAAAAATATATAATGGTATTGACAAGTTATTATATTACTATAGTAACTTGATATGGTAAAGCATTACCTCTCCATGATAGATTAAGATCTGGAAGAATGTGTCCATGAGAAGAATCCTATCTGGCTGAATGGAGGAAGTATCTAGTAGGACCGGCTCTGGAGGCCCACCGAAGCTGTACGAGTAGAGGATAGGCTGGATCATAATCAGCGACTGCGTAAGGTCTTCACGCATCAACATATGTCTGAAAGTTAAATATAGATATTGAATAATCAAAAGGAAAGCAATACGTACAGAAAAAAAACATCCATTAAACATTTTTTTCATAGACAATTAATACTTAGCAAATCGGAATCATGTGGTTATATAACCAGTATTGAAAAAATGGTTTTGGTTAAAGCTGCCTTCCTAAAATATAAAATACCTGTAGAATGTAGTCTCATCTGGAGAGTTGTTGAAGACCTGAAGGAACTGAGAACGCCGCAGATGATACATGAACTGGGGGTATAGACTGAAGTTCTCCGACAGACGGAAACTGTTAGGGTCGTCCTTGGCATATTCGCCGAATTTCTGGCACTGTAAAAATAAAATTTTTATATAAGTCATACAGTAGTTCTAAATACTACTATTTTAAGATCAGGGTTAAAATATTTAATTAAAATGCATTACCAAACGTATAAGCATCCTGTCAAGCCATCTGAGTACATCTGGACCATCTTCATGATCTGCACGATAGACAACTAGTCTTGCCATTACCACAGCAGCTGCTTCCTGGTCGAAGCCTGCTGCGATGTGGGGCAAGTTTACAGCTGGGTCTGCCCAACTACAAATATACAACATTTTATTCTCAGTATATTGAAAATATAGTTTCTATAGTATATTTTGAATAGTATGACCATAGAGTTATATATGATGTATAAATTTTTGACAGTCATCTTAGGTCTAAGAGCAAATCATACAAAGATTGGCAATGAAATTGATCAGTATAGCGGCCCATAAACAATCAATATTATAGTCCAATTTGGATTCCACAATAGGCCGCTGCCCACAGACGCTTCAATCTCGTCTATACATGATACATTTTTTTGTACAAGCCGGGATATTGCACAATAATATTGATTGTCTATGGGCTGTTTGACACAGATAAAAATAAGTTAACCCTATATACTTAAGTTTTTATAAGTAATCAATTATTACTGTAGAAAAAGAGCATATAAGAAGTAAATTATATAAGGATGTATACAAACTTGCGGGCAACGGTGGTAACTCTAATTCGACGTTGTCCACTGGAATGTTGGTAGTGTGTAATTAGTTGTACACAACCACGCCCACCTGCGGGCACTGGTGCGGCATGCTGACTAACAACCTATGTAAAATGCTAACATGAGTATGTAGTTTATTTTTATTTTACATTACGGCATAATTTACAAACATATTGTAGATGTTGTTTGTCCTTATATATTACACTGGCCATCAAATGCAATAAAATGTTCTGTTAAAGATTTCAACTTGCCTAAGCCCAAAAGAAAATTGACCTAAAACTTACCTCAAAGAATATGGCCATAGTGGTACTGGGTGTAAAAGTACACATCTTCCATTGACAGGTGTTACCCATGCCTACTTCTTGGTCTGATACATTTGGGCCTTTCACATTCAGGGACACGCACGATCCAATTGCACCAGAAACTAAAAGCAATTAAATGATTTACAGAAATGCACTACTTTTAATATTAAGTAACAGTAAGTTAACATATAACTATAGCTCGTAACAAACATCATAAATCTCGAAAGAAGTAAAAATTCTCTTGGTTTTGTTGTTTTGCATAAGTTAATAGAACCAAGATGACACTAGACAAAATCTATTTCTAGTTATTTAATCTCACTAAGTAACATGGAAATCATAGATTATAAATAAAACATATATAAATAAATAAATGTTGATACTTTTAACAGCTTGATATTACATAGCAATTTAGTGACATTAATGTCACTAAACCCACCATCTTTACGATGAACTATGGTTGCTGCAAGCATCAAATACTTTAAGTTGTAGTTAAATATTAATTTAACATATTTTTCCCTTTTGAAACCATTTCTTTTTCTTTACACAGATGATTGCAATTGTAGTTTATCAATATTTAATTAAAAACAAATTCATAAACTCAGTCATAAAACTTACTCTTTAACTCTCGGCTACATTTCACTTCCAATGTACCATTGAATGCCATCTTATAATCACCCTTCTGGTCCTTAACAAACACTCTTTGAAATGTTTGTTTGAATAATGAGGAATTGAATGAGTCGCCCATAACCATATGACCACTGGAAACATTTTGTGCAAATAATTAATGTGTTTCTTAAAGATTCATATAAAACTTTATAAACAACCAATACCACTGTTGGTCCATATTATCTATCTAGACATACCCGGTAGAGTTACAACATTGTTTCATTTCCATCAATCCTGTCTGATCTAACGCACAGGAATAAATATCAATAGCGTGCCCATTAGTAGCAGACCTCAATGCAAGGGCCTCGTAATGTTTTATAGCCTTCTTCATATATTTAGCATTATCCTTGTGAATATCATGATGTGATCTAATTGGCTGTTTCAGCTCATCATTAACAACTTGGCCTGGACCTTGGGAGCAAGGTCCACCAAGGAACATCATGATTCTTGCCCCAGTGTTAGGGTATGTAACTTCTAGCAAGCCAACTGCTAATGACAGAGCAACTCCACTGCTTCTTAAAGGACGCTTCCCAACACCAAGTGGCCAGGGGTCCCTTCCAAGTTCACTTAAAAGATCAGTTAGAGCCATATCACACTGCTTAACTGGCTGCAAAAAACGGTGAGCAGGAGGCTGTGGGGTAGGAGCTCCTGGTCTTTGTTGTGGATTTGGTACATTGACTCTGCCAATGGCCAGTTGTTCTTGTATTTGTTTCGCTGATAGATCTTTTGTGCCCTTGAATACATAGCATTTGTAAATACCTTCAGTACCTGGAAGTGAAACAAATGTTTATTAAACTATCATTTACCATAGCCATAGTAAAATTATTATAATAATCTAAATCAAATACCTAATTCATGGATTTGTACCATACGTCCAAAGGTAATAAGACCAACTAATGCATTCTGGGGCATTAAACTAAGTGATGTTTGAAGAGAATCCTTTAAAGCTCCCAGTTCTTCCTCATCTAAGCAGGTATCCACTACTAAAAGGAAAATTGGGGGCATACTTTGGGCCCTGGTAATAGTGTACTCTATAGTGGAGAAGTTGGGAATAAGTTCAGCAGGCTGATGCTGTTCTGATATAGCTGCATATTGAGGAGGAAACTGTAAAATATAATATTTTATTAGTTTATAAATGAGAATACATTAATCAAATATATAAGTAACGTAAAAGTAAAAAGTACTTACAGGATTTCTCTGGAAGCAGAAATTACAGACCCATAACTTGGCCCTGTAATCAACTTGACACATAGGATTTAATACTGCACGGCAAGTATTTCTTGTGCAAAGCACAGGCTCATACTGAATGGGCGGTAGATCTGGCCTCTCTTTCAGCGGCTGGTACAAACTAACCAGCGGGACAACTAGCCTGGTTGCTTCAATCCTACTTGAAGGCCATACGTTCCATGTAAATCGTATACCATCTCGATCCTCATTTTGTTGAATAAACTCTTCGTACGTGGCCATAGCGCACCGTTTTCTTCTAGTTATAAGAAATTAAACACATCAATAAAAATTAGACATAACTCCACATATAGATTTAAGCTCAATGTTAACTAGAAATATACATACCAGCTTCGCATGTAATACACTAAAATAAAGGTCATTTAATGTTTCACTGACACAGTACTAAGAAAGCATTTAATAAGTTTGACGAATGATAAAATATTTAAATACGAATTTTACAACATAAAATCCTATTTAACTCAAGATTTAAGCTGATTTGGCAATTGTCAAAACTTTATCCAAAGACAAAGTGAGAAATGTCACTTAGCCACGTCATTTTTGAAAACGTACCTAACCTAGCTCTTCAATTTAATTTCATGCACATTATGCATAAAATAATATTACAACGTGTTTTAATAGCACAACAACTTGTGTTTACTACTTATTACTCATACATTCAGCGCTAAACATGTATGCATTCCTCATAAAGTCTCTGTATATCCACTACAGACTTATAATAATAGGTAAGTGAATAACATGTAAAATGATTTATCTTCTATGGCTTAGACTAGTATAGACAACGTCAATAAATAAAAGTAAGCATTGTCTATGTACCAAATGTCAAGCTATTCCGTTTCTTTTTACGTTAAATAATGATTTGCTTAAGTGAAAGTCCGAAAAAAATTGAAAATGTTTTAAAAATTTCATCGCCATTGAATTGTTCTTTGTTATTATTGTTTAAATTTGTAAAGAAGTAATAATAAAACACTTTTTCATTCACGAATTTAATAAATTAGGAACGTTGACGGAACATTACCGTACAAACTCAGTAATGAAACGTAGTTGAATGAAATTTTTTTTTATTTTTACACATAGTAAATTACATTTCGTTTGTGAAACATGATTTTTGAAATAATTGTCTTATAAAAAAGGACTATCATAAGTGTTTGGATTAAATGTGTGATTTTAAATTAATTGATATGTCATTGCTTTGTTTTAAGAGCAGGAAGTTTACATCAAAAAGTGCGACTGCGCACTGGCCAAATTAGTAGGTAGTGTGAAAGAAAATGGCGATCAGCGAAAGGCGTCCGGAGTTAACGTGATGAAAAACATTGTTAAAAGCTCAATTACATAGTGTTATAGTTATTAATTGTGTCAGATGTAGATTAATTAAGTGTTAATGAATAGTGATTGTGTATAAAAATGGCTGCGAATATGTACAGAGTCGGCGGTAAGTAACAATAATTGGTTATTTTTGTTGTAGCTTCGCCGGTTCACCGCCAGCCGCCTAGCGGTGCTTTGCTTTGATTGTCGTACCTTAATTAATTGTTCACATTTAATTAGTTCAATGATGCTTAGTATACTCATGATTTACCTTTATTCTTATCAATATAATGAAATTGCAACAGTTTGTTTCATGGTTATAGTGTTTGTAAAAATATTTATATCCAAAATTCTTCAAATAGGACATTAGCATTTGCATCTAGGTATCATTGTATCGGCTTGCGCATCTCAGTGCGGTGAGCGTGGTACCTTAAAGACTTGTCGAGGACGATTTATTTGCTCTTTTTTAAAGATAATCTTTGAAATATCTTGTGTTTAGTATGAGATTTTAGGTTATAACCAATGTTGTCATAACAATTTCCCTATAAATTAGATTTATTAAGTTAAAGATTTAAATTGATATCTTTCATATTTTTGCTTTTGGTTTACTTAATACAAATAGGTTTTTTTAACCAATTTTTTTTTTCAACAACATTGAGTTGTGAATTGTGTAGTATTTTGGATGTAGGAATAGTATGCTTGGCATTAACCCGCGAGGTGCTGGCGACTTTCGTAGCACGCTTTACGATCGCCGCGCCGAATGTTAATTAGTTCTTCCCTTTAGACAACTTCCTATGACAAAAATATATCGCGCCATTAAAAAACTAGCCACACTACTTCTAAATTCTTATTTAAGTAGCTATAATATGATATGGTTGTAATGTTAATAGTAATTAATTTATGAATTCTTATCTTATCTAAGTATATTAAAAATATTTTAGTTTTTATTAAGTATTCAAATGAAAAAGGTACGTCAGCTTTCTCATAATGTGTTGATTGAAAGGTGGATGTTTTTAAATCCTTATTTGGTTTTGTCTCTTTAAGCATCATTTGCAGCGAACTCCAAGCACCTGCATATATAATACAGCTGTTGCATATCACAAAGAATTGTATGACCTACATTTATGCTACCTTGAGATTTTTGTGTAAAGAAATTGAATTGCTAACACAAGCGAAATGTAATCTTTATTACAGTAACTTTCTTAAGGTAAAGTAAATAACAATGTAAAAACTGCTATATATGTATATTTTGGAACAACAACATAACATATTTTAAATTAAAGTTGTATGAATTGTCAACAACTGTTTTACAGTTCACTCTTTAATAGTTATGAAATCTTAATCCAGTGGTTCACAGTTCACTGACCTCACTAGTAACCTGTTATGAGCTACAAGTAAAGTATATACACATCCTTATGTGATATGATTCTAAACCAAGTGATTAACAAATGTAGAAATTGTTGGTACTGCTTACTTTTTGTTTCTTGTCATACATTCAACATACACCCATGAAAAACTTTTAAAATATTGTGGATAATTTAAAACCTAAGTTTTCCAAACTTTTGACTAGGTATATTTTAACATTATTTTTTGTACAAAACTGTTTTACTATTTTATTTAATCAAAAAGGACAACCTTAATTTGTTTGCTTATAATAGTCATTTAAACCATCTGGCCATTTTTATTGTTAAGGCAAAGTTTCAAACATTGAAAATTAACATACTAGCCAAGTAACTTGAAAACAATATCATATGATAATATGTTCTATTTTTTTTATTATCTTCACCAAAAATAATTAAGTATGAATGTTGGCTCAATAGTGCTTTTTGTTTCAATCTTAAGGTACTTCCTTTCTTCTCTTTGCTTATCAAATGTAATATTATGAGACCAAAAATTTTAGGACTTCATTTTGTTGTTACTTAGATAAGCCTTGCCAAAATATTTTAATAAAATTTTTAATGTTACTATTATTTGTAGGTCTTGTAGCATGAGCACCTCGCTCATGTTTGTGATGTCTGAAGTTTTGAATGATTGCATATGTATGTAAATACATATATTTTTTGTAAATAATTCTTTGGTAAGGGTTATGGAACTCACATTTATCTGAAAGGAAATTTATCTAAAATTTCTATTGCATGGTTTAAATAACTTTCACACGATACCGCGGTTGCTAGGCGTGTGATACGTATTTCATTCTTAACTTTATATTATATATACACTTAGCATGTAAATAAAACAATATCCCTAAACGGGTTTGGCCTCAGGAATCAAATATCTGTACTTGATATAATTTAGTTGTAACTTTTACATGTTTTCTCCCTATAGTAGAGAACTCATATTTAGCTTTCATTTGTTTTCCGTATCAATCACCATGTGGCCCATTCTAGTCTATAAGCTTACTTAGTTTTCAAGATACATAGAAGCGTCCCTATTTTATTTGTACATTTTGTCGTATGGCATTGTCTGGAGTTGGATGCTTGGTCGAGTACGTAAATACGTAGACATCGTAAATATGTTGCATATATTAACATGTTCTTTATCCAGCTTGGAAGGCCTACATTTTGTCTTAGGATACCTGTGTCCCAGCTGTGGAAACTGATAAGAGTTCAAAATATGATAAATTTCTAACTGATATGTGTTTTTAAAGGATAACATTTATTTCAATAAGAACCCTTTGAATGCTCGCACAGTTGTCAATTTTTGATCAGGTAAATCTTCAGGAAAAACCTGAGTTAAAGTTGGTTAAACTATTAAGTAACGATTTTGATTAAGTCTCTCTTTTGGACTTAACGGTTCATTTATGACACAAGAAGTCTAAATGCAAAGAATTGCAAGAATGATCCATTTGACGCTGACTTCGCAACCACCTTACTAAAGAGCACTGGTGAAAGTTGCATACCTAAGTACTACACTGAACAATAAACTGGTCCGGTCAAGCTAAACTCGACCGCCTGCTCACTACAAATTATTATTTTACTAACAATTTTCCGAGAACACACGCCTTGTCGGTGCAGTCTTGAAGTCGTCGTTTGACGATGCCTTTACCGCGTACAAGGTAGTGTAATGAAACACAACTATTGTTCATCCTAAAACCTGGCTTTAAAAATTCGCTATGCGAACAGAATATTTAACCGCAAAACATTTTCCGGTTTTATATCGTACTGTTTTATGGTAATGGTAGTATTTTGCATAATGAAACTAGAGTTTAGGAATTGACGGCATGTCAAAATATTATTTATATACAAAGAGCCCATATTATATACTCGGGTTTAAGATGAGTAGTCACACACACAGTTCTTGTTACATAGTAATTGATTGAGTCGTACCACAGAAATATACCGTATACTTATTTAGTGACTAACTACTGGACTTGTACGATGGTATATCTGAAGGGCAATGGGAGATATGTCGATTATTTTAGCAACAATATATATAAGAACAAAACATAACATTTAAAAATATTCGAATCTTCATAAAAGTCTCTTCAAAAAAACTTTCAAAAATTCACACAGCGTATATGTTACGGCTTGCTACGTGAAAGATTTAATATTTGTAAAGAACATCATAGACAATCAAATCCTCTATTCAATTCTTGTATTATATCAACTAGTACGTTTTCTGATCATAGTCTATGTTTCTTATGATAGGGTTGCCGGGAAAAAATCGTTCAATAACGATATTTTAAGCTCTATATATTTTCATATATTGATTTTTTATAATGGTTAGTGATGTGTAATAAGGACTTAAATAAATAATAAAAACTAACTAAATTTTTAATGTCCAATCTAAGAAATTAAAATTAACCGATCACTGTTGTGTATGACGTGTCGTGCTAAATATACGTACGTATATAAAATACTTACTTATTGACACGTTCCCAAAATACACCAAAGTCTTGGCAAAACTGGACGGGCGTTAACACCGCTATCAGCCGCATTATGCTCAACTAAAGCGTTGGGGGGGGTGGCGGGGGTTATCCACGATACTTTTATATAGCTATGTAGTGCGAGCTACGTTATGCTATCTATTGACACAATTAATATTTAGAAATAAAATTAATTGATTACTTCTTATTTATAATTAATCTCTGGTACTACAATTTGAGAACCTGCTTGTTTAAAACGTGTGTATTGAAAATATCTATCTGATCTTAAGTATTTAATGTTGAGGAACAAAAAGACATTTATAAGATTTTTTTGTTTCATTAGCGGTACACACATAAAAAATGTGTGTAAAACCCTAAGATGGCGCGAAGTGTAAAACCTCTAACAGAAAAGTGAAGCAGGTGAAAATAACACAGGAAATAATCCTTAACATAGTAAAAAATCTTGATCTGGTATTAGCTCTAACTGCATCGATGGTTGATGTTATAATATCAGATGACGCAGAGCATCGCGGTTGTGACAATGATAAGAAGACATTGGTGCTATCGCAAATTACAGGAAACAAGCTACTAATTATAAAATAACTGTTGAGTGCTCAGTTTGCAGCACCTATGTAGGTACCTATTTACAATGCCAACATATTATAACGTGGCAGATGTGACATTTGTCCTTCAGTTACGTTCCTATCTCCAATTCTCTATTATCTATCCTATCCTATTGACATTTCCAATCAATTGGAATGGAAAATTTTGTGCGGGATTAGTTCTATTAATAGACGCATTAATAAGGCAAAATCCCAACGTCAGCACTCTTGCATCTTTCGCATATACAATGTATGACGTGGTTGCTTATCACCTATTATCAGTTCGGTGATTTTTAATTCTTTAGTTTTGTTTAGAACATTCTGGCCTTATCTGCGTCTCCCTAGAGACATCGGTAGAATTTGGAATTATATCTATATCGTAATATTTCTGGATTTTTACCCAGTTTATTGATTGAATAATTTAATTGCAATAAAACTGATGTAGTCTTTAAAATATACAGTCTAAGTAAGGACTCGCAAAATAGTTAAATTGACGAACATAGACAGCAGCATAGCTTTCAGATATGCTCAGCAGTTATTGTGCAGGACATCTACATCGCATTATTACCTCGTGGCCCCACATTAAATATAAAAAAAAAACAACCTGAACGTATTATAATCGTTATCTAAGCTGATGCCCGCGAGCTAGTGTTACTATCTTAATTCAGAAACACCTTGTTAAGCCTCTTGGAAAAACCTTTGTTGAAAATTATTGCGCTCTTCACGTACACATTATAGGAAATTTTTGGTTCTTGATTTTTCGCATGTTTTCTGTATATATATATGACACCCACGAATATAAGAAAAATAAAAATTAAAAACTTTTTTTTATTTCTGACGGTTTATCAAGTGTCAAGTTTTAAGACTAGCTTGTAATAGTCACTGTTTATCTTGCAGCTTTTAGCTGCGATGTCATTATCCGATTATGAAGTTGGCGCATTTCACTATTGACTCCTTAATATTATAATAATATTATACTTTCAGATATTTCTTAATTTTTTTCTTTTATATTGCCATACGTAGTATAGTAAAACGTCTCGTTTACTTTGCTCCGTGTATTTTGATTAGAATTTTGTACAGTTTTCTTATGGAAACAATACTTATATATATGGTTTAGGAGATTTCTTTTAGCGCCAGAGATTCTCACACAATCTCTATAAGTTGATAAAGTTTCATAAATCGAGACATGATTCTAATATCTATAACTGGATTGAATGTATTTTTAGAATCGTGTCAAGTATTTCAAAAACTGTATTAAAAAGCTCTCGATAGCGTCACAAGGCAGCTCGTCGAGTCATCAAGTCGTTGGCTCGTTGCGTGGAATCGTTGCGTTTCGCTTTCGTTGCGCGCCCGTAAGTCGTAACCGCGAACCGGTTAGCTTTTAAACTCAATATTAAATACACACAAAACCGATTCACGAGGTCCATCGTACAAATATGTAATATTACTAGATTACATTTTACTATACAGTATTCATGATGTGTATATTACACGTAAACTATGACTTATATGGACCTGGACGTATAGTAATTTCGGCGTGTTTGCGTTAATTAAAAAGATACGATATTTTCAATCTAAGGTAAATTTGCAATATAAAGAAGCTAGTATGTCCATTAACTAGATCCGATTTCTGTATGTTTTGCACGATCCTCTTTTACGGATTTCAACGTCTAATAGTGACCTATTTCAATATCCAATGTACAATTCTAATGAATTGATGTGTTCGCCATTAACAATTAGGTACTTTATTGTGACGAAGTGTTAATTTTCTCCTGTTGTTGCAGACTGCGTCTATTTCGAGACGTCGTCGACGTCTCCGTACCAAATCCGGCGGATAGAAGAACTAAATAAAACAGCCTCCGGCAACGTGGAGGCGAAGGTCATGTGCTTCTACAGGCGGCGGGACCTGCCCAACCCCCTTATACAGTTAGCTGATAAGCATCAAAGTAAGTGCTATGTTAACATTGATACGAAGCTTGCGCTTTGCAATGTTGCATTGGTGATCATAAGTTCCTGTCGATGCCTTTGCCTTTGTTTGAAAAAACCTAACCGTTCTACCATCAGTGAATAAGCTAGGTGGTAGGTAGTAGGTAACCGCTTGGTTCTAATCCCGGGATAACGTTAAAATTTTGTCGGTTAGATGAAAATTCGAGGAGTAAAATTATTTCAGTGATGTCCAATGCGAGACGAGAGTTATACGGAAATTTGCAAAAGGCAAAATAAATTTTATTCTTGAAGGGTTTTAATAGAAAGATTTCTAGGCGATTAGTGTTTGAAATTAAGGATTTATTATTTCTATATACTGAAATCTGAGTGAGTTGCATACAATGTATATAGTTATTTCTATATACATTGTATGCAACTCACTCAGATTTCAGGTTTACATGGCACATTTAGCTTTAATTCTCAATTTGATGACATTGTACTTGCAATAGATATGTGAATGTTATCCTATATTTTATTGAGTTTATCATACTTGTACTGAATTTATTTTTTATCATGAAGTATCTTATACATTGACGTATATTATATTATGTTCCTTTGCGAGTTTCCTCGTGTCGCGTGCTATTGATTCGCGAACTCCCCTTCCACTCGTAATAAATACAATATCTAATAAGTAATAACCGTCTTTCTACAATCCACAATTAGGCTTATAAATACATTGAGCGTCCTTGTTCCACAACAAAGACACGACTCGTATTGATTTTCTTATACGTGATGTAAATACGGGAATAATTTGGGTGTGAAGAGCGTTTTGTTTGCAATGCGTACGTACAGAGACCGCTGTACAACGTGTGTTTGATTATTTTCTATAAATAGGCGATTAGCCTATATTAAGAATGGCGACTAGGAACTTGCGCGTGTCTGGAACCTTCTCTTATATGTAATGTGGATTGATGCTGAATCATGAATAACTTTACCCAGAAAATTGAGTATGGGCAGCGACCACTTATTTTATTTCTTTTTTGGTCTAAATAAATAACGATTTTGTAGAAAAGTCTTTAGAATGTCCGCTTATTAATCGGGTACCTATGTATTCGCCATCAACACAAACGATATATATACGCAGTATCCATTTCTTTCCCAAGAACTCATCCATTATGTTTCCCGTATTTCCATAGGACACAATCCGTTGTGTGATGTCAAAATTTTCCATAACCAGACGGTTTCAGGATAAAGATCGTGTGTTAATTCGGACCGGGCAGACAACGGGGCGAGGGGGCCGGGGTTAGTAAACATAATCATGGCCTCCGCCCGTTCTACAATTTAGTAGCTAAATGGGAATGAAGAGTTTTCTCCCCTTCCCCCTCGCCGACCGAATGCGCCCGATACCCACGCTTTTTATAATGTACCTCTATTGAAATTACCTAGATTTGTTTGAATCGCGGGTCACTCGTACCCCTAATAAGAATTTCAAATGTATTGTCTCGTTCGAAGACGTCGTCGCCGTCGCGAGGTAATTTATGTGAGTCGTTAGCGCTGGTTGGTGACCTTAGATAAGACCGTTATGAGAAAAAGTATCACACGGAGCATAGTAAACGGTGCAGTTGATGTTTTAAGATTGAATATGCGTTGCATTTGGAGCGAATGAAAAACAATAATGCGGTACATAGCAGTAATCTAACTTCTTAACTAGATGCCACCCCGGCCCGCCCACGTGACACCCTCTCCCCGTATCGACCGTAGCGCTCTCATCTCGCAGGTACACGCAACACTTATCCCGGTTTTAATTGTCACCACGCGCTGATGACCTCGGGCTTCGGCCTCCCGTTTATAATACGAAAGTCATCAAACAACTACACGAAACTACTTGCTTGAGATCAAGCAGTCTACTGACTAACATTAAATACCGACCGAGACAAAAAATATAGATACATATTGTATTTGCGGCTAGATACAAGTACGTATAGGTTTCTCATTGAGTCAGCATTTCGCACAGTATTTCCATCCCGTGTTGGCTCGCGGCCCACGAGATTATATACTTTAATTGGATACTTAGAGCAGAGTAATATTATCCGATTCCTATTCAAACATGCAAGCCCCGTAATTGGTTTTCTTAATATCATTAAACAGAAAAGTGAGGAACATCAAAACCTTAACGTTTTTTATGTTATTTATCTAATGGAATATATTTATGACATTGATTAAGATATACACAAACTTTAAGTTTATAAAAATATATACAGCACAAAAATATTACTATATTGAATAGAACGTATCTAACAAAAAAAAAAACAACATAACATATCACCTTTTTGGCTTTCTCGTTGAGCTGAAAATAGTTATGGGTTGTGATAAATTAACAAAATAAATAAATGTTTGATCTAGGTTTGCCTACATAGCCAGAAATACTATCGAGTTAAACATATCTTTAAAGAGTGACTGCCGTGAACATGTCAGTGTTTACTCGCATTACATTAATAGGAAGGTCCTAAGTTCGAACTTCGGGGGAAAAGAATACTGCTTCCATCAATTAGAGCACATAATACTGAACAGCGGACGCAGTAATTTTGGATTTTTACACAAAAAGTGTGATATGATATAAGCAGTAGACAAGATTAATGTTTATATTGTGTCTCCGTCTAAGTGTGGTATTTCACACTTTCCTTGCTAGACGACGTTTACGATGTTTCCCACAAGTTACGGTTTCGGCTGTTCAACTGCCATCTGAACATTAAAATGGCGTGAGAGTTTTTTATGCAAAATTTAGCTTAATTACTTAGCGACGACAATTTCGATGGACATTTGCATATTTTTCTCACTGCAATTAAAGTTAATAAGACGCTAGGTATATTATGTTCTTTTATATAGAATAAGTTTGACATTTTACCTTCTATATTATATACGGACGTAAATATATAATAATGTATTCATACTTTATAAATGTCTATATGTCTATAAATAGAAATAAATGTAATAAATATAATAAATAATATGAAATGTTTGTAAATGGTAACATTGAACTTTTTTTATGTTTATTAAATAAAGTATTTAATTTGTATACGTAAATACAATACTCGGCTTCATTCTATATTATTATGTTATTTAAAAATTTGTTTTAAATTGACAAAAAGCTTATATGGACGAGACTAGATTAGTTTAATTATTCCAAAATCGTTTTCTTTTGTATTTAACTTCCGTAATGCACGACGTAGTTGTTTATTACTTTCCACATTTTTATGGAATACCTTACACAAATAATCAGTCATCATACATAACAATCGACATACGGCATATCGATTCATTTCTGAAGTGAGTGGTAGCTACAGTACAATATGCAGTAGTGCCTGGGTCGGAAAATCTCTTAGCTTAGCGGAACGGCAGAAGTGCGACTTGAAGGCTGACACCGTAGCGTCCTGGGTGACGTCACTGACGCTGTCGCCACTCGGAGCGGGCACGTGGTTGTGGGGCCGCGGCAGCCGCGAGCGCAACGAAAGTGAGACCGCGAGCGATCAGAGCGGGGGACGAGGTTAGATGCCGGGTCGACGAACTTCGCGCATCCACTCGATCCGCACTTGTATAAGACGTTATTGTTTCAATATTAGCCTTCCCTGATGATATAGTTTTTCACCACTTTGATGACCACCATTTTAATGGTTGCCGTGTCGGCGTAGACTATTTCGATGACAACTGCATACTGGCTACTAAAAGGCGCAAGATTTGTAATGTTTGTGAGTCTTTTTGGCGGCGAAGAAGACAGAGATGAGAAATACATTTATAAAAGATTACAAAATGTACGCTTAGAACGCCGCCTTGTCGAGTCGTTCCGGAAGTTTTTGATATGCCCTTGTAAATACCCCTTGGTATTTCTATCTATAATCTATAGACCTACATTTACATAAAAATCCTGTAATCAACTGTACACTAGAATGAACAGTAACTATATCGATTCGCCCGGATCCATCTCCCTCCAGTTAACGGTGTCGTGCTTCTTTATCGTTTTAAAATATTCACACCATTAACAATGATATTAGAGGAGAAAGTCTCGTATAGGTGTTTCTTGCAATTATCCAGCGGAAGTGAACAGCTGAAGCGAATATCCGCCTGTGCTGTGCAGTAATTAACTGAGGTGGAACGGTGACTTTTATTATATTAAAACATATTTAAATATGCAAAATATATTAATAAGCGATTGGTAGCTTAACCAACTATACATACAGTATACGGTTTTCAAAAATCGGATCAAAAATACAAAAGTTCGTGCGTTGAAACTCCTTTGCTGAGATCAGCGATAGGAGATGTGAGTTCCAATTTTAAGAATAAACAACGATCTAAATTTAATCGAATCATACGTCATCAGTTTATCTTTCTACCGGTGATCATATACATATACTGTTTACATAGATATATATCATATACCTATGTATACCGTACAATTCATTGTAGTGAAATATGTGTACCATTGTATGTACTTATAAATATGTGCAGTTAATCTTATGCAACATTCAATAATAGTAATGGGCAATCGCTGATTAAAGAGGCATTATGCAACATTGTTACATTTACTGTAATTATACAATGGTCAGCTGCAGTACCATGTATTTTATTCCTATCATAAAGGTCAGGTTTGCCCAATTCAGAACTCAGCAGGAGATGCTGTCGGTTGTTCGTACGAAGTTTGATAATATGTATGACACTTATAATTAAATCTATACTAATTTTATAAAGCTGGAAAGTTTGTTTGTTTGAACGCACTTATCTCAGCAACTACTGGTTTGAATATCTATTATATCTCTATATTATATTTTATAGTCTTTATTTAAAAAAAAATTCGGCGTCAGTATATGTATATCTTTTAAGATTAACTCACAAGAATCGTTTTTATGCTAATCAAATTTTGATCAAAACACTTCACATGGAAAAATAACGGTTTCCATAACACCCAGTTAGTAATAAATTAAGCAAGTCGGATATTGCTGCCTATAGTGAATTTTTAATTGTATAGTAGCAATGATATCAAGATCCTTACTAGTTTAAATTAACCGATACCCTCGTGACATTAAATCTGCATCACAGTCGCAAAGAAATGCAGTTATTTTATGATATATATATTTCTGATGTGGTAATATTAGTACGTTGAATATTTAAAACGGCGTATACAGTTCACAGCGGTTCGGTTGGCCATATCTGTTACGGGTGTGTGTGAATTTGTTCATTTGAAGGGATGTCATTCGTCTACACTGCATCAATATCAATTATCTCTTGTAGCCACAATACTCGTAACAGGATAGTGTCTAGATTCGCAATTAGTTTATTGTTCTCTACATCTGCTTGATGGTGGGTATAAAATTGATCGCGAATTATTCAACTATAATAATTACAATACGGGAAAAATAAATACTTAGTTCCTAATTCCAAAACCTACTGAATAGCCGAAAATTGGTTAAGCCGTTTCGGGAGAGTTTGTGGATATATTGTGATTTTTTGATGACAGTAGGATCCATAAACGACCCTTGTAACTTCGCATCCTTTGTAAAATAAGGAATTATTGTATAAAGTCAAAGTTAAATGATATTCTAGATTTGGTCGAGAACAAAGAAAAATTAATAGTTGAGGTCAGTGGGTCTTCTACCGAAGACTGGCTCGCGAAGTTCAAAAGTCATATCCTATCGATTTGTTAAGATGGCGTTCGCGGGGGTGACGTGACGTGAGATGGGCGGGGAGCGGCTTGCTCGGCGCACCATGCAGCTCTTGCACCTGGCTCTACCGAACACTACGGAAGCAACAATTTGTCATGTTCCTTATTATACAACTAAAAACAGTGAAAATGTTATATGATTGAATTAATTGTTTTAATATTATATTTCAACTTACACGGGTTGGTTGGTGGTCGCATTATAGAAAAATAAATTATGTAGCTCGCATGTATCACATGCGTCTTTCGATAGTTTTTGTTTTAAATAACATTAATTTGAAAATCACAATTATACAATGTCGCATTGATGATGATATCGACTTTAGATCGGTATTCTGTAGATACCACAGATATGCGATTCCAATAAAGTATTGTGACGCTGGCAATGCATTTATAAAAGTACGATAATAGCAAACGTGGCTTGTGACAGCAACGGTATGGTGCAGTCGTGGCTTCGAGTCCTTGTTATAAATTTTCTCAATCTAAAATAATTGTAAATTTAAGCAAGTAAAAAGTTAAGAACTAATTTTACACAGCTTGCGTGTTGTTTAACCCAACAAAAAGTCTCAACAATAATGCCTTTATTATACGGTTAACGGTTACGGTTCCTTTTATTGTTAATATCTTTAACAAATAAACGTCCACTAAAAACCACATAACGTGAACTTTTCGAGTATTTATATGATATAGAACACATTTCTGTAATGTTAGTAAAAATAATACACTATCAATTTGGAAACAAAAAAAAAAGTTATTTTATATTGTTATTGACACGTATCAGATCTTGTAGAACTTGAAGATGTACAAGACCTGATGTAACCATAATTGAAGCATCGAGTTATGTTTCAGTAGTCTTTGATATAAAGATAAAAAATGGAGCCCAATTTCAATATACTAGATTGAAAGCAACAATTTCACATTTATACTATGTTGAAAATATATTCCGATAAAAAGTAAAATCGAAATAAGTGAAAATATTAATATGGAACAAGTTCCAGTGTTGAGATAGGTCGCGCTCGTTGTGAAAACAGTCTCGGGGCTGGCTCGTTTTCAGCGGGATCGCGGCGGTGCCCGAGTTCGAAGCTCCCTTGACATTGTTGGGGTGTATTACTAGCGAGCCCGCAAATATTCGCTTGAATTTTTAATTCTTAATTTGCATGAAGAACATTTTGTGTTCAATGTCTTTACTTTCGCTACTTCTTTCCTATTAAAGCGTATTTGACGGATTATTTAAGTTTAAATCGCAATATTAAGCTTAATGATTAAAAACTCTAATATTTTACACATGATGGCATTTTATTAAGTAAAAATCAAATTTAGATGGAAAAAAAAAAATACACGGGCGGGACTTGAGCCGGATTCTATAACGATCCGTGCTGTTGTTGTACACCAATTGAGCTACCGCTTCATTGTACTGTGGATGTTAAGTTTCGCCCGTGTAGTATTTTTTATTTATATTTTTTAAATAAAAATCGATTTTTAATTTCAGTTTAAAGATGTTAATTGCTTTATTAAAAACTATTATGTTAAAAAATTCTAAATATAGAATTATTTATTTAGTTTTGTCCGTTTATCACGTCAGTGATTCGTTAAAATTTTATTTTAAACTACCCTATACAGTAGCCGTTAGCAGGATATAATAAATACAGTTGACTATAAATTAACTAGCATAATATTTATTTTTAATCTAATTTATTTAATTAACATTTTCCTTATAATTGAAAATTAAATGACATTTAAAACAATATTCTACATTTTACAGTGGCCCAGTCAGAAGACTCACCGGTCGCGATGAAACTCAAGAAAATATGCCTTAAAACGCCTATAGGCGAAGAACAGGCGGCACAAGCTGTATTAGATCCTGCGATAGGTAAGCAGCAGTCTATAGTTCTCCTATATATAATATGTGTGTTGCGCTAAAATTAGTAAGTGTGTATTTCGCATTTATTAAATGTATAAACAGGACATCAATAATATGTAACTTATTTTTAATCACATTCACGACAACTCATCGTGTACAATCTTATACGATTTGGATTTTTTAAGGTTTGCGATGGCAAAGCGCCAACGATACCAGTAAAATAAAAGTTTGCTAGAGGCGTGCAAGTCGTTGCAATTTCGACGCCATGCTACCAAAAACGGTATAGCCGGGATAGCACTTTCGATAACATTAGCTATTTTTATTTGAAAAATATTACTAGACTCGATTCTCCTTGTCATTAGTCCAGATGTGAAATACCTTAAGTTAATAGGCCGGTGAAATTGCATATGATATTTAAAAAAATCGTGTTCTTAAAAAAATATTGCAGTGTGCATTATTCATTTTGTTTTATCAAAATCCGCCAAGCCGCTTGGAAATAATAAATTCTATAGGGATATCTTAGCTTAAGATATAGATATTTATTATTGTTTATAAGTAGCGTAATTTTTGGCGCAGTCTCTTAACATTCTCCGTCGCCATTAAGTCTTTACTGTATTTTTGAATTCGATTCAATTAATGATAGTCTGTGCTAACCTCAATCGAATACTTCGTCATCAGAATGACCATGATGTCATTCGGCTTAATTGCGGTAAAAATTACATTTATTCAACTCGGCTACAAATTATTACAATAGCAATTATAATGTATCTTTTTTTATCCATATTAATTCGTTATTTGTTAAATAATCCTAAACTGCCATTCTTCGACTTCATGGATTGAACGGATTCTAGTCCACAATATTGTCGATAAGATTGTTTGAAAACATTAATATTTTTCACATGTTATTGCACATGAAGGCACTATATAATTTAACGATCGAAAATAAATTGAAAAAAAATTCGACTCGGGCAGGACTTGAACCGGCATCGTCAGCATTCCGTGCTGTTGCTCTACCAATTGAGCTACCGAGTCACCGAGTTTGGTAGAGCAACAGCACGGAACGCTGACGATGCCGGTTCAAGTCCTGCCCGAGTCGAAAATTTTTTCAATTTATTGTCGATCTTTAAATTAAGCTTATAAGTTAAAAAATCTAGCTTCATGATTTATTAGTACCCTTCACAAATTGTTAGAATCAGTAAATTAATTCTATAGAATGGACTAAAACAGACAAACGATAACGGTAGATTTTTATGAGAAGTTTCGTTACGGCTCGTTTCTTAGGTAAGTACTTACCACCTTGGTATAGACGCTTCACGCTAGAACAATAAATAATAGGGTAAAATTGGATTCTTAAATATTTTTTTAGAATAACGATATGTATTTTTAAGTTAATTCGTTTGCTGTGCTACAATAATTTTAAATGATATAATATAACTTTTTAGGATCAGTAGATGTATTTTGAAGTTTTCCTCATACACACAGTGGTACGTGTTTAATCGCCTTAGCGTGGGTCATGATTTAGAATCTTAGCTCTATCGTCACGTGTATCCCTTCGTCGGGCCTCGCTCGGCGTGCCGCGGGGTCGCGGGCGGCGCTCGTGTTCCTCCAGCATGCGTGGCACTGCAGCTCTCATCCACCGGCGGTAATTTGATTGGGCCCGAGCTGTCACCTATGCGCCGCAGTCGCCCGGCCGTCGCTCGCCGGCTATCGATTAGAGCCCCCTCCCCCCCGACCGGCGCCCGCCCGCGAACCGGATCTCGTCACGCCGCCATTGTGTACCCGCGACGCTTAAACGCATTCGTTTCTCCCGATGCGAAAACGACGCATTCCTTCCGCCCCGCCCCCGGACGAGCACCGCACGCTCCGCGGACGCGGCGCCTCGCAGGACCACGGCGGACCTCTCATTACTTATTAACACCGAATGCCGATCAATGGCGCATTAAAAGTATGAGCACAATATCTTCATCCATTTAAAGCCTATATCAAACCCCCTGTTGAATAATAGCTCTTAGCATAGTAACTTCGTAAATTTGGTTCATTTCCACAGACTGCATTCAGTGAGAAATGCAATAAAAGATGTATGTCGTAACAAGTATTGCACATACGTCTTAAGAAAATGTTACGTTGCAATTGCACTTGATCAACGGGCACAGGCCGCAACGTGGCGCTCGCGCAGGTCTACTATTGTGAAATCGATGAAGGAACCTACCTCAAGACCAACCACTATGCATTTCACTTTATTACATCATCTTAAGTCACGTTAAATCATCATTAATCAACTAGTAAAACAAAGATGATAGAAAAGTTTCATGCACGAGACTTAATTATCACCAAATTACATGATATGCCTAAACTCAACCTGAAACGTTTTAATAATTATTTTTTGTCCTTAATCATTGGTGTTTTTTCGTATACTGTTAGCATACATTAATACAGGCAGGAAATCAAGCGTTTCAGTCTTGCTACATTTTTTTTTTTATCATTTCAAGAATGAATTAAATACCCTAAAATAAATGAAAATGTTATTTATTGTATGCATTATACTTGCTGTGGTCGCGACTTCGTCTGCGTCGAATAGTTATTTTCACATTACGTGAATATATAATATTTTAAATGTTGATGATTAGTTATTTCTTAAATACATGAAGCCTTTTTTTAAAGACCACGATATGTGTATATTTATACATGATTACCAGGTGTTTGTGCGAAGTTTAGATATACGTTAACTAGTTAGGTAGTAAAATACTGTCTTTTTTTAAATAATAACGTAATATTAAAAAAATAATAATAATAATAGAAATTAATTGGAGTATATACGTTATAAAGTTTATCTGTGGTGCTATCGGTACTAACTTTTACTCTCGTAAAGCCGAAACGAAGCGAGTTTGCGGTCCCGTCCGGGAATATATGTCGACTTTAAAAAGATCTATGTTTTGATTTATGGTATCTTTCAAGGCAGTATAATACAGTTATTAAGTAAGTGTTAGATTTTGGTCGTTAAAGTGACAGAGAGCTACAAATAACAAATGCTTAAAATGAGATACCGTATGTGCATTGTATGTTTTATGAATAACGGCTATTGTGAGAAAACTCAGATATTAGTTGGAAACTCTTCAGTTACCTTGAGCTGGTTTTTACATCCACAGAGGAATACAGATCACGATCCATATCTTTTTTAAGGCCTTTGCCATCAGTGTTTGTAGCATTAATTGCACTTTATGTAAAGACGCCGTAAAATTTTATGGTATGACACCAACACGGTAGTCTTTGCTCGTGGATTCGAGTCTCGTCTGTGTCATATAAATATATAATATATTGTAAGTATATGGTAAAAGGTAAAATGTTTAAGGAAATGTTACACTGTGTATATATCTAGGCTGTCATGATGGTTCAAAATATTCGTAAAAATGGCGCGAAAAACACAGGCTAGGTATATAATATTTTAAAAGTAAATATGGCGTATACAAATTAAAAATAAACTGTCACTTCAAAATGAAAATATTAAAATAATTGTGTAATATTTTTAGGTTTCATTGATCCTATGCTAAAATATTTTATCTCTTGATCTACCATGAAGATGCCTATTAAAAAAAGTTGAATAAGCACTTTTTAAAATCGAAGTTAATAGGACCTCGTGAATGGAGGTATCTCGTTCGAGCACTTGGCGCGAACTCGAGGTGTTGGATACCGAGTGGTATTAAGCGCTACCATCGTAGACTGAAGATAAACAATTTCCTTCGTGAGATAAACTTTACTTTTTTCTTTCCACAATATTTGGGCTTCGAGGTGAATATTTTTTATTAAATCGCTCAGTAACAGGTGTTAGCATTTTTATTGAGATGAAAAGAAGTTCATGTTGTATTTTCTGGTAACATAATATTTATAAGCAAGATTATTATAATAATTATTATCAGACATGTAACGTTAGTGCGAGATGTACATAACTTGATATTTATATTTTGTTTCGCAGGCATGTCGTCGACCCCTGTGAAAATACTCGTAATATAGGCGTCGCGGTTTAAATACTAGGTAGCTTAGGCGGTGACGCGCATGCTTATTTCTAAGGTCGCACCCGACAACCTTTCGATAAAAGTGATATCAATAATTAATTAAAGTCGTCCCGGGCGGGGCGAACACTCTTGTGAGACTGCGTTTGCCCCTCGAGATGAATTTTGAATGGAGATTGCCACCGCATCTTACCGGCCGCGGCGACCGCTGTTGTCACTGCGGTGTTTCGCGGGCGGGCAGATTTATTTGGACGTGCCCCCCCTTTGGTGGTACGGGGTAGGCGCGCCACCCACCGCGCCACCTCCACACATTTGACTGGATCAATAAGTAAGCAAAGGATGCCCGAGTAGAAAAACCATACACCCGACCACCCTAAGGGGGCACACGTAACAGACCCCCCCACTAGCGGGGGCCTCCACAGATTGCCATTTTCTCTTTGCCTACGCTTTAATTAGTTGCGTAGTGATGCGAGTGGAACCATAATCCTGCGTTATTGAATTGCCCAATATGACATCTCCAAAGTTATGCTAAATTTACACGCCGTGATTTCTTTAATACGTCTACGCCTCTGACGTCCATCCTCTACTACCCTGATATCGATAAGGTCAAGTCTTTCGTGAGAGTATCTTCTATGATAAAATTTTAAGTATGTCATGCTGAAAACCCTTGTATCGCGATAAAGGTAAAACATACTGCTAAATAACATTGCGCGAGAGATGCACGTGTGGAATGGATTGAACGAATTCGTAGGTAATCTGCGGAAGTTGGTAGTACACCGAACACTGTGCTCTTTCTTGTGTGCCAGTCACACCTGCATCACATTTTTTTTCTATCTAAAATAAATTGAAATTGTACTTATGGAATATATCACTATATGTATGCCTTATAGATACTTTTACATGTTCTTTCTAAATGGAGATGATAGTATTCTTTAAATATGGAATAATTGTAAACAACAGGAAGTCCCCTGGCTACAATACAAGAAACATTATGTTCGATATTCACGAGGACCGCGAGACATTACATCGCTTTGCATACCGCGAGAGAGGTTATGTTTCCGAGAATAACTTGATAAAATTCATAATCATTTGAAACACCGTTAGTTCCCAAGTGAGGCTTACATTTTCGAATCAGGAAAGAGAAAAACAGAATCGATCATCAATGTAATCCACGAATTTGTACTAAGGTCACGAAGTTGATGTAATGTTGCGTTTACACAGTCTTAATCGGAAACAGCGAAATTGTTAGCGCTTATAGCATATTTACCTCAATAATATTTTTTATGACTACACTTTGTTATGTTGACACGATGTATTTAAAAAAACGCCATCTTACCCAAAGAACTTAAAGCAAATGTAACAGAATCACACCACAGCAAACCTTACATTGCAAATAAATATCGTTTATTATTATAAGTATAATTATTACATACATAGTATTCATTATTGTAAAGAGGTTCTTATTTTTATCTTACTAAAAACGTGATCGTTTTTACAGTCGAACAGAAGAGGTTGTCTTGAAATCCCTTTACGCGCGCCTTTTCACGCGAAGCCAATCGAAATAATTATCATAAAGTAAATCCCCCACAATTCGGCCGCGACCCGTCCGCCCCGTCGGAGTAGAAATGGCGCGGTGGCACCCTGCGACAAGTAGAGACGCTCACCGTCAATACATTTATTACGAATATCAACATGTACTATGTAGAAAGAATTATCTAAACAAATAACGAAATAGTATCCTTGTTGTAGACTAATACTTTCAAAGTTCACTTATGACTGCTCTAAATTATAATTTGTATTCCTATATAATTATTTTTCTTGCCATTAGGCATTATACACGACCAGGTAGTTCAATTGGTTAAACCAACAGCATAGAATGTGGATGCCGGTTTAAATTTTGCCCATGTCGTAATTTTTTTTAATCTGAAATCGATTTTATACTTAGCGTCTGTAAATGATGTGAAGTACATTACAGAGTTTAGTGACTTTAGGTATAGCTCAATCGAGTTAAAAATATGTAGCGCGGCGATGAATTTTTGACCACGCGTGTCGCTTAATTCGGTTGCGTCGAAGGTTAGCCATTATAAGCCGTGAGCGTATCTGCGTTATAATAATAAGTAGCCACTAGCCAACAGTCACCTACCCTTCGTCGCCTCGACCCCCTCGAAGTCCGCACGCGCTGCGTTACACAAAGGCCATCTTAACTTTAAACCGGTCCTCGATATCGCCAAGTTTTAATTTATGTGTAGAATTAATTATTAACATGACCCAATTGCTTCGACTGGCTGACGAACGCGACGCGCGCACTGCCTCAAAATTCATTCTATGCTTTTTGTCTGTAGACTAAGTAATTAATTTGCATAAGTAATGAGTGTACATATTTTGTTAGCGAATTTTACTAAGGATAACAAACACTGCATTTCAAAAATAATTAGAGGTAAAAACTATTTGATCTATATTAAATATACCTACACGAATTTTATTTCAAAAGTGAACAATATCATAAAGATCTCTATGTTAGTTAGTTTTCATCACTGATAAAGAATGTAATACTAATACAATATAAACGAACAACCAAGGAACTATTAAGCAAATTCGATCGGATTTGGTCACCAACATTGGCCACGCGTTTGCGGCCCCGTGTATAAATTGAATAGGGCTTTTTTTTTTTTTAAAAATAACCGACAATTACTGGTATTTTGTGAAAAGAAGTTTTTATTTCTACTATGAAATAAGCATTGTATAGATCTGTTCGTCGCCTACATTTCACACCTGCCGAAGCACGGGCCGCTCCCTATGTTGCCGCTGTCCTTTGTCACGACTTCCCCTAGACATCAGAGCAGTAATTAGATCCATTGGCACAACAATCGAACTTCAACAGATATTGGTTTTCGACAGATGCACACGATACCGGCAAACTGGTTCCTCGATAGGTACTAATTAATATTCCAACGAGCTCTGATAAAAAAATGTCGTTTAAAGAACGTTTTAATGTTACAAAAACTCTTTTAACCCGATTAAAATAAATGTTACTACCTTGTTGTTTCGCTTTTCTACGTTTTAAGTAGTTGATACATAATATGGAGGATAGTAAAATAAGCAGAAATCTTACTTATAGAATAAATGATTTTTCACGCAAGGAGAATAAAAAGTACATTAGGATGGTTACCATAATCTTAACATAACAATATTTATTTTAACTCATCACTCAACTATGTCTACAGTACCAGTATAGTATTTATTAGTGTTGCATAATAATGTCGTAATTACATAATACGTAAATGTAATCAATATCACCTAGCTTACATTATCTCGGAATTTTTCTCGTTCCATTTGTCATCTCAATTAATCATAAAATTAAGGATTCCTTTGACTAGGTACTTAACTGGTAGAGACAGAGCATAGTACGCCGTTACTTCGGTGGGATCAAGTCCCACCTTTAACCTTTATTTATATTATGTTTAAATGTATATAAATTCATCTAAAACCTTTTTATCCGCTATACTATGTCTTCGTATCTTAATAGGTAACGCACTGCGTTAAGCATGAGAAGCCGTGTGTTCTAAGCCTAAAAACTGTAAATTGTTTAGGACAGGCAGGGCATATAAGTCTGATCAACTACTTCTACTTGTAAATACAATCCATAAGCGAAACTGATACAGAAATTAGTTCGTCCCATACCCCACAGGGGAAAGGGGATTTCACTCTATAGTAAAATGAATCGATGTTTTATTTGTATAAAGTGTACTGATAACGGCTACACACAAACCTATCCGATCTGCTGACATAATATAGATACGCGTTACAGAGTTTGCTTATTAGTGATTCATCATAGATACCCTACTTACGTTAAAGGAATAACAAGCAAATATACCCAAAGCCGTTAAAATATTATGTGCAATCAATGACTATATTTAGAGGGAACCGGTAAAAATATTCGGCTCGAACGCGATATGTTATTCCTGTTGAGTTCCTGATAGTTACGAGATCTACATTCTCATAGGTTGCGTAAATCAATTAAATTGCAGCTTTATTTATAGACATATATAACTCCTAGCCGATGTAAGAAATTTGGTTTCAGTTCTTAAACTCAGTCTTGTAGGGAAAATTTTACAACAATACAGTTCTAAATATTGTGACAGGGCCACATCTTACATTATTTTAAAAACTTATAGATTCCATAGCTCAGTTCCAAAACATGTTAAAAAGTCTTGGGTCGCATAAGCTAACACTCAATGCTGTTAATAAAAAAAAATGTTTCTTACTTCATATTTTCAATCTAAGCTAGCATTTTTGTAAATTTTATACTTCTGAATCTAAAAGCGAAAACTTGTATGTAATTGACATTCAGATATCTTATTAGTCGACTAACGTTTTACCCGAATAAATAAATAAATTGTTCTGGTATGGAACGGTATCAATTAAACGCACATATAAATGTCTATATAGCTCAATAATAGAACTGTCCTTTTAACATTCCAGTAGCAATGGAGGAGGAATCTAGCGAGTTACCGGGCACAGATGGCCTGGCGCCGAAGCAGCGGCACCAGGCGAAGCACCGCGAGCTGTTCCTCTCGCGGCACGTCGAGACGTTGCCCGCGACGCACATACGCGGCAAATGCAGCGTGACGCTCCTCAACGAGACAGAGTCGCTGCTCAGCTATCTCAATAAGGATGTGAGTATGTACCGCGCACACATGATGCTATTACTGTGTACGCATATCCTATTCTTACTTATAATATAATCGATATGTACCAACCAAAAAGGCTCTATAAACGTAGTAGTTCTCTTCAAGGTATATGATACTTTAATAAAATCCTCAATGAAGTGCAAGCACTCAATAAATAAGTTCAAGTCGTATGTAAAACAAAAGGTGCTCGGAAAGGGTTATTATGACGTTAATAAATATTTAAATGTTAAAAATGCTTGGGGTGTGGAAGAACCTGCTCTGAAAATGAAACTTGACGATGAAAGGAGTAACGACGAGTTTATTGCCAGTTCTTCTCGTTCGTTCTACGCTCTTGATTTGGGAACTGGTAGTATTGTAACGTTCACAAGTGTACCCTAGTAACCTACATGAATAAATGATTTTTGACTTTTGTGATGGAAAATCTTAATTCTACGGACTAGCGTAGTATAGTAAACGTTATACGTTGACTAGTGTCAAGATGATACTATGTAGATTTTAGGTACTTATCATTTGTGAAGATCAATGTAAGCTACTTGGTTAAGTGGTTGGTTAATTGATTCGTGGACCCTCTGTAATGGCTGAAACATAGTTTCACTATATTTTGTGGGATTAAAAAATAATTTGGTTTATAAAACAATAAGTGTTCGAAAGAAACTAGCAGGGTTTGTTTCAAACGTAGGCCTCGCTATTCTCGATGCTTTATTTGAATGTATTAACCTATCCGGACGACAGCGTAACAATAATACGCGAACTAATAAGGAAATGAGCATGCACTTACCGTCCTATGTCGTATCAATGTCTGCGTTTCCTGTTATATTTTATTACTGTCTATATGCGTGTAAGGATCGATACGTCACATCGATGCTAATGCAAGGACACGCGGTAATGGAAGAATTTCTGTGTTCGTTACTTCGCGACGTGTGACGCGTTCGTTAATTGTTGCGATCATGATTCGTCGGTCATTTCACCTATGCTTTTAAAAATAATTATACAATATAAATGATAAAGAGTTATTATTACATTGATGTTGGAATCCCGGAATTCCTGGGTTCGAATCCCGGAAAACAAACGTTTCGAAGACAGGGCACCGTTGTCTGATGAGAACTTTAAACAATTTTCACTTTTTATACTGACCAACATTATCCTTGTTATAAACAATTAAAAAAAAAACAACCAAATGTATTGATAAAATAGTTAACGTGCTATCCTCTAATTACTACATAGGTTCAACAATATATTAGTACTTATCTCAATTTTCTCTTTTTTTTCAGGACGCATTTTTTTATTGTTTAGTATTCGATCCTTCACAAAAGACTTTATTAGCAGATAAGGGTGAAATCAGAGTGGGAAGTAGATATCAGACTGAAGTAACTAATTTATTAAAAGAAGGTAAGAAGTCTCGTGAATTTATTTTTAAGTAATTAATTAGTCTCAAATTAACTTCAATTGGAAGTTATGGTTCTTTTTTATTTAGAATTCTTTGATATGACTGATTTTAGGTTATTTAATGAATTGTTCTTATAGGTGAGGAGGACGCAAGAAACAGTGAAGAATTAGAAACGCTAGTATGGACGCCGGAGCACGGTCTAACGGACCGGCAGATAGACCAATTCCTGGTAGTATCGCGCTCCGTTGGCACCTTCGCGCGAGCGCTCGACTGCTCCTCCAGCGTAAAGCAACCCTCACTACACATGTCTGCCGCTGCCGCCAGCAGGGACATTACACTTGTGAGTATTCTTATAAATATTAATCATCTATTTTTTGTTTTAAATTTCCACAGTGTTATATCTATTAGTACATTACTGTAGCGGCCAGCAAAGTTTTGAAAGACTCAGATATGAAGTTCAGATATTTCAAACCAATGGCAAAGTTGAAGAGCTTTCTATGTGCAAGCCGTGCAAGTTCGAAATTTAAATAACACCTTTGATAAGTTACCTCTTACGTCGCAATCTTGCGAAATTACACGACAAATATAGAAATCATATAAGCAATTTATTTGTCCGCTAAACACGAGAGATATGCATTTTCTTATAACTCTTGCCGGCCGACTAGTACAGCAAATTAAATTTCAGATTGTCAAAATAATGCTCAAATTTTCAAGTTTGAAGAAAAGTATTGTGTGATATATACTCAGTTAGCAAAGTGCCTTCAAATCGATCGTCAGATACACACTATAAAATGAAAATAAGCATATTGTAAATACAATATTCAGCATTTACAATATGCCGTATATTTCGTTTATATATAAAGTAGTATAAATAATAGAATAAAACTCCAATATAGTCACAAACGATTCTCTCAATTGTCATACATAGTGCCCTATATTAGACAAAGTATTGTGCTTTAGATAAATTGTTTGCTCGTAGCTGTTACACATTTAATCAACAATATTTCAGTTCCACGCAATGGATACGCTACACAAAAGCGGATACAGCATAGAGACCGCTCTGTCCTCCCTAGTGCCTGCTTCTGGGCCTGTTCTCTGTCGCGACGAGATGGAGGAATGGTCCGCCTCAGAGGCCAATCTCTTTGAGGAAGCCCTCGACAAGTATGGCAAGGACTTTGTTGACATACGACAGGATTTTGTAAGTACATAAAGCATTTACAGTAAAAGCCAAAACATGCACTATAGAAAATTATCTAGGAATCTTGTCTAAGAAATACAAACATCTTTTATCTATCTTCTTGCAGCAGCCGGGACCACGGCTGCTGCAAGAATTCAAAACATCGGGCCGAAGTTAAAAATCATTTTCAAATAAGTTTAACTAATATATCGCGTTTTAAACCGTTAAAGTTTTTTTTTTAAATGTGTACTACTCGCGTAAGCTATAGACAGTATTTAATTTTACAAACATCTTGTTAAATTATATTAAAAGTGAAAGCCCGTTTCCCCCGCGTGGGGCGAACACATTTCTGTGACCGTTTCATTGACCCGTTCTTTTAACGGGCAAGTAGTTGATCAGACTTCTTTGCCCTGCCCGATCGAAACTACTTTTTTTTTGTTCCTGGGATTCGAACCTAGGACCTCTCGCGGTCAACGCAATGCTAGGCAATACGTTTAACAATTTGGCTACAGAGGCGGTCAAAATGATATTAACAGACTATAAAATGTAAAATAAGTATTAAGCATATAATACTATACAGAACATATTAAACTAGTTTTTATGGTACAGGGTGTCTGGCGGTAGATTTATATTGAAAAAAAAAACATATATCACCAATATCTCAATAAGTTATAAACAGTGCGGGGAAAAAGTGGTGTCATTAGAATCACCGATCGTGCGGATTTCCTTGTCACGATGTCGCAGTGGTCGGGTGAGCATCGTGCGTTCGCTATTATTCGCGAGTAACGATTCTTACGTACTCGCTCGCCGACAGTTTTGTTCACATTTCAATATTCGACGGATAGGCGATAGGCCGAGTGTAAATTTAATTCGTTAGTGAGTGAGAGGTTCCGTGCAACTGCTTCAGCTATAAACACACCACGGCCAGGACCTAGTCGATCGTCAAGGACCCCCGAAAACATTGAACTGGTTGCGTGAAAATGCACAACGTTTGATACGGAGAAGGGCAGCTTCGCTGTGACTTCCAAGAGCAAATGCATGAAATTTTGAAAAAAGATATGAAGTTTCATCCTTTTAAAATTCAAATAATTCAAGAATTGAAAAAAAAAATACTTTGCGTCGTGAAATTTTTTTGTGAAACCATGTTGGAGCGTTTTCGCACTGTGAATTCCTTTTTTTGGAGGGACGAGGCTCATTTTCATTTAAATGGACACGTAAACGAGGAAAATTGCCGTTACTGGGCTCTAAGAATTCGCAATCCTCGACTGAAGCACCAAAAACAATTACATTGCCCAAGGGTAACTGTTTGGTGCGCTTTGTCCACGAATGGGATAATCGGACCATTTTTTTTTTTGAAAATGCACGGGGCCACGCGACGAATGTCAATGATGAGAATTATCGGCTCATAATTTCGAATATCTTTTTTCTTAACCTACGAGCTCATTCATTATTCTCATCACACACGCGGTTTCAACAGGATGGTGCGACCGCACACACGGTCAGAGCTTCAATGGATTTGTTGCGAGAAAATCTCCCTCAAAAACTGATTAGTCGCTTTGGGGACATCCCGTGGCCACCGATGTCACCCGACCTAACTCCAATGGATTTTTTTTGTGGGGCTACCTCAATCTGTTGTGGACTTAAAAAGAAAATATTTGGCCAGAAATCAGCGCAATTGAAGCAAGTTTACTGCAGCGTGTGGCATGGAATACGAGGCTCCGTTTCGCACAGCGTGTGCAACAGGATGGAAGACATTTAGATGACATTATCTTTAAAAAATGAAATCCGCATTTGTACCCTATCTTTTTTTAGAAAAATTATATGTCAAAGATATTATTTTTTATTTAAATTTGAAAACATAAATCTGCCACCAGACACCCTGTGCAAGCACGGGGCGCACTTGATGGTAGGAGAAATACCCTAATCACATATCTAAAAAAGATGCGTTCTCGAACTATTTTGGCTTTGGAAAGTTGTGAAAATCTGTATTAATTATTGTTATATCTTATCCAGCTGCCATGGAAGACGCTAAAGAACCTAGTAGAATACTACTACATGTGGAAAACGACGGATCGCTATGTACAACAGAAACGCGTGAAAGCGGTGGAGGCAGAGTCCAAGCTGAAGCAGGTCTACATTCCCAATTAGTGAGTGTTTGTAATCCGCAACGCTTTTTTTATCTACTTTTAACTAGTATAACAAAATAGTCGTGGAGTTTTTAATACATATTGTGTTACTAGCAGAATAAATTTTACATTCTATGTGTCACGGTTTTTCGTCGATATGAAGGCATGTCTATGAGGCAGAAATAATACTAAGTCCATTTCAATAATGTGATTAGCCTTATCGAAATTTGTCTGCCTATGTTTGCCCGAGATTTGAACCTAGGGCTATTTTTGTTTCTACATAAACAGTCCTATAACCAAACTTACAAATTAAATTAAATGCCTTAAATAAACGGCAACATGAAAGAAGAAAATTGGTCAAATTTCTATATTAGTATTATTGTGTAACTTACAGCAACAAACCAAATCCCGCTCTGATAACGAACAACAATGCTGGTACTAATGGCAAAGGGACAGTGCTCAACGGTGGTACAAATGGTACAGCTGCTATAGCACCAACAGTGTGCGCTTCATGTCAAGGTGGGTTCAGAACAGATCGATAATAGACGAATCTTTAAGTCAAACATTACTTACTAGAAAATACATGAGCTTATCTAAATTTATAATTTCCACAAATGATACAAGTTGGGTCCCATATTAATGGAAAATGAACGCACCTTTACAGTTACAAATTCAAGCCAGTGGTACACCTGGGGACCGCAGCATTTACAATACAGATTGTGCGGCACCTGCTGGCAGTATTGGAAAAAGTACGGTGGACTTAAGGTACAGATATGAATCACTAAACACTATGTAGCAACTGAATACATAATATGTAATAATTTGTTATTGCTAGTTTTTATATATAGCTGTGTCAGCTACTTCGTCCGCCATGAATAGTTATTTTGGACATCCAAATTTGTTTTTGCAAACCTCCTCCTTATCTTTATGAATATAAGCTGTTACTCATGACGTCGGTCGCGTCCCATCGTTCTTGCTAGTTGTAGGCCGTATGTCAATCTTAAAAGATTGACATACGGCCTCATTACAAAAAATACTTAAGCCAGAACTGCGGAGTCTAGGTTTAACTCTTAAACCATGTTCTAAAGGAATCTAAGTTAGTACCATAGTTAGGTATTGTTGTTCATATGTTTACTAGTCTAATCAATTCAGCCGCTTCAATCAATATCATTTCATCAGAGCATATTGTTTTACTGTCGAATATGATTGTGTATTAATAATAATACTTAAATGTTTAGACGGCGGGAGTGTTTGGCGAGAGTGAAGGCGAAGCGTGTCGCGGCGCACGCACCGGTGAAGAGGGCGCCCTCTCTGCATCTCACCGTCCCCACCGCTGCACTGTGCTTAACTGCGCAAAGGTTATTATATCATATATATTTACTCTCAAGCCCTCAACGACTCGATCTGAATGTGGTACCCTAATTTGGTTAAAACCATCAAGGGACACCCTTGGCCATCAACAATTTTTGGTTTACGCATTTTATATGTGATTTATTTGAGCCTGTCGTTTTCGTCATTTCGTTTTCATGATTTGAACGTAATCATAAGCCAGCTGCTATATTAGTTCTTATTTATTTGGAAACGAAACAAACAGTCATATGCAGGACAATAGAATACTTAATTAAATCTTATAGAAATTACTTAAATATTTGATCATCTTATGTTGACTGCAAAAATAATTTAGTTATAATAATAAGTTCATGACGTCTAAAATATGTTGAAATTAAGACCGTCTTTTCTATAGGAGTTCAAATTACGCGCACACCTCGCGCGTCATGTGGCGACCGCGCACGGCGGATGCGAAGGCGCGCGGCCCGTGATGAAGACGCGCGCCGCCTTCTTCCTCCGCGCGTCGCCCTTCACAAGGCTCGCGCGGCGCTTGGTGCGCGCGCTGCGCCGTCCGAGGCACCACGCACGCTCACCTTTCTCGCCCATCAACCTTCACCAAGTCAAACACGAGTGTGAGTACATAATACAATTATTGACTTTAATTATTCGTTTGGTTTTCATCATTGTATGTGTATCGTGTAGTATTTAATTCTCCTTAAGCTGTTTCCGCATAACCTGGCAACGGCGTCCTTTTGTTATGAATTTGTAATGTGCTATAACGTGTAGTTACAGTGGCGATGGCGGGCGTGGGTGGCGCGGACATGCGAGCGATGGGCGCCGTGGCGGGTCTGGCCCCCGGTAGCGGGAAAGTACGGGTGCGCGGCGCGGTGGGCGCCGTTGCGGTCCGATTGGCGACAGCGCACGGCTCTGCAGCCCCTCGTGCGCAAGAATGGTTGCTGCTGACTCCCAAGGATAGAATGCCGGTGCCCGAACACGTCGCCTTCCCCAAACCACCTAAGGCGCCTGGTGAGTTGCAAACTACTTTTATATTATTCACACTCAGTGTAAAATGATTATGTAAAAACGTACAGACTATAAATTCCTATTGTCTTCATTCGTAATATAGATAAAGTTTAAAAATTGTGGAGCGTTAATCTCTTTGATATTTGTAAACATTTTTTTTTTGTAGACGGCAGCCTAATGTACGAGCGTGTACTGTCTCGAGCTGAGATAGAGGCGCGCCGAGGTGAGACGCCGACGCTCGCGCCGGTGACGCAGGCGCTCAAAAGACGCGCATACGATGACATCAACGGACTTGACAGTGAGTACAGGCTACACCTTTACTGACACAAGTTTGGTCATAAGCTAACCATAATTGTATTAAAAGTATTTTAATAGGAATCTTGATTTATTAAAGTGTTATAAAACATTATTTAATTGTTCACGCCTACATTGGAATAGCGACAGGTAAATTACAACATTTTTGTTAAAACCAAATTGTACTTGCATGTTAGCTCTCATAGCAAAAATGCTTACTCCAAAGAAAGAAGAAATTATATTTTTAAGTATATAGTGTTCCTCCTTTGCGAATCAGTTTAATACTAAAACTAGAAAACAACATTGTTCTAACTGTATGGCAAAAATAAATATTTTCTTTTTTGCTTATTTAAGGCGTGAAAGAATGAATTAACACTAGAATCCATAATATTCATACTTAAATTCTAAAACAATATTTACAATTACAAATATTTACATATATGTAATATAGTATTACTAACCTACTGTTCTTACAATTTATGATGACCTCCATTTTTTTTACATTTGGCTAAAGTGCTTTTTATATAGACGTAAGTGCCACGAATGTTTTGCAGTTTCAAATTTTATTTTATTGTTACTATATGAGTTTGAAACGTGCAGGAGGTGTTAGCAGCGCGTCAGCAGCCCCCCCTCCAGCCAAGCGGCCCAACAAACACCCAGCGCCCATGCAGCGGCCATCTCGCGAGCAATACGCCGCTATGTGTGCCCGCGCACAGGCGACGGGTCAGCCGCTGCCGGCGCACGTTTTTGCCCATGTCAGTATTAAGATTGATAAATATATATCGATATATCATATGTCGCAAATTCTTGGAAAATTAACGTTTTAAAAAACTAACACTTGTCTATACCTATAGGTGAACGGCAAGCCTACAAGCTTATCGGGTCGCGGTGGGCGACGTCACGTAATCTCGTGGATGGACGCTCCAGACGACCTTTATTACAGAGCCACTGAAACAGCCAAGTAAGGATTTACATTGTTAATTTATTATGGCAACACAGGTTTCCACTATTACTACATCAAATGAGCGATAAGGTAATTTTGAAAAATAAAATAGTAATCCCACAGTTTCTGCCTCTGCAGCCAAATCGTTAAACGTATTGCCTAGCATTGCGTTAAGCGCGAGAGGTCCTGGGTTCGAATCCCAGGGAAACATGCAATTGTTTCGGTCGGGTAGGGCACAGAAGTCCGCTCAACTACTTGCCTGTGAAAGAACGGATCAGTGAAACGGGCACAGAAATGTGTTCGTGTAGGGTTCCCCCTTGTGGGGCATGGGGTTTTCACTTTAATCCCACACTTTACTATCGCATTTGATTAACATAAAACTGTAGTACTTTAGCTCTATAATAATGTTTTTTTTTTTTAGTATATACAATTCATATTCCCGTATTTAATAAAATAAGGTCAATATTTTACGCCAAGTAATGTCGGTGACAATATTTGTAAAAAATTAAAATATTTGTGTTTGAATATAAATATAGCCTGTTTACCTTAATTGTGGTTAGGTAAATAATATATTGAACGGGCTTTCGTCTGTTATAGGGCCGCGCGGAGAGCGTTGAGTTGCGGCGAGCTGAGACGGGGCGCACGCGCACCTTGGCGAGCGATGCGCCCACCGGCGGGCCCGCCTGTTCTGCCCGCCCTCAAAGGCACAGGCAACGCGGGGGCAAACACAGGCACGGGTAGTGCGCCGCTACAACTGGTCATCCTCGACTGACAGCAGCCGCGCCCGCCGCCGCCGCCGCACCCCTACACCATGGAGGCACTGCTCGGCTGACGCGCCCTGTACATACAAACACCGCGCCGGATACTTCGCACTTCTTCTCTGGAACGAATCGAACGCATCACCGGATAAAATGACGCATTTCCTCCCAAATTATTTGAGGCGTGAAGAGATCGAGACATTATCAAACTGGACATTTGAAAACAATGAGATCTTTAAGTGATTTGGGAACTTTAATTACATTTAATTGTATTAATATAGTTTTATTTGTACGACTTCGCAAGGAAGTCGGAGACACAACGGCTGTAGAGTGAAACTGTATGAGAGGATTCATTTTGTCCGGCGATACCAGGGTTCCACAGAAAAACGAGAACGCTCCACCGCGCCTGCGCCGCTACGAACGTTGTATTTTGATAAACGAATCGCCCGGAAGGATTCTGTAGATAATATTTTAAACTGTATTGTTCTTATGTGGTTTGATCTGGCGATGAGCAATGTATTTGATACATAAAACGATATGTAAGTCTATTTCATTCGGAGATTCATTGTAGGATAATTTACAATTTTTTTCATAAATAAAGCACAAATCGTATCATGTGCATTTTTATTTCAATTTTGAGTTTTATGGTGGTTTGTTTCATACAATATAATACATATTACTTTTACAATGTTTTTATTTAGGTTAAATAAAATTAAAAATAGTTGTGTGATTTTTACTTAATGCAAACAAAATTTTGATAATTCTCTTATTGTTCAAAACAATCATTGTACCTATTTGGATTGGAGTTACTGATGACTTCACTGATGTTATGAGAGTTAGTATTAATGACTAGCTTACTTTTTAAGTAAAGTAAACGTTACTTATTTTTGTAATAATTCTGACTGAAGTTTACTGTGCTAAGTAAAAAAATAGTTAAACAATTTGTTTCTAAGAGAGACCACACAACATTTGAATTTAAACAATAGTGAATTTCTAGTACTGTAGCTTTTTGCTACCTTCTTCTTAATCTGTGGTAGAAATAAAACCCCTTTATAAAAAGTTATATTTATTCGAGTACATATAACTACATCTTAATATTATAATGGATATAACTATTCCGCGTGATAAATATGTTTTAAGTGAATTTTAAGACACCTTCTTCGTCACACACTCCAAAAAGCGCTATCACATAAGATTTACATATTCTGAGTAGAAAAATAATAATTTTACAAGAGTGGCGGTAGGTGCTGTAGCGGAGAGAGAACTGTGTTTCTAGACAAAATATTTTGTAATACACCTATTATATAACAAGTCTCCCATTTATGGCGATGGCACTATTAACAACTTTGATTAGTTAAATAAACATTGTACTTACAAAAAACAATTTTTACAGTAAAAATAACCTTACAGGGAGATGGAGAATGTTATAGAGATATTGTGAAAATGTCTTCAAAACTGGATTAGAGTTACGATTTAAAGATAAAAAACAAACCAAATTTAAAATGATGTAAGATGCTCAGATAACCTATTCAACTCAGACCTTACATCACCTTAAAAAACTTCATAACTCCATTGATTTAATATTGTAAACTAAATTGATTCTTATTCAAATTGCAATCAGAAAATGGTGGAAATATTTTATACATAATTCGGGAATAATATGAACAATATTTAACATCTATAACACACTGCATCTCTTATTGCCTGATCTCTGCAAAACAAAGGTAATTACCATAAATTATTATCGATATAAACCTTTCAGAGCAAAGAGATTCAACATAAATAATGATAGTAAATCTATTATAAAAACACAGTTAACTCTAAACAGCAGATAAATAGCGTTACCTAACTGTACTCGGAGTTAAATTGAGCAGGATATATTACTACTAGATACATTTACACTACATCAACTTTGTTGGCGGACAATGTTTGTTACAGTTAGAGTAGGCCTCCGATTACATAACTATTTTATACAATTCCATTAATAATGATAATATTACATCAGAAGTCAGTCCTTTAACATAGTTCAGCTGTCCTTATAATACAATAACCCCATAATAAATTGCAGAAAACTATCTCTAGGATTTAATCTCAAAGGCTGTCGCATCGCGTTGCGCGTGCGCAGCCAATTCTCGACGGCTAGCCGCGGTCGAATCTTTTCGCGGTCTCATTCTAACCACTTAAAATACTCCATACAAAAATACTGTACAATTACAAAATTATTATTTCAAGGTAATAAACTCTAACCGATAGTGACCGTAAGCGGTTCATTCATTTATATATTACTCCCGCGCTCTCATCAATAAGCTATATGTACAATGTCTTTTAATTTATATGTTACATAAACACACATCCAAATTTGATCCCAAAAACTGTAGTCTTTATCTCGATTTATTTTCTAAATTAAATAATGAGATCGAACATAGTCATTCAATATGGAATTTTATTTGTGCAATGATCAAAAATATTTTAATTTCTTTATAATCTTACACGAGTACAACAATCGCAGTAGGTATTTAACATGAGAATATTTAATTTGTAATACTTTCATTCATAAATAGGTTCATAATATCTCAATTTGTTTCAAGGCACTGTTCGTTAACAATCGACAACGGCTGTCTCATTAGTTTCGCCTTTCTTAGCCTACATTAATAGCCAATATTAAAATATTCAACTTGCAGTACAATAATTCGTATGAAAATACACACATGACTCTGCATACAAACACTCTATAATAAAATAGTAAATTTGCAGTATAATACATTCGTTTTGTAAATAGATTTTCAGGTAATTATATACATTCACCGGAAAATCATGATCTATACAAAAATATTTTTCAAAGATATTTCCATAGATAATAGTCATCCGCTCTATGCTGGATGCACAAATACGTAGGATTAGGTGGGATGGGATTTTTGGACTCAAACAGAAGCCAATTAAGCGACACAATGAATGGAATGTTTTAAAGGGAATTTCACTGATCACTGCGAGTGGCGTACCGCAGTTGGCTGTTTCGTGATACGAACGTATTCATTTGTGTCGGAAAGTCTCACGGTGGTTCATTGTCTTTCAATAGAATGCGGTGCGATCTTAACGATTTAACAATTAAAGAACCTTGACATCAAGCCGAGATGACGTATCGATCCAACTGTTTCATTGTCAGCCCGCCCTCTCTTCAGTGCTTCGACAGGTTCAATGGCAAATCTGAAACGATACACAATCCACTGTTATGTCAAATCGGGTAGCAGCTTTAGCAATGTACATCTTATTCAGTAAAATATAAAGGTTTATAATATAATATTTTTATGATATTATCATTTAATTCATGATTTACATAGATTATTTATTCGATTGGTCTTGGATTATTAGAAACAAGGTCAAACTCACCTGAAGTGGGTTCATCTTTGGGAAGATGGTCAGTGAGCATCGGGTGAGCGAGCGGAGGCCAGGCGCCTGGTGGCACGCCGGGGGACATAGCGTAGTGCATCCAAAGGGGAGCGGGCGCGGCGGGCACCGCAGGCGCACGATACACATGCGCGGGGTAAGCGTAGCCGTACACGTAATGCGGTGGCCATTCATCTCGTGGAGCTGGTGATCCTCGATACTGAGCCATGGCACGGCCGTAAGGAGAAGGAGGCGCATAGCCGCGATATGCTGCATTGGCCCCAGCCGGCGGGGTCGGCGAGTCCCGCGCCGCTCCACGTCCCGGCGAGCCCACCGTCAGCCCGTAGCGATATCGGTATCCATCTGGACTAGGACTAGGATCAGGGGAATGTACGCTAGATGGAGACTCCGTCTTGAGAGACGGCGGATACGAATGTGGAGACCTTTTCGCCTCAGGGGACCTTCTCGTGTTATCATCTGGCATGCTGAGTAGAGAATGTATACTATAGCTGCTCACGTTCTTAGACACGGTGTTCTCTTTTTTGGACAATGCGCCATTATGCGCGCGACTTGTCTCCGGTGGCGCGCGATGTGGCGTGTGACTTGGCCCAGGTGATGGTGGATACGAAGCGGTACTCAATGTCGGCACTGTCTTGGCCCGTCGCTTCATCCCCTGATCTTCGAGGCTGACACGTTCCATTTCTCTTAAGATACGTTTCCGGGGAGATACAATCATATGTTCCTGGCGACAATTGGCCAATTTTGCATTGACCAGGACAGGATAAGTCGAGATTTTCTCTCGTAGCTTCTCAATTATCCGCCCCAGTTCCTTTCTTTTTGTGCAAGGTTTTGTTTTTTTGTAAACTCTTAACTTATGATACTGATATGGTTTCTTAAGTTTCATATGATAGTATTTTTCCCGATCTAAGTCTGTACGTCGATCGCTGTCAGATTTCGTTTTCGTTTCTATCGGTCCATCGACAACATCTTCACCTTTGCCGGATTTATCTTCTGAGGGGGCAATATCTCCATTTCTCTTAGGATCACATAGGCCATTGGGTTTCCTAAGAGTTCCATCTGGCAAAGCTTCATGCTGAGTGGGATCGTGCGGCCTTCGGCGTTTGAGCCTCGATGCGGCTCGTATCTGCACAGAATGTAGTGTAGACGGCCTGCAATAATACATGGCTAGCTCTTTGGACAGGTTGCGACGGGGACTGGGCTGCTTAAAGCAGTGGTCGCGGTGCGAGGTGCATGGCGAGGAATGCAGCGAGGAATTGTCATCAGAGAGCGAGAGCGAGGCGCACGGTGGTGCAGGGTGAGGCGGCGTGGGGGGTGTAGGCGGCGTAGGTGCCGCGGGAGGCCAAAATGTCTTCCGGGGCACCGACACCCAACCCGCGCGCTCACCCTCTCTGGCACTTCCTCGTACGAGCTCCAATATGAACTTTCCATCTGCAAAAACATTTATAAACAAATTAAATTATCTTTTCTTATGTGAAACTTACCTATGTCACACGCATGGCAGCTCTGTAGCACGACATTAACATTCAACAATCATTATTAGCTCACATATACCTCTATCAATATTGACAAAAGATTACAGGATTCTGAAGAAAAATGTAACAGACACTAAAAACAAAAAGATGTTCACACTATTTAAGACTGATGACATGTTTACTGTGTCAATGTTTACAATAAAAATTGGAAATGTGTTTAATGATGATGTTGATGTTCACAGTTATATTAGGATTCAAAACTTGAATACAAACAATTAATACCAACAACTTAATTTCTCTATTATTGGTTTGCTTATTCCCTTCTGCTGCTGTGTTATTGCTTACCACATTCTTTCAAGCAACATTCATAATCCATAATTGAAAATATTGGTTCTATAAAACATTGCCCTAATAACAGACAAATATGTCTAATCTTAGCCACTTGTTTATAAATGATACTTCAAGAACAGTTATAGATATCATATGTTTGAAAATGATAAGTGACACTTGCCCTTAATGTTTGTTTATTCATTAATATTGTACAAAGAATGTGCTTACTTATAAGCAATACTGATTATATTAAAAGCGTTAAAAAATTTAGTAATGCATATAAAAAAATCCCTAAAACATATCTTATAATATATATTGCTATACATAACAAAGTCTACCAATTAGAAATAAATGAACTCACAGATGTAGAAATTTAACTGTATTTACACATGCAATAAGACTGTATTTCTGTCTGAAGATAGAAATGTTTGTTCCGCTACAGTGCCTCTAGCTCCTTACAAAACATAACAATAGCACAGAAGCTGTGCGCAGACAATTGGCAACTGCTCAGTCAAATGTGGCTAGTTATCAGAGCATGAATCACTTTCTAATGATTCTAATAATTTATTTATTTTATTAAGCTTTTCAGATAGAAAATCAATACTTTAAGTAGTTATTACAAGCAAGTTACGGCAAAACATTGATAATTTTCGTAGAAAAGAAGTAAACAAATAAGAAATTAAAGACCCACATTCAATATTGTTAAAATTTTCCAAAGGAAGATACAAATATATAAAAAATAGTAACCTTTAAAGAACTTGAGCCTGCCCCCTGAACTAGCGGGCGTTGCGTTTTGCACAGGAGGATCGTCATTGAGAACTTTACTACTGCTATTACCATTCACACCATGTCTTCTGTCTACTTCTTCTGTCATTTTGGTACATGTTGTCAGAGTTGTGTTAGTTCCTTCCTGTATATGCATTTCATTTCTACTCGCTCATTCAAAACACGAGCTATAGTTAAGTCCTAAAAATTTCGCCATGTCGCACCCAGCATTAATGGCAGCGCTACACATAACACTCGTTGATTTGTAACAACTTTCGATATTTCCGTCCGAGTCCTCATCCTATTAGGGCCACCTGCGGGAAACTTGGCCGACACTCTCGTAAACACATTACCGACACGGTGACTACAAAATTCAAAACTTCATAGATCAATCCCGTTTTCGACAACACACAAACGATTTTGTCACTACCTAAATTACTACTAAACAAATACCCAATGCCGGAATCCCGATTAACATCAGGCTCACGGCAAAACTTGATAAAAAGCTGTTCGTTTTTCAGTACATAGTTCATTCACACCCAGCATCCATTTTGATTCGTTCAAAATCTGAATAAAATCGTTCAATTTGGGCACAATAAACTCAAAATTTTCTGATTGCGTTGATAGGTTCGTTCAGTAACGTATTTATTTAACTTACCGTAATACATTTTCTTAATTTAAAACAAGTTATTAAACAACATGTAATAAAAAAAATTAAATGTGCATATTCTATTTCACATTATTGTGCATTGTAAATATTTAGAATGTATAGAAATTATTAATTTAACTTGGTGACGATATCAACCGACATATTTGAACTACAGATGTAACGTAGTCTGTAAAACTTGGAATTTATTAAATATCTGTAGTTAAGGGAAAAGGCGAGTGAGTCTGTGATCCAACGATCTAATCTGTGTTTGTTTATTGGAGCCACAGAACGGACTATAAACTATAGTATTAACTAAAATATGGTGGACGTTTTGGTTAACTTCAATGTAATTGAACTCGGCGTTTGATTTGGTGATTGATTAAATAAGTTTAATCAGAAATAGACATACATTTATTGTTTTCAGTAAGTTCAAATAGTTATATTGAAACAATTAGGTGGCATATATTCCTTAGACATTTTCATGTGTACATTTATTCAATATGATGATTTCATGACACGCTTTCTATTTTCAAGATCTTTATATTTTTCAGCTACAACAGGAAGTGCAAATTTTTGATTAAAGTTGAGATGGCGTCGTCTGAGGTATCCGTTAGTCGAAAGATTATAGAAGACTTATCGAATGTTGAATTTGATACTAGTGAAGATGTTGAAGTTATACCAACATTCGATTCCATGGGACTCCGTGATGAATTGCTTCGAGGGATCTATACTTACGGTACGAATTTTATAAAACTAGTCAACTAAAGCATATATATACTTTAAAACTGAATTTAATTTCTTATGTTCCTCTAGCTATATTTACGTCTATATGATAAGTATACTAGATTTTAAGTCCTTAGTTACGCACTTCCTGCACATTCCCCGAATTAAGTTGTTTTACATTATTTTCTTAAGAAGGGTCGTTTGGAAGAGATTGCTTTATAGCGGTAAGGCCACCCGTTACACTCCATACTGTATACATATTATTATTTTTTTTAGTTAATTGTAATTGTGTGCATGTGTTGTGTAAAAAGTATAAATAAATATGTTCTGCTCAGAGCAACTACCTACCTATTGAATGTATCAAAACTTTGAATCTCCCCATAATCCCTTTCACTTATTAATTTAATGCACATAACATTGGATATAAGTATGTTCACATTTATTTGTTTGTATTCATAAGTAATATATTACTAACCATAAAAAAAAATTGGTTTAAGGGTTTGAAAAACCATCTGCTATACAGCAAAGAAGCATACTACCAATAGTTAAAGGGAGAGACGTAATTGCACAAGCACAGTCTGGTACAGGAAAGACAGCTACATTTTCCATCTCTATCCTGCAATCACTGGACACAACTTTACGAGAAACCCAAGTATTAGTACTGTCTCCAACCAGAGAATTGGCAACACAGATTCAGAAAGTTATACTTGCATTGGGTGATTTTATGAATGTACAGTGCCATGCTTGTATTGGTGGCACCAACTTAGGTGAAGATATAAGAAAGTTGGATTATGGACAACATGTAGTCTCAGGAACACCAGGAAGAGTATTTGGTTAGATTCCAGTTAGATATTATTCCAATTTGTATGTAAATAAATTCAACAGCCTTTATTGCCTTAACCCTCATTAATTAATTTCAGACATGATCAGAAGACGTGTGTTGCGCACTAGATCAATAAAAATGCTTGTACTTGATGAAGCTGATGAGATGTTGAACAAAGGATTCAAAGAGCAAATTTATGATGTCTATCGTTACTTACCCCCAGCAACACAAGTAGTTCTCATATCCGCTACACTGCCTCATGAGATATTGGAAATGACTTCAAAATTCATGACTGATCCTATTAGGATTCTTGTAAAACGGTAAGTGAAGTTATATATGGGGAAATGGGTGAAATGGTCAGCAGTAGTGCCTTCTATCAGTATCCCTATTAAAAGATAATTACAAAAAAGTCTATAATCACTACAATGTAGTCTAAATCTAATTGTTGTTTATTTTTAGTGATGAGTTGACTCTAGAGGGAATAAAGCAGTTCTTTGTGGCAGTTGAGCGTGAGGAGTGGAAGTTTGATACTCTTTGTGATCTATATGATACATTGACCATTACTCAAGCTGTTATATTCTGTAACACTAAAAGGAAGGTCGACTGGCTAACGCAGAAAATGCAAGAGGCCAACTTTACAGTAAGCTCAATGCACGGAGATATGCCACAGAAGGAAAGAGACAACATTATGAAAGAGTTTCGATCTGGACAAAGGTAAGCCAAGACTTGAATCAAAAATCAGTTAATTAAGCCGTGTGCTGTCCAATGAAAATATATATTATTTCTTAAGTATTAATTAATTAAATGCTGTGTTTTACAATTAAAGCTTAAATGTTATCTTAACATAATTATTGCTATTTTGTTACAGTCGTGTCTTGATTACAACTGATGTTTGGGCTAGAGGCATTGATGTACAACAAGTCTCTCTAGTTATTAATTATGATCTGCCCAACAACCGTGAGTTATACATACACCGAATAGGCAGATCAGGTCGTTTTGGACGCAAAGGTGTTGCTATCAATTTCGTTAAATCTGATGACATTAGGATCTTGAGGGATATTGAACAATATTACTCAACTCAGATTGACGAGATGCCTATGAATGTTGCTGATCTATTTTAGTTATAAATTGTTTCTCAGAATGCAGTGTTATGAAACAATTCCTTTTTAAGGTTAATATAATTATAGCTGCATGTCTCTAATATAAAAACTTTTCTTAACACAAATTCGTTTTTTTTTAACCTTATAATGTATGTTTTTTTTAATCAAGAGCTTATTTTATATTATAATAATTAAATGAAACAAGTGTTGGTAATGAAAGTCTTATAATTTAAAAAATAATACATACATACTACTTAGTATAATCACAAAAAATCACAATTTTAATAAAAACTATAAACATCTGATATTTAATTTAGACATGTTTTTACAATAAATATTAAGTATAACTAATATCTTGTTTGTTATGCAAATTTACATAAAAATTTATCTTCCAGGTCAAAATTCTATTGCTTAGATTACATTATATAAAACAACACATCTAAAAAGACTAATAATGCACAGTAATTAAATTCAATTTATCATTAAATCTTGATTAGTTGTTTAACAGTATTAGATAATAAACTTTAATATTTAAAATGTTATCAGAATATTATGTAATAAACTAGAACTGTATTTATAAGGCTTATGTTACAGTCAAATATTCATATAGACATTGTGTCTTTCAAATTGTTTAATCCAATTTATGGTTCTGTTTATAAAAAACAGATGTTTTCTGGTCTAAGTCAGTGTGTTTCCAACACTTCAAGATATATAAGAACAATCTCAAAGCAAATTCAACTATATTATTTGGTTAGCTTGAAGCCTTTTGAATAATATAAAATAAACTTAGGCCTATGTGATGACAGTTTTTTTAAGTATATTTACAATTCAGTGTCAACTTGTGCATAAGCATTCCACCGCCTATAGATAAAAATGGCAATGGCTCCAAGCAGTAAAGCAACAATTATCTCAAGGACTTGGTCCAAAACAGTAGTACTAGTATCAACAGATTCCAATACTTGAGGTTCAGGCTCATAAGTAGGTTCTGGTTCAGGTGGTTTTGTAGCTTGTTCTTCCTCCCCTTTAAAAGCAATTTGGTCTAAAACTGATTTTTCTTCTTCAGTAACTGGCTTAGCTGCGTTAGATGACAACAATAATGCAATATCACCACATTCGGAACATGTCCAGCTTACAGACTTTTTTGCTAAAGCTTTACGCTCAGCTGGTGTATAATCAAGTGAACCAATTGTACCTTCTGCCGGTGTTGGCATAAATGCTATTAAAGCCAAGAGGGCAGTCCTTATAGACCACGAAGGTTGCCATGTTTCAGGATGATATCCAGATATTGATAAACATATTTTCTTATTGACCTCAAATCTTCCATTAGGAGTAAGTAGTATTATATGAGGAGGGTGCATAGGATATTCCTTAGGTAGTAATATTCTACCATGGTAGATTCCACCATCAAAATCAGTACCTGGAGGTCCTCTAACTGTAAAGTGCCATTCAAATAAGTTATCTTCTATTGGACGCGCACAATATTCTTCAGTGGCTTCTGCTAACTCCAAGGCTTCTCTCATTAATCTTTTAACACCTGGACACTTTGTATTGTACTTATCACCTATATCTGCCATTTTATAGTAATGTATTCTATAGGAAACTTAGTAATCTATTTTGGTAAACAGTACAATATATTTTGATTCAACAGTGATGAATAAAACACTTTTAGAAGTGTGTGTTTTTATGATGAATAAAGAAAAACAGGTAGGTAATTAAAATTTTGATGTCAAAATACGAGAATAATTGAGAATATCAAAAACTAAAGAGCAAAGATGAGGATGAACCAATTATTCCATAGACATCAGCTGAGTTGGAAAAGGAAAATCATATCTCAAATAAGAACGCGCCAAATAGATTCAGGCCAATGAATAAAAGCAACGTGTAAAGTGAGTTACCCCTGCAATACGAATCAATTTATTATTCATGCTAAGGGTACCGAGTATATTGTAATTCTATTCATATAGTAGTAATATGTTCTTTGATTTAATGACTTCTGTGGTATTTAATGTAGCTATTTTATTACATGTCTTAGCGGAATTGGCAATTGTTAGTTGTCATCTGTCAACAATTGTGATTCGTAAATCACATTCTTCTGAAAAACAACGCTGTTATTGTATTTTACAGTATTTGAAAAAAGTGTTGCAAATACGTTTAGATATTAATATTTATTGTGTTAAACGTTTGTGTTTTTTTCATTTCTTACCAGTTGTTGTGTTTGGAGTGACAAGACGCTTTAATTCACGTGTAAATTGAAAGTTGCTTTAAAAATGGATGGTATTCCTGGCTCGGGCAATGCCAATCTTGTTCCGCCGAATATTCCAAGCTATCCTCCTATGCCACCACCTCCTGCTACTATTACCGGTAACATGCCGCCTCCGCCGAACGCTGTGCCTCCTGTAATTCCTACATCGGGCCCACCTTTGCCGCCTCCTGGCATGCCTCCTCCTAGTATGATGAGTATGGGCCCACCACCACCCGGTATGGGCCCTCCACCACCGGGAATGGGTCCACCGCCGAATTTAGGACCGCCACCTCCAGGAATGGGGCCACCGCCACCTATGGGTCCGCCAGGTATTGGTGGGCCTCCAAGAATGCCGTCCGGCATGATGCGTGGTGGTCCAAATACTAACTATAGTCAAACGTTGGATTTGGGACCTCCTGGAATGGGTCCACCCCCAAATATACCACCGCCTGGTATGGGACATGGACCATGGGATGATCAAGGACCACCAGGTTGGGGTAGAGTTGATGGACCTGCAGGCTGGGAAGATGATGATGACCACGATGTGATAATGATAATGATGATGACTCAGGTGTACCAAAAGGATCACTGCCGTCACTTTTAACTATGAAAATTGATACACCTGAAGAATTTAGGAATAAATCAACACCTGTGACTGGGGTGGTTCTCCCAAAAGCATTGGAAGAAGCTTTAGCCTATAAGGATCAGCGACAAGCTGCTTTAGGAAAAGAAGCAGAGAAAGAAATTCCAGGTAAATTATAAAATGTTTTTGTTGTTGGTTCAATTGTCCAGAAAGTGTTTGTCTCAAAATAAAAACTTGATTTAGTAATACAATATAGCTTGAAAGGTTCAGAGCATATGAGCAATATTTGATTTGAATTGGTGTAGTAAAAGAACCAGGCTTTCTTTGTCGGATCACAAAAAATCTGAATATAGCTACAGACTGAAGTAATAAATCACAATCATTGATAGCTTTGAGAAAATAACAACGATAAATAAAGATAATAATAATAAGAAAGAGTTTAGTAAAGTATCTTATTTTTGCATATTGCAGAAGAGACAGTACTAAAAGCTCCACCAGCCCCTGTGATTAGTACAGAGTATGATGTTGAAGATGATGATGGTGACTCTGATGATGAAAACATGCCAAAGGTTCCTCAACCACCTGTTATATCTAAGCAAGAGGTATGTTAAAATGTATATTATTAAAAATAATTCTAGAACATTTCTAATATTATATAATTTGTATTTATAACTTTAAAATATTCCTACTTAATCAGTTTAGCAGTATTAGCATGATATGAGATGGCAAAGCCTACAATTACTTTTTTTTATGAATTTAAATTATTCATACTATTACCAGTTTGAGTTGGAAAAAAATATATAATATCATAAATTTTGCTGTCAAATCTCTGTAAATAACATCCCTATGATAGAACTGCTGATACCTAGTGAAGGTACTATATATATCAAAAATCCTAAATTTATTATTATTATTTTCTTATTTACACTGTGATTTGATTGTTAATTCTATCGGTAAATACTTATTATTTCAGTCTCAACCAAACAAAGCAAATAAGAATAAACGTAAAAAGAAGAAAAAGAAGGCAGCTAAGCAAAAACGTAGGGAAGCAAAAATCCAAGACATACCAAAAGCTTCTAGTACAGAAGATACACAAACTACCAGCGATAAAGAAAATAAAAAAGAAGCTGATATTGAGTAAGTCTTATTACTATGAAACTATTGGAGTTATAGTTCAATTTGCTGCTATGCGATTGTTGAAACACAATATAGGAAACACTTTTGCAATTGTAATAACTTTACTTCCAGATATGTACAGGAAAATATTCAGTTCCATGAGCTAGAGCCCATGTACCGCCAGTTCCACCGTATCTTAGAAGCTTTCAAGATAAGTGAAAAGAAGGATGAAGAAATTAAAGAAGAGAACAAGGACCAGCCCAAACCCAATAAATTGTTAGAAAAAGTTACTGATCAGTTTGCTGCTGATGAAGAAGCTGTTGAGGTAACATATAATTTTTAATGAATCAATTTATATTTTGCAGAACTACCTGCATTTGACGAAATAAATTGAAATGTTAGACTTAACTCAGTTTTTCTCTCCTATATATAAAATTAGGAGAATATTTTTGGAGAGGTTGTGTAAGTTATTTATGTGTGTTTTTATAGACAGAATCAAATAGTTACTTTATTACATGGCAAAGAAAAATAGTAAATGATGAATTTATCAAACTCTAAAAAGGTAAAGGTCAATTCTGCCCTTACATAAAAAAATCAACATTTATATTTGCTTGTACCACATTTCTGTATTTTTCTAGAAACATGCTGCTGAGGAAAAAGAGCGATTATCCAAGCGCAAGCTTAAGAAATTGTCTCGTTTGTCAGTGGCGGAGTTAAAGCAGCTTGTCTCCCGACCAGATGTTGTAGAAATGTATGACGTCACAGCGCGGGATCCCAAACTGCTGGTGCAGTTGAAGGCACATAGAAATACTGTACAAGTGCCTAGGCACTGGTGTTATAAGCGAAAGGTAAGCTAGACCCTAGAGCAGTGCAACTGACTGATTTTAAAGTAAGAGTTTTAATTATAATGTAAATGTTAAGAGGTAATTGATATCTTGATTTCCAGGTGTTCTGTTACTTTTTACTGTTACAATTTTTGTTTTAGTTTGGCAGTCATATGAGGGTTAAAAGTCATTTAATCTATGACTACCATTCTATGCTCTGCACTGTGCTCTCCATATTCATAAAAACAAAACTAACTCTTGTCTATAGGATATGCTAGAAGTACACATATAAATGAAAACGCGTAATATAACAGTGACCGTGACCGCAGCTCTATAAAGCATCCAAAACATCTGCTCGTTAAACTATGTAAACTATATATAGCTTTAAAATATTTGTATCATACATTTAGTATTGCTAATCGTTAACTATTATTCTAGGATTACAAAAATATTACTCCCCTTCACAGGTCCTTAATTAGTTATATTATTTAAACATTAATTACATTGTGAATAAATATAAAACATTTTACCAGTATCTGCAAGGCAAGCGTGGTATTGAAAAGCCTCCGTTTGACTTGCCAGACTTCATAAAGAAAACTGGTATCATGGAGATGCGGGCATCACTGCAAGACAAAGAAGAGACTAAGACTCTTAAGGCCAAAATGCGGGAGCGCTCTAGACCGAAATTAGGAAAGATTGACATAGATTATCAAAAGTTGCATGATGCTTTCTTCAAGTAAGTATTACATTCTAAATAAATAATAAATAAATTTAAAAAAATAAAATAAAAACCCTTGTACACATTCTAAGTTAACCCTTTGGATTTGTTATAAATTATTAAATGATAAATATTCAAACAATGTTCAATGCGATCTTGATTTTATCATTTCTTGATCCATTTGGTCAACAGTAACATGTGACCAAAATGTTTCTTTACATAGATTGTCTGCGGGCTATCAACGAAAAGGTAAGCAAATATTTTGAAATATACTATAAGAAGTTAGTTGGAAAACATTATATGTATGACGCAGATGGCAAACGAAGCCACGTATGACCATCCACGGTGACTTGTACTACGAAGGCAAGGAGTTTGAAACCCGTCTGCGTGAAAAGAAGCCTGGTGATTTATCGGAAGAGCTAAGGACCGCTTTGGGTATGCCTGTTGGACCTGGATCTCATAAGGTTGGTTGAAATTCTTCATCACAAAGTAGTTCAGTCGGTGGAGAATCGGCTTTGTATGTATTGCAGCTTCGAGGTTCGACTGATTTTTTTTTTAACTTTATTCAGTTAATAAGTTGGTCACAGGTGGTCACATTTCTGAGACCCCCCCCCCTCCCTAGTGTCACGTCACATGTTTTGCAATTACACATCGAAAAATTATTAAATTAAAACAGCAGTTCCGAAATTAGTTTTATTTCCATTTAAATGAAGTACTTTTTTTCAAAGTAAATTGTCGCGAGTTACGGTGCGTTTGGCAGCATTAGTCAAAGGGCTCGTAGGCGATCGGCGCGTGTCACTAAAGCGGTCATGAAGTCGTCGACAAAACAATTGAAACCGTATTCTCCTAAAGATAGAGTTGGAAATATTTTTTAGTTTAATTACTATTTCAAATCACGCGATTAGTATCTCAAGATGTCACGAAACTTAGGACCCCTCCCACTCCTTGTCACCCATGTCACACCTTGTCGACCCCCCCCCCCTTTACGTGTGACGTGTGACGTACTTTATGGATGACCCCTTATCTCGAAAAATATACAAATTCACAGATATCAAAGTTTTAAGTTTAAATAACCTTATTTTTTTAGGTCCCGCCTCCATGGCTAATTGCTCAACAGCGTTATGGTCCACCACCATCATATCCTAACCTGAAGATACCAGGTCTAAATGCACCTATTCCCGAAGGCTGCGCATTTGGATATCACGCTGGAGGGTGGGGCAAACCCCCGGTTGACGAGACGGGAAAGCCTCTGTATGGAGATGTATTTGGGCATCAATCGAGTGGGCAAGACGTATGCATTCTTATTTGTCTACACATTTTAGCCGTCTAAAAAAATTTGTTATGTTGAATAGTCTGCATAAGTCAGATAACAAAGTTCATTCATGTAAATCGCTCACGTCGGCCGATCGGCCCGAAAACCTATATATAAGCTCAATGATGGCCGTGAAAGCTTTACATTATTTATTATTATTATATTGATATATTATGTATATAATCTTCCAGGACAATGAAGACCAAGACATAGATAGAACTTTGTGGGGTGAATTAGAATCTGAGTCTGAAGAGGAATCTGAAGAAGGTATACCTAGTTCCATAATTGTATAGGTTTTCCTCAGCATACAGATGCGTTTAGATAGGCATATTTTTAATGTCTTAAAGTTTGCTTATTAAAAGCGATATTACTTTAAGGAGTTTTTAACTCTGCATTTGACTTTTTTTATTTTAATGATATGCTATAATGCATCCAAAATCGGTAAATTTTTTCTCGAATCTATGACGTAACGTTTCTATTTCGTATTCACATTATAGAGGAATCAGACGAAGGTGAGAAGATAGGAGAAGGCGATGTAGCAACAGGAGTAGCCACACCTGGTGAAGGTCTGGTCACGCCACTTGGCATATCCTCTGTGCCACCTGGTCTGGAGACACCTGACACAATAGAGCTAAGGAAAAAGAAACTTGATACTGACCATGAAGGGTAAGTTAAGGACACAAAAGCTGTCTGTGATTATGTAATGTTAAGGTTTATCAAAATCAGATTAGACAGACAGACACTTATATTAAATCAATCTTTAAATTTTAGTTTCACTAATTCTTACTTTGTAGTGGTGAGACCCCTGCCCTGTATCAAGTGCTTCCGGAACGCCGCGTCGGACTCACTGCTGGAATGATGGCGTCTACTCACGTTTATGACATGAATGCCGCCAATCCAGGTGAAGATTTTACTTTTTTGTATAAAAAATTAGACATCGGCTTAGTTTAAAACGCGTGCAACCCACATGATAGCCCCTGTGATTACAATATTCATACATTGAAATCAAAGTGAAGCCCCTACTCATCTTTACCAAAAATTAAAACTTATAGTTTAGAAAATTTAATAACCACCAGAATTTGTCACAATATTAAATTTTTTTATAAATGGAAGTGATTTGAGAATTAATAATTATTTCCTCAGTGTTCTTTGAATAATGTATCTTTATTATATTAGGTAAGGCACGCGTCTCTGGTGACGCATCTAGTGGGGTCGCTACGAACCCGGGCATCGTGGAAGTCGCACTCGATCCGTCAGAGCTTGAATTGGAGCCCGAAGCTGTGGCAGCACGTTATGAGAGACATTTGCGTGATCAAAGACCGTCCAAGCGAGAGGATCTTTCGGATATGCTTGCGGACCATGTCGCACGCCAAAAGGTGTGTATAACAAAAATAATAATTAGAAGTACATATTATCTCTAATTGATATAATTTAAATATAAATAAAACTTAATAAAGCTATCTTTAAAATATTTCAATTTATGAACATTATAATTATATTTTATGTCAATGTTATAAAAATACCCGTATAATAAACATATTTTTTTATTTCTCAGAATAAAAGGAAGCGCCAACAGAATACGGATTCTAAACAAGCAAAGAAGTACAAGGAATTCAAATTTTAAATATACAGTAGTAACTCTAGACCAAATAGTAAAAGTGCAGTAATCATTTTAATATATATTTCTCTTACTTTACCCGACGTAACCTTTGCATTGAGCAATAATCATTATATACAAGATAATTGTATACACACCCGTCTACGTCTAATTTCAATTGTGTCGTAAGAGATTTGTACCAATTTAATAAAAGTTACAGCAAGTTGACATTTCATGTGATTGATATAATAAAAAATATTATAAACATGTACTCGTTTTTATAGTTTTTATATCTCTATATCGTAATAGTAATTATTATATAAAGTTAAAACAATAATGAGAAAAAACTTCCTCTCCTGAAATGTTTTTTTTCTCATAATTGAGTTTTCTTAGCTTTACTGGCCTAATTTTATTTTCTCTTATTATTATTTATTTTTGTTCTTTTATAGTCTGATGAACAAATATAAATAAAATAAAAAAGCAATTGCTTTTTCCCCGGGCACCATGTTATTTTTGACTATGGAACGACTTGTCATCCATTGCTCTATAGCTGATGTCACAGTCAACTGTCATTTTCGAGTAATTTCGTGAATGTATGGTCAATGTCATTAGAATTTTAAACTTTTCTAAATTCAAAGTTATCAACTACTTGTTGCTCTTCGTATGAAAATATATTTTCGTAAAATTATTCAGTGTTGTGGTTTATTCGCAGGAATATCCCCATTATTTTACAATGTCTCGCGTTCTTGTTGGAGTTAAAAGAGTTATTGATTACGCTGTGAAAGTAAGTTTAAGAGTTCAAAGGTTACTCGAGAGTTTTCAATAACATATATTTATAACTACTGAAAAAAAATAGCCAGATAATAATTTTGTTTTTGAATTTAGTGACCTTTAAAAAAAATATATTTTAGATTAGGGTCAAGCCTGATAAATCTGGTGTTGTTACTGATGGGGTGAAACACTCAATGAACCCTTTCGACGAAATTGCTGTTGAGGAAGCAGTCAGAATGAAAGAGAAGAAACTAGCGAAGGAAGTTATTGCTGTATCTTGTGGACCCGCACAAGCCCAGGTATAATTTTCTCACATTACTAGTTCGGTGAACTAAGTTTTTTTGTTAATCTACACTACAATGGTTTAGTCTTCTGTATAACAAAAAGGGCCATATTTTTGGCCAAGGACCCAGCATGGTTTAGCCTATACACTTACCTACAAGGTTTGACTTGGGTATCGATTGTGGTATTCATTGTTGCTATACTATGTTAATTCGTAATTCATATATTAGGAAACACTTCGGACAGCACTGGCTATGGGTGCAGATAGAGCAATCCATGTAGAAGTAGCTGGTGCCGAGTATGAAACATTGCAGCCAATACATGTGGCTAAGATCCTGGCAAAAATATCACAAGATGAGAAGGCAGATTTAGTCATAGTGGGAAAGCAGGTATTGTTATTTTTGTCATGTAATGTTGCAGATACTAGATTTAAATAAACAATATTAAACATAAGTATTATAATGGTTTCTCATTATTTGTTATCAGTTGTATCTATTTCAGGGGGTTACATATAAAATGTAGAGAACTTTTTTGCTTTGTGTTTATTTTCAATGGCTTTTTATTTCAGGCAATTGATGATGACTCCAACCAAACAGCACAGATGACAGCAGCATTACTCGACTGGCCTCAAGGAACTTTTGCATCGAAGGTATAATATGCATTATTATCATATAATATTCTTATATATCTTCTTATCATAAACAATTAACTAAACAAAGAATGATAAGAATGAGGTAATGTTAATTTATTATGTTAGCTACTTTATACTTTTACTCATTTAATTTACATTTTGTAATATTTTCAATCTTGACAAAAATACTAAATATAAAACTTTTAGCCTTAGTTGAAGTTTAAGTTGAAATTCCTACTCATAGCTAAATAACATTTTGATAACAATTTGTACTATCTTCTATTATTTAGCACATGATTACTGTGATAACCTTGCATAGATAATATCATTGATTAAACAATTCATGATATATTTAACTATTAAATAAATTCACATAAATCATACTGTACCACATAACAGTAAGCCAATGTTAGAACTGCTTATTTAGGTGAATTCAGCTTAATGCATATAGTAGTAATAGTAATATTTTATATATGAAAAGTTATGTTATTTGTTCAAACAGTCTCTAATCAAAGAATTAAAGACGGAAGATATTGTAAGATTCTGCAAGCAAACCAGAAGGTTTGAAGGGGACACAGTGATCGTTGGATAACCCAAAAACTTTTCTACGAGGAGGAGATGGTGAAATGGTCAGCTGATAGTGTGTACTGATCAACCTGGCTGCTATGAGTGCCAATAGAAAATAATATATATTATAACATTTTATATGTTCTTTAGTCAAATCATAAGATAATCGTAGTGGTAGCATTAAAAAAAAAAAAAAAACTAACTTTGCCAAAGATTGGCTGAACCTGTCATAAGAGAGATTATCAATAGCAACTTAAATAGATCTCTGTTTGATCTGATAGATATCTGTTATTACAGGTAGAAAAATCAGATGCCGGTCTGACAGTAACTCGCGAAATCGATGGTGGGTTAGAAGTCATCAAGACCAAAGTTCCTGCTGTACTCAGTGCTGACCTTAGACTTAATGAGCCAAGATATGCCACACTTCCTAATATTATGGTAACCCTTTTGAAATTTTTATAAACTAGATAGTGCTAAATAGTATATATGTTTTAAAAACAATGTACTACTTTAATTATAATATAGTTTTTGTTATGTTCCATATAATTATTAGTAATAAGCAACTTTGACTATACACAATTAATTACTGCTTCTTGTCTATATTTTTTCTTCTTAACAGAAAGCCAAAAAGAAGCCCATGAAGAAAGTGTCAGCTAAAGATCTTGGAGTTGATTTAGCTCCCAGAATTAAGGTCATCAGTGTAGAAGACCCGCCAGTGAGACAAGCTGGCTCAGTTGTACCAGACGTAGATACTCTTGTTGCAAAGCTAAAAGAAGGTGGACATGTGTAAAAACATTGACTACATACATGTTTTTCCAATTTATTGCCTGTGAAATTTAGTAAAAGATTTTATATCAATTTATTTAGACCTATTTGTTATTATATACATAAAATGTTGCACAAATTTATAGTTTGTTTTATACTTTTATTATTGGTAAGAGGCAGATCAAGTAGTACTTATACAAATTTCCCCTTACATACATAGAAATGACAACATAAGATATTATAATTTAAGTTAATTTTGCTGTTGTAAACACTGTCAAGACCACCCATCAAAGTGATGCAAAGCAAAGGAGTCTTTGCTTAAGTAATAGTTGAACGGCCCAATATGAAACATTAAATATAGTAGGATCAGAAATATACACCATACCTTCAGTTAAAACAATAGTTAAGTAATACTTATTAATAGCTACTTACAATTTTTTATACATAACATACACTTCAACAATCTAAAACAATAATTCAAGTACATAATTCCTGATTTATATTGTAGTTTCAAGTCGATTTCTACAATCTACTAAAATAGTGGCAGTACAAATCATAGACATTAACAATTTACTATAAACAATAATTCTATTAGCGTATTGGGAACTAAATAAAATTGATGAACACAGAATAACCCCGTGGGTAATGCTAAGTACAGACTCCAATATGCTTAAGACTCTCAAAGTCTAACTGCCACGATAAAAATATCCTTATCTCTCGATAGAAATTTAATTACATATTAATAGAGAGCCTCGCCGCTGTAAGGCTCGTACCAAACGATTTTTCCTTCGAGGCACCCCGTTACGAGGAGATGATGCCTCGGGCTGAATTTGGAACTGACGACTAGATCTTGGTGAATTCCGAGACTTTGTCCCACGTCCACCATTTGCGCAGGTAGGGATTGGTCTTGAACGCAATGAGACAGCTCGCTGCATGACTTGTTAAGGGCTAAAAGGCGCATGCCGCAACCGAATGGCGAACAAACAAGTCGACCATCTGCCGAATAGCACAGCTCCTGAAATTATGACATATGTTATTTCCCCTGTTAGCAGTCACACTTAATGTTACGAAAATTATTGTTTGAAAAGAAATTATTTACTTTTAACTATGCTTTATCTAAAGTGAAAAATCACTAACTGTTAATATTTTTTTTTGCAACCGAAATGTTGGGTACATTTCGGTTGCTTTCTGGGAGTTGGTCACGGGGCTATGCTTAAATAAATTAATAAATACGTTTTGCGTTTTGAACGGTTGAAAGTGTTTTATTTGAAGCTTATAGGTCCATTGATATTGATCTGGTATACATGTACATGAATATGGTTTCATAAAAAGAAGATAAATCGTGCACAATGTCAACGTAGGTGAAATTTATATGTACACTAGCTGTGCCCGCGACTTCGTCCGCGTAGAAAAGTGACTTGGGGTAGAATTTTTATTTATTTAGGCAGCTAATCTATGTTGTAAGTGCTACTTTGCCGCAACACTCTCACCTCACATCACTCCTACTCTAACACCCACTCTCATTCCTACACTCACTTCCACTCCCGCTCCTATTTCCAAAACGCCAAAGAAGTGAGTTTCATTGTTCTAGCTTCAAAAACCACGATTTTCCGTACAAACTTTTATCCCCTTTTTCAATCCCTATCAACCCTTTTTTGGCATTATTAAATAGCCTACGTCCTTCCTTCTTTTTTCAGGCTCTAAAATATCTGTGTATCATTTCATTTCAATCAGTTTAGTAGTTTCGGAGTTAAAGCCGGATAGACAGACAGAGTTACTTTCGGATTTATAATATTAACATAGATATCTATCTATGTTAATATTATAAATACATTTCTAAATAGTATTTCTTATTTATGGAGACATAAAACTGACCTTGATAAATCCTTTTCCTTCATTAGTCTCTTCAACATAATACAATAATCTGTCTCGATTTTGATGTATGCTATAGTGCCTCATCTCTTCCTCTCCGTCACTCACAGTCTCTCTGTCCCTCCCATTGGTCGGGGTGTGACCAGACGTCGATGGTAATGTTCTATACATTTTATAAGATTTTAAACAAACTTCGAAATAAAACTGAGGTGATACAAGTTCCCAAGGTACATTACAAATAAGTTCTATATGGACTACAAAAAGTTTATAAAAGCTAAAAAAGTTGACACGAATTCAGAGGCGTGTAAAGATTCGCGAGAACATGTAAACTGTGTGTTTGTACTATTTTGACCTGCGTATAGCATAACTAACCTATAAAAATAGTTAAGGTCATTAGAGACAGTAGCGGGATGCAGACGGGGAAGGAGGCGCGCGGGTCGCGGGTGCGGCGGCGACGCTCGCGTGCGCAACGCGGCTGCCCCAGGCGGAGTTATACCCGTGTTGATGCCCAGGATACGTTGCATATTGAAGTTGCGTCCCACCTGACCTCTGTTACCCCATTTAAAACATAATGGTCAGTGACGCGTCATCCATGTAGCGGGGAAGTATTTAAGATTAGACGACAAAAAAGCTATTTAATAAAGTGCTTTAGTTTTTAGTGCTTAATTTGAATACATGTATTGATATAAAACATACATGTCATGTATATTAAATAATTTAAGACAGCAATTAATGGTAATTTCGATCATTTATCACAAATCAGTTAAATAAAACGAAACTCTTTCATCATGATAGTCCTTCGAGCCGGATAATGAGCTATAAAGACCGTTATTAAATTGAATATATTGAGTCGATCAACAAATGTGAGCATACAATTGACCAATAAGTGTAATGAAAACAATAAATCGAAATTAATGATGAACGTTAATGTTACCTGCTGTACATCTCTTGTAGAATTCTATGTTGTTTGATTGTAATTGATGCCTCCCATACATCATTTTGTATACTGGATAGACCCTGGATAAAAATGGTTGCATTTAATAAAGTTTTCATCAAAGTGAATATTTTTTAAAGCAATTGTAATTGACCCCTTGTTTAAAATAAATCAACAAGTCAGTCGAAATAACAAAAGGTTTAAGTATTTATTTTTTTAAAGAAATAGTACTAGTTTGTCGTTGTTAAAAATTCAAATCAGTGGTGAGGCTATGATGTGATAAAGATGAGTTTAAATATTGTATGCTCACAGTGTAGACCAACTCACCGCGCCAAAACGCGAAGACGGTAGCGCGGGCTCCGCCGACGAGCTAGAACTAGGACCCGCCTCCGGTTCCGCTTCCCGCTCAGTGTCGGATTGCGATTCCCTGTCTGCATCCCGGTCGTTCCTCTCCCGAAACTGATCTCCTGCACTAATCATTTATTCCTTAACCTATTTCATATTTATTCTGAGCTATTTCGGTGTCTATTTGGACGTGCGCGAGAACATTTCATATGTTGAGGTAACACATGGGTTATTTTATACCTAATTAAACATTAGCTCTGAGATGTTCTATATCGTGTTAAGAAGAGTCGAAGTTTAGCAGGTTGACCAAAAATTATGTATTAAATATTTACATTTAATTTATGTCGCGATAATGTGTACTTGACCCTTAGTTGTTGCTTTTATAACCATAAAATATAAATGGCAAAACTGAATTCAGTTTTAATCATTCATACATAAAATTATAGTATTGACTGTAGGTACATTGGTTCTCAATATCACAATTACAACATATTGCGCGTGCGGTGCATCAATCAGTTGGTTATAAAATTGGTTAAGGACGACTAAGACACGATTGGTTAAAGCATCATGGAGCACTGTGGGTGCCGTTCCAATCACACGTGTATAATCTGTTTTTTACAGTCTAAAATAGATTTGATACTCACGACACAGGTGTGACAGATGTCATCGGTCGTGGTGCCCGATAGGGCCTGGTGCGCGTGCGTCGCGGTGTTCTTCGAGGTGGTCTACGCGCAATTGGAGGTGGGGGCGGAGGAGGCGATGCGTCCCTCACTCCCTTATCAGATTCCAGGTGCGGCTGAATGTCGTGGATACACGACCACTGTGAAAGTGTATGGCATCATTATCTTACATTATATAGCCTTCAGTAACTAGAGGAAAACAAAGTTTATAATTCAATAGGACTCCTAACACGGGTTTTATAAATCTCTTACAATACTCATGGGTAACGTAAATTTAAGTTAATGGCTGATATTTATATACACAAAATTTTATATTTTGCATTTATTTCTTACGAAATATAAATGAAGAACTCTGTAAAAACCCTGATAATCCTAGTACAATTAGCAATCTTAAATCTCATAAAAGGATTTGTTTTTATGGGTAGGAAACTCTACCAACCTCTGATCTATCATCGTGACTGATATTTCTGCTCAGAGCACTCCAACCTTGAGGATGAATCTGAAATGAAACACCAAAATAAAAAAAATCTGCCTTTCATACTAGTTACTTTCGACTTTGGACATTCGGAAATCCACAAGAGGTACATATTAAGTAAAAATTTTGCTTTCTATATCATCAAGTTTGTGTTGGAAATGACCTGTGACCATTTTAAGAAATATGATTCTGTTAAGAATAATTAAAGCAATACCTGATACAAACTGAAGTATTATAATTATTGTTTTTTTTTTTTAATAATTTCACCTGTAGTGCACTAACTACTTCCGCATCATTACCCTCGGGGAAGTCAGACACAAACTCTACTCTGTTCTCAGTTCTTTTGGCATCAAATAGGTGATCATACATAGCTGCTATTGGTATTAACTGACCACTCATTTGCATTAATCTATATAAATTGGGCTGCAAGAAAAAAAGAACATTTTAGTAATGATTATTAATATCGAATCATTATATCTTAAGTAACAAAATTAGTTTAATACAAATAATCTACTCCAGGCTATATTTGTTACCTAGCATAAAACAAGAAAACAAATAGTAAAAAATTAAGGCTTTCTAAGTTTTATTTTACAATAATAAAATTAAAAATTTAGAGTTTATAATGTAATTCTGTGATGATAGTGAAACTTCTAGAATAATATCTGAATCTGCATTTTGAAAATCCATCCAAAGAATCTTTGCAAAATAGTTTTAATTATGTAAGCTTGCCTGTAACAATCAGTGGAATTTCAACTTAGGAACAACACTGACATCTGCCGTAGAAGACTATTTAGTTTCTTACACATAGGGTCATAAAATTTACCTTAAAACCATGTAGGTCTTGCACCAACATAGATAAGTTCAAATCATGTATTATAACAAGAAGTCCCCCTGTGGTGCACATCACCATCTTAGTTGCATCTGGTGATAATCTACAGCGCATTAGTCCCGATGCATGAAAAACTCTTTGGTAGACTAAATTAAACTCTGTGTATGAATTGATATCCCAAGTGTAAATACTGCCGTCTAAGCCTGATGTAACAAGAAGTTTGTCTTTCACAGAGAACTCTATGTTTTTAACCCAGTTTGAATGTCCTAACAGAGATCTTATCTTTTTTTTCAAGTGACGAACATCCCATAAAGCTATTGTTGTGTCATCCGAGCATGTTGCAAACATCCTTCCATCAAGAAATCTGTAATTCATAGTGAGATTATTATTAGTCTTATTCTGATAGAATATTTGGATAAAAATGAATTAATACTTACTTAACACAATTTACACAATCTGAATGTGCTCCGTTAACAGAAAAAATTCTCTGATGAGTAAGGGGGTCAAATATTTGAATAGATTTTTTTTCACATGCTGCTACCAAGAGTGACCTGAAAGTAAATAGGTACCTATATATGTAAATAGTTCAACATAAGCTATTTAGTTCTGCATTTGACCAGTAAAAATGAATTTATTTTGTGTTAATTGTTTTTACCTTTGAGATTGTTCTTTATTAATACATATGTATTAATAAAGAACAATCTCAAAGGTAAAAATATTTGTTACATTTGTTGTTGTTATTTAAAAATAAAATAAATTGTGAGAATTGTACACTCAGTACAACAGAGTACAGTTGGGTGGCAAAGAGTGAGCACACACAGTAGAATGATTATCTGTTTGATGTATTATGGTCTAGCTGTTGTTAAAAATGAATTATTTCTTATGTATATGAAATATTATAACATTAAGTTGTGTAAAAATACGCACCCTTCCGGGGAAAATTCAAGGTTGAAAACACCACCAGTAGGAAGAGCATTGTTCTGATCACTATCCCACGAAGCTATAGGCTTCATACCGCAGTACAAACTGCGAGCCATTGCATCTTCTCCACCAACTGGTCTCGGAAAACCACATTCTCGTTGCAATAACCGATAAGGATTAAAAGCTGAATATCTCGCCATAAAACTATCGCTCCAATATTTTGTACCCATTTTGTGACAATTGTTTACGAAAACGAATGAATACTGTCGTTTTTTTATGGTTTTGTCATATGTTCAAAACATTGCACGGTGAAAGATTTAAGAAAACTTGTCTTAAGTTATCTTTCACATAATATTTCGTTTAAAAAATGAAAATTTCTGATTTCTATTGGTATCAATAACCACTGACAACAACAAATGGCATTAGTTCTATTCGCAGATGTAACTTTCCAACATCAACCATAGATAAATAATAATACACACAGATAAAATAGTAGTGGAAAAAAAATGTGTTAAGCTTTTATGATACTAATATATGCCTATAATAATATTATGTAAGCGTTATAGTTAATCATTATTATTTTACTCAATTAGATAGATGTCTAAAACAGACAAAGTATATTTTTCAATGTATATGATATATATTATTAAAAAGTTATAATTGAAAAGAAAGTCACTTTATTTTATTTGAACTGAATTCATTTATACATATTTAATTACAAAATTATTACAATCAATATTATTCTAGGAAAGAAATAATACATTAGAAATCATAATATACATTAGAAATCGTTAACTAAATTTGAACGAATTATAGCAATTACAATTACCTTTTATTGAGTTAAGGTGGCAAAATCTACCAAGTGCTTCGAGGCAGTAACCCACTTGGTGGTGGTATTGTTTTACTTTCTAGAACATTCTGTAAAAACACCTCCAATCTTGTTTTGGGTCCACCTTCATCAATGTTTTGTAATATTTGCAAATAATCAGTACTTATCAACTTTAGAATTTTTGTAAACTGCTTGCCATAATATTTATAAAATTCAGAGCCACAAACAGCCATAAAATCAAGCAACAAAGTGGCACTAATGTCTGGTTCAGGTCTAAGGTTAATAAAAGAAGCCAGCCATTTCCAACCATATTTTAAGCTGTGGGGATTAGGTGCAGATATAAAGGATGGTGTCTTTGAAATCCATATGGCACATTGTAGCCTGAATATACCAGACATTCTTTTCAAAAACTTATCTTGCTTCTCTACCATCCCTTCATCATTGTATGTATATCCTCTTGACAAATAAAATTCTTTGTCAGTTTGACCTTCTTTTTGAGGCAACAACATCGGTACCAAATATGGACAATAGTTCTGAAAATATGCTTCAAGAAGTTTACCAAAATCTGGAAATTCAACCCACAGAACAACTGCTATTGCTGCTAATGGGAAAGCCGCTTCTGGCTTACATGAAACTAATAGGTCACCTTGCCTTACAATTTTCTTAGCTAATAAGGCAGTACAATAATAAACTCCTTGGGGATGTTGGGAAGCACTTATAAATGAATCTGATATCTGCACTCTGTCTCCTCGTAACAACTTAGCCAATTTTTCTAATGTATTTTTCATGTGGATGCCACTTACAGATGATAAGGCGTTAATAGGAGTGTTAACAGCCTTTTGGCAGTCAAATTTAAATTTTTTCATTGCACTGTCTTCTAGAAGTTGTTTGTACTTATTTTCATAATCAGTAAGGAAGTTTTTAAGGCCCAAATAATAAGCATAGTTGCTTTCAGAATAAAACAGTGGACCTTGTCTTTCAATAGGCTTTACAGTTTTCTGCTGCTCCTTTAATAGCTCTGCTTCTTCAGCTTTCTTTTTTTCTAGCTCCATAATTTTTAATTCTTCCTCTTTTTGTTTCTTTACATCTTCTTCTTGTTTAGCAATAGTTAAATCACTAATTAATTTGGTTTTAATGTTCTCTATATTTGCTGCTAATATATCTGATTGTTGTACCTGTTTTTCTGTGTTTTCACCTGTTTTTAAACAGTTTACTATAATATTAATGTTGTTCAAAATATCATTTATTAAAGACATATATTTAGTACTTATATTTTTAGCGAGTTCGTCGGATTCAATTATATTTGTTATATCACTGTAACATATCATTATATTTGTCCAGTTTTGGGTGACATGCTCTAACCTATCAAAGGCTTTCTTTTGATCCTCTAATATTTTATTCACATTCTGTGATATTTCTCTACTGATTGATTTATACTTTTGTTCATCTAGCTTAGCTTGTTCTAAAAGTGAAAGGTTATCACTCTCTTGTAGCTTTTCTATTTGCATCTTTCTCATCCTCAATTCAAATGATTTATGCTTAGATTCATAATTTAGTCTATTAGCCTGCATAGCTTTTGTATGATTAGCAATCATAGTTTCTGTTATGTTTCTTAGTAGTTCTTCTGATAATTCTTGCACTTTAGCTTTATATTTCTTAATGTGTATAAAGTATCTGAGATCATCACCAAGTTTGTCTTCTAGTAAGTTTATCACTTCTTCTGGTTTGTTTATAGGTTTATTTATTGGATGGCATTGTTTACTATTAGGACTCCTAGGCCCAATGGTAGCTTCTTTCACCAACGGACTTATTTCAGCAGCTTTGGTCAATGCAGATATTCGCAATTTATCAAAGCCTGCAAGCTGATCTGATATACTGATGTCTGGGTTTCTTGAATTAGTTGCGTTACTATAGTCCTTTACGCTTGAATAAGACAGATCTTCAACACTACCATATGAGCTATCCATGATTATAGGTTGGCGTGTAACTAAACTGGTACTCTTCGGCAGCACAACAGACGTTTACTTCCGATTATATTTATATATTATTATTATTTTTCTTTCTTTCTAATTCATCTCATGGCTTGTATCATCGGTCCAATGGCTTATGCTTAACGTTGTATTCTCTGCCTTATTATTAAAATATTTTTCACCTTAGAGTTAAGACAGTCAGTCAGTATATACTTAATTATTAATAAACATTAGATCGTCATTTACATTTTACTTTACTTATTTTTCACTTCATCGCTTTTTACATTTTATTGATGTTATTGCTCCACACTTTATTGAGTTATAGCCAATTCTCAATACATATTGCCGATTGCGGATTGCCTATAGATAGTTTTTGATTATAAGTTATAACGAAAGAGGCATGTCATATAATATGAAAGCTGACATCACTGATTGACGTAAAACTTGGCGCGAATTTACACAAGTTATGGTTTTGTCACAAACCAATCTATTATATATATAATAATAATTAAAGGTAGTTCTGTTAAATAGTCAAGGAGTCAATCAAAATTAATAATGGTTCTTCAAAATACAGGTAGATTCAAAAGTGATGTACAAAAGAAAGAATCCGGTTCTTCAGGTCCTAGGTGAAGATAATGTGAAGAATGTAATTTCAAAGAATTAATTTCGACAACAAAACTAAGCAAAGATTTTTTTTCTAGAGAGGAATCATCAGAATCACGTATACGTAACGCATTAGACAATGACCGAATTGATTCTAAATATGGCTTTGATAGGGTACGAGATAGTAAAGAACGAACGGGTTACCTTATTAATATGCACACGGTAATGTTTTTATTTATTATTATTATTATGATTGTATAATAGGGCATATATATAAATATATAAGGAGGGTGCCTCTAGACTTATCACTTTTTTTAAATATAATGTGGTTTGGAAAATTCCCCAATTTGTTTCCCAGTCCATGTTGCATGAAAATAAAGTACCTTCTACAATATTTGTAGATAAGTGATTGACTTTTCAGAAATTCCTAATATGTATTACTGTCATAATGTTGTTTTGTTTGATTTTTTTTTACCATAGGCAGAAATTCTGGATGAAGATAAAAGATTGGTATCTGCAGTCGATTATTATTTTATGGAAATGGATGGCTCAAGGTTTAAAGTATCATTGATGTTCCAACCGTATTTCCTTATTCTGGCTCGTAAGGAATGTGAACAAGAAGTTATTCAGTATTTATCAAAGAAGTTTGCTGGGACTATACACAAAATTGATGTCATTGAAAAGGAAGATTTGGACTTAGTAAGTATAATCACTCTTTGTTGAGGTCATGCAGTTTGCAATGTAAAAAAGAGTATTTAAATAAAACATTTTATATGTTTAAAACACGATATATATATTAGTTTTACTTATTTGAAAATTTATTTTTAAGTACAGCCCAATGTTATGGATGCTTTGCAGTAGCCATGGTCACGGGGAGAATACAGACAGTATTTAAAAACTACTATGTTAAAAAGATAATTTTGGTCTCAATCTATACCATCAATATACTAGAATTTAACTAGCTTTTATGTTTTATTTGTAGTTAAATCATCTATCAGGCATAAGACAGAGATACATTAAGTTATCGTTCATATCTCAAAATGAAATGATAAAAGTAAGGAGGGAAATTTTAACAGCGGTAAATAAAAATAAAGAAAGGGAGAAAAAGGATGCCATTTATGCTGAAATGTTAACAAATGCATTAACCAGTGCTGCAGCTATTGAACATGCTAAAAAGACTACTGATCATATGGAAAATATTTTAGATATAAGGTACAAACTTATCTTACTTAATTTTTGTTATAAATTTAAAAATCTAAAACATTTTTGTGGGATACAAGCTATTTTTTTTATTATTCAGAAATTCTAAAGTCAATCCACTACATGGTGCTAATTATTTTGATTAATTTTATCTACAGGCACAAAAATTAATTCACACTACTGTTTAATTAATGTAATTAGCTTCAGCCTGGATTCTCCATTCTCTCTCAGGTCTTACAATTGAACCATGCAATCTTTATACCTAAAATTATTTTATATCTAAACCAAATTATTTCATATACATTTTTATACTTATTTTCACAGGGAGCATGATGTACCCTATCATGTACGTGTTTCAATTGATATAAAAATATTCTGTGGGACATGGTATACAGTGAAATCTAGAGGAACTGAAACACCAGTGTTCTCAAAAAGGGATGATCTAATAGAAAGACCTGACCCAATTGTACTGGCATTTGATATTGAGACCACAAAACTACCTCTCAAATTTCCAGATTCTCAGACTGATCAGATAATGATGATTTCCTATATGATAGATGGACAGGGATACTTGATAACTAATAGAGAAATAATATCTACTGACGTTGAAGACTTTGAATATACTCCCAAGCCAGAGTTTGAAGGGTAAGATATTGTCATTGATATTTAAAAATTATATTTTGTTTTTAAATTACTTTTTAATTTCAGGCAGTTTATTATTTTTAATGAAACAAATGAACTGGCAGTTATCCAAAAGTTTTTTGACCACATAATGGATGTTAAGCCACATATTTTTGTTACTTACAACGGTAATTTTATTTCATATAGTTTATTGTACATACTAAATTTACAGTAACATATTGAACTGTTAAACCTTCTGGTACATTTTTTGCTATGGGTATAATATTAGATTCCTTATCATGACAAAACATATGTGTAATTTAACAAAGATGAAGTAGATATTAAAAAATACATTGTTTGTTAGCACTAATTTACTTTTGTTGGCCTTTTTTAATATTTATTATACTTAATTGCAACGTCTTTTATATTTTTACCCAAAAGAAGGCCCCATAACAAACAGAGCTTCTGCACACAAAACAAACAGGTTGCTCATAGAATGCATCTTTCTTTTGTATACTCCGACATGTCTTTAAAAATTATTATTTAAAAATGCAGGTGACTTCTTCGACTGGCCCTTTGTGGAAGCTCGTGCAGCTATTCTCGGCTTGGATATGAAGCAAGAAATTGGTTTTAGTAAAATGTCTGCTCGGGATGGCACATATGCATGTAGACCGGCAATGCATATGGACTGTTTGTGGTAAATGTTTGAACTGCTTGATAACAAATTGTAGTGTACTTATGTGCTTAATGGTTAACAGTGTATTATTTCTATTATTTGCTATTGGGGACACAGATAGGCCAGACTATCAACTGACTATTTCAACCATTGCCTCATTGGAAAGTAACTTTGGGTTACAGACAGAATAATAACCTAAATTTCTAAAACCTCACGATTTCTAGCTTTTGTAGAACTATAAATCCACCAGTACCAGTACCAGTATCTTTTACTTAGCAAAATAAATACTGTACTTCTTCAAATTTCAGCTGGGTGAAAAGAGATTCATACCTACCAGTAGGTTCCCAAGGTCTGAAGGCGGTCGCTAAAGCTAAATTGCGTTACGACCCGGTGGAATTGGATCCTGAAGACATGTGTAGAATGGCAGCTGAACAGCCACAGGTTGTATAAAATATTTACTAAGTCGTAGGATTTTGTATGTATAATGGCCTATATATATAGCACTTGTTATTTCTATGTGATGAAATTTGGCTCTAATATAACTACGATTAAAATAATTAAACTTTTAGTATCTGATAAATTCAGTGTCTCTAATTTCATTTTATGATACTAAATATATTTATTCATGTTGTAGGTCCTATCAAACTATTCAGTGTCTGACGCAGTAGCGACATATTATTTATATATGAAGTATGTGCATCCGTTTATATTCGCCCTCTGCACCATCATACCCCTGGAGCCAGATGAGGTAAAGTATATATATATAATTGAGGTTTATTTTTATATTATGACAATATGACTCAAGGCTGTGATATTTCTTAATGTTTGAAACACCCAGGCTATGAAGGCTCTAGCTGTCTCTGATTGGGGCGCACACATTTCTGTGTTCATTTCAATGATCGGTTTTATTCACAGGCAAGTAGTTCATCAGACTTCTGTGCTAGACCAAAACAATGAACCTGTTCTGTGTTTAAGTCCTGGTCAAATGTTTAACCATTTAGCTATAGGCAGTCAATTGTTGGTAAAGGTGGTTAAAAAAGGATTGGTTGCACACCTTATGAATGTTATGTGATGGACTGTCATGTTTTAATGAGAAAAATAATTATCTTAATATTCTATAGTCTTTCCTTTTTTTAATACCAATTTATACCAACAGGTCCTTAGAAAAGGTTCGGGAACCCTCTGCGAGTCGCTACTAATGGTTCAAGCGTTTCACGCGAACATCGTCTTCCCGAACAAACAAGTTGAGGAATTAAACAAACTCACTGCGGATGGGCACGTCCTTGAAACTGAGACGTATGTTGGTGGACACGTTGAGGCTTTGGAATCTGGTGAGTTATTCTTCCTTTTTCAACTCTTCTCAAGTCCCTAACGAGCTACCTGAAGCCGTTAACTACCAAACGAATTTATCGGCAATGTCCGAATTTACCGAATATCCGAAGCCAAAATAGGGCGCTGGCGCGTCTTGTTTAGATCTTATATGGCTGGGGTCATATACAGCTCTCATCAAGTGCACGCAGAGGAGGACAGACAAGCAAGATATATAACAAGCTAGTTTGCTCTAGTGTGAGGACTAACTATTCTATCTGCAACATGTTTAAAAAACAATACAGATTTTTTTTTTAATTGGTCATCCCATATTTTCAATCTAAATAGATTTTTTAATTTATATTAACGCGGTCGACTGCAATAATAATAAAAATTTGTTAAGCTTTCTAGTAACATTATAACAATTGATTCATAGTCTGATTTGTAGGTGTATTCAGAGCGGACATTAAATGTAAGTTCCGCATAGTACCATCAGCAGTGGATAAACTGATAGATAGCATAGAGAAGACCATGAAACACGCTATAGAGGTCGAGGAAGGCATTCCGTTGGATCAAGTAACAAATTTCGATGATGTATGCGAGGAGATTAAAGTGAAATTACAGCATATGCGCGATCATCCTAGAAGGGATGAAAACCCTTTGATATACCATTTGGATGTGGGTGCTATGTATCCAAATATTATATTGACTAACAGGTGATGTTATTTAATTATTTACTAAGAAGTATTTGTATAGGTGTCCGAAGTTTATAGAATCATGTTGGACTTCGTCGAAATTTTGGACATTAATCGGGCGGTACTCGTAGTAATATTGAAATTCCGTCCTGATTACGAAGCACCGTTCACAAATGAAAAGCCGTGAAGTTTCTGTTTCGGGTTTAATCTGTGGATTGTCCGAATGTCCAAAACGAGAATACGTCGACAGCGCGTCTTTTTCTGCCCTCCTTTGTTTTAAAAAATTAAATAGGAGGTTAAAATTATAATATTTGTAATACCGTGCATTCACATTGCAGGTTACAGCCATCTGCAATGGTGTGCGCTAGCGTTTGCGCAGTGTGTGACTACAACAGACCAGGTGCTGATTGTCAGCGGCACATGGAATGGATGTGGAGGGGAGAGTACTGTACGATTTCTTATATGATTTTTTTTACTGCAGAAGACTGTTAATCTTAACTGTTACTGGCTCTTAACATGAGTGAATGGTTTAAAAATGATGGTTGGTTTAAAAAAATTATATTAAAATTATTAAATCTTATATCGTTCTTTATGCTGCAGTACCAGCGACGAGGAGTGAGTATCAGCGTATCCAACAGCAGTTAGAAACGGAGAAATTCCCACCTTTGCACCCCGGAGGTCCGCCGAGAGCATTTCATACGCTACCTAAAGAGGAACAGGTTAGTTAAATTTATTACTTTTAAGTATTATTTAATTTAGTCAGATTCCCAAATTATTAAAAATAATAAAAATATCAATTTCATTAATGCTATATGTGATAATGAATTCTGAACTTTTATTCAGTTCTTTTACTTATGGTACTTCGAGCCGGAAATTACGTTCTAAATAATTTTGTTGTTAAAGTAATAATCTTTGGTTATCATTACAGGCAGCTTATGAGAAGAAACGCTTAGCCGATTACTGTAAGGTTGCGTACAAGAAAACCAAAGTGACTCGTACAGAAGTCCGCACTACTACCATATGTCAAAAGGAAAATTCGTTTTACGTAGACACCGTAAGGGCATTCAGGTGATTTTTTAAATGTTTTTATATAATCTATGCTGTTTTTATGTAATCTACGATACCAACTTATCCGAAGTCTGTTGATATTTTACAATATTTCTTTTTATAAAACCAGTTAGTCTTCGAAATAAATACGTTTCTCTTTTCTGAACATAACCTTGTGATTTTTATACTATAAGTATATGTCTTTAAACAGAGATCGTCGATACGAATATAAGGCCCTGAACAAGCAAGCGAAGGCACTTGTAGGAGCCGCTGTCGCAAGTGGTGACGCCGCTGAAATTAAGTCTGCCAAAAGTCGCGAAGTGCTCTACGATTCGCTACAACTTGCGCACAAGTGTATTCTAAATTCGTTTTACGGATACGTAATGAGGCGTGGGCAAGTATTTTCTCTGTCTGTCATCGATTACTCTAGCGTACCGAATTAATGTTTATTTTTTCTTCATTGTCGTGAGTAAATTATAAATACCAAAACACTATTTATTTAAACATAAATTACAAACATTACATAAAATGCATTTATCATAGGGCGCGCTGGCATAGTATGGAGATGGGGGGTATTGTATGTTATACAGGCGCTAATATTATTATGAAAGCGAGAGAAATCATTGAACAAGTGGGAAGACCACTCGAACTGGATACAGATGGTAAGTGGTAATCTATACTAATATATAAAGCTGAGGAGTTTGTTTGTTTGTTTGAACGCGCTAATCTCAGAAACTACGGGTTCGAATTAAAAATTCTTTTAGTGTTGCTTAGAGCATTTATCGAGGAAGGCTATAGGCCAAAATAACTAATTATGTGCGGACGAAGTCGCAAGCACAGCTAGTATAAAATAAAACTGTCTATTGCGTAAAACATTAAAAAATAATTTAGTAAAATATTTTTTTTACATTTAAAATTGATATAATATATTATGTTATTAGATAATATATGATGTTATTACAATAAGGATCATTTGATACAGACTTAAGTACTTACTAGCTGATATTAATAAACTTCTCTTTAGGTATTTGGTGTATACTACCATCTTCATTCCCCGAAAATGTTACTGTACATACAACACATCAGAAGAAAAAGAAAGTCAATGTCTCCTATCCCAACGCTGTACTCAATGCCATGGTTAAGGTAAATATTGTCAAATTATATAAAAGAAGATAACACTTGTGTAGTGTCGTGTCGTGTATTGGTATCCCTCAATCCATTCGCCCGATGTTATCTAAACCCTAACTTTTATGCATTAAGGTCGAATGTCTTATGCTTTCCACCGAAACATAACGCTTGATTTTTTTGTAGGACTACTTCACAAATGACCAGTATTATGAATTAGTTGATCCGGCTCAGAAGAAGTACGAAAAACGCGCAGAGAACTCCATATTTTTCGAAGTAGACGGGCCATACCTTGCCATGGTGTTGCCTGCTTCTAAAGAGGAGGGGAAAAAACTTAAGAAGCGATACGCGGTTTTCAATTTTGACGGTTCTTTAGCAGAACTTAAAGGTAAATTTTATTTAGTCTTTTCTTTGCTACGTCAGTGTAAAGGTTTTGTGCTGGAAACCGTAAAAAAATAACCGAACCATATTATTGTTCCATGTTTTAGGTTTTGAAGTAAAACGAAGAGGCGAGTTACAGCTTATAAAAATCTTTCAATCATCGGTATTCGAAGCGTTTCTCAAAGGAAACGATTTGAAATCGTGTTATGGCGCTGTTGCAAAGGTGGCCGACTACTGGCTGGATGTGTTGTACAGTAAAGGCTCTAACATGCCTGACTCAGAGTTATTTGAGCTGATCTCGGAAAATCGATCGATGTCCAAGAAGTTGGAGGATTATGGTGGACAAAAATCTACGTCAATTTCTACTGCCAAAAGATTAGCGGAGTTTCTCGGAGACCAAATGGTTAAGGATGCTGGTTTAGCTTGTAGGTAAGGCTATATATATCTCATTAAAATATAAGACCATGTCAGACTAGCGTATTGGCTAACAGTGCTTTAGATAGAGGTTTTGGTCGAACAGGTCACAAATGTGATCCTTTGTTCCCCTGTAAATAAAATATGTTAGTATGACAGACACAGATATTTACGTTTATTTCGCCTACAGATTCATTATTTCCCGAAAACCAGACGGCGCGCCGGTAACCGAACGTGCGATTCCATTAGCCATATTTCAGTCCCCAGCAGCTGTAAAGAGGCATCATTTACGGCGTTGGCTTAAAGACAATACAATTACAGAGGAAATCGACATTAGAGACGTATTAGACTGGGCTTATTACATAGAGAGATTGAGTGGCGCCATCCAGAAGATTATTACTATACCCGCCGCTATGCAAGGCGTAAGTGTTAATTGGTGTCCGGCTCGACGGACTATTTTTCACTACTATGACACTATTAATAACTAAAATATTATTGAATGATGTTTCGGTTTGTAATGGGCTGTATATAAATATATTTTTTTATAGTTGGATAACCCTGTACCAAGAGTCCAGTACCCTGACTGGCTGCATAAGAAAATGTTAGCTAAAAGCGATAAGTTCAAAACTAGGAAAATCACAGATATGTTCAGTGCGAAGCCGAAGGAAATAAGGGAAAATTATGATGAAGCTTCTACCAGCAATATTGATTCTGAGGTACCTTTGCTTTATAATTAAAAATCATTGTTTACCAAATACTTTACCGTTTCTTTTTTATGTATTACTTACATTTAAAATTAAATTAATTTATTTACTAGATACTGTCTATAGTTTACGCGAGTAGTACACATTTAAATAAAACACTTTAACGGTTTAAAACGCGATATATTAGTTAAACTTATTTAATTTTTAACGTCGGGCCGAAGTTAAAAATCATTTTCAAATAAGTTTAACTAATATATCGCGTTTTAAACCGTTAAAGTGTTTTATTTAATTTATTTACTATTTATGCCTTAAAATAAACTATTGTAAATATTTATATAAAACACTTCGCGTTTTAAACTGTTAAACTTGTTTTATCATGTAATGTACTATGACAATTAAACAACAGACTATAAATATACTTTTAGAATACGATTATGGACATGGAAGATATAGGCAGAGAGATTCAAGACAAAGAAATACGTCCGATGGTACATACGGTGAAACGTAAGAGGGAAGAATCCCCTGTCAAAGAAGCGGCGACTTGGCGTGAAGCGTTAGGACCACCGCCTCCTTTTGGAAATACTAAGGTACTCATTTTCACGTTTTTATGAGAAGAGCAAAGAAGCGACATTCACTTGACGAATGTGAAGTAAACAGGCCAGCTCTAAAACAATTAAATAAAACACTTCAAAGGGTTATAAACGCGAAATACATGAGTTAAACTTATTTAAAATTTATTTTAACTACTAATCACATAATTGAGATTCATTATTCTCTTAGTATCGCGTTTGAAATTCACAGAGCCAAAACGCATCGTGAATCAAACGTCTTAGTTTTTAACCTCGCTACGGACTATCCGTTGATTATAAGCCATGGAACCACCAAGTCTGATTTCCTTATTGTATTCAATATCATTGTGCTTTTAGGTATCTAAATTTCTATAATCACATTTTCAGAAAGAACGCTTAGCCTGGATCGTGTTTCAAAAAAAGAAATGGAAATGGCAAATTGAACAGCGAGGAATGAATAATCGGAATAAAAAAGGTAAATTTTGTTGTGATCAAGAAGTTAGAGTTTTATTCCTTTCATTTCATAGAGTAACAAAAATTACAAATAAGTTAGTGTGCTAATAGACCGTCTCTAGCTAAATGGGTAAACGTGTTGCCCAGCGTTGAGTTAAGCGCAAAAAGCCCTAGGTTCGTAACCCGGTTAAACATAAACGTTACGATCGTGCAGGGCATAGAACTCTGATCAACTACATGCCCATAAATAAAACTAATCAGTATGACGGACACGGGAATGTATTCGCATTCCCATGCCCCCTCGGGGAAATGGAGCTAAGCAAATATGACCGTAGTTTGTTGATAGTCATATAAATTCTCGCCGTATCGTTGTGGCTTGGTTAATCATAAACAATTTAAATAAATATTCATCATCAAGAAACCTAAATAAGTTTCGGAACATATTCTTAGGAAGAACAGACGAACCCACATCCCTACCGAAGAGTGTTGGCGCATCTAACACCCTGGGCGGTTTCATTAAAAGGGCACAGCGCACATTGCTTAACACTCCCTGGCAAATAATACAGGTAATTATGTTATATTTAATTACTTTTAAAATCTAGGCTAGGCTATCTTAATAATTCTATATTCTAGGCTGGCCGTACTTTTGTTCATCCCTAAAGAGTAACTTATAAACTCAATATATGTATCAGTTATCAGGTTTTTTATCTTGGACTTGGATATCAACAAACCATATAACATATAAACTAGATGCGCTATCTATTTTAGCTGTTGGTATGCGGAAAATGTGACTGAAACAGAAACGTAATTAAACTGGACGGTTTTTTCATCTGTGGACGGTGTTACGTGACCCGGATGGAATATCGATATTCTTACCACCGTTTAAAGATCCAGATTTCCAGGCGAAGTCCGAAATTGATTAGATAAATGTCGAACCCGGTGGGTTTGATACCACAACCCATTGTTAGCCATATATGGTGTGATGGTACACCGTAACTATAAATAAACTTATCATGTGAGTGAAAGCGGATTAATGATAGCTTTAAATGAATTTTTCGTGTACAGATAGCAGAGACAGCAGAACCCGGGTTGTTTCGCTTGTGGGCACTCGTGGGAAACGAACTACATCAAATAAAGTTGACTGTACCGCGAGTGTTCTATGTAAATCGGCGGCAGGCGCATGCAGAGGAGTCTGGGACATACTGGCGCAAGTGCAGTCGCGTGTTGCCTCGCGCACATCCCGCTATACATCTATACCAGTATACTGTCCCCGAACATCTTTATAGGGAAACAAGACAGTATGTATATTTTTCAATAGACAAGAGCCAAAATGCGCTGTCGATCTATTTCAGCATTTGAAATCTAAAAACCCACTGATGGAATTTCGATATTCCTATAACCAATTCAATAAGTCTTTCGGACGAGGTAAAATTTATTTTAAAAACATGTTGACATGGTAAGAATCCAAACCATGAGCCATAGATTTTTAACCGTAACGTATTAGAAAAATAATTGTCGATGATGTTTTTATTTATTTAATGAATAACTACTTAATACTTTTTTAGGGAACTTATGAGCGAACTGTCTGCCCCAGAAATAGAAGGTATTTACGAGACTCAGATGAGCTTAGAATTCAGAGTTCTGGTAACACTTGGATGTATATGCACAGTAGACCAGCAAGAAGCTAGACGGTTAGTAAATATATTTTTATATGTAAAATTTTTACGGTAATAAAACTTACCGAAAGTAAGATAATATATATATATCTTTAGAATAAAACAAAAATTAAACTTTCAAAGCTTTAATATTTTTTATATGAAGGCACTATATAATTTAAAAATCGAAATTCCTGGTAATTGAAAAAGTCCTGCCCGAGTCGAAAACTTTTTCAATTTATTTTCGATTTTTTTTTAATTAAACTATTTAAAAAATGAAGTATTATTTACCGTCTAATATGGTACCACAATGAAAAAATTTAACGCACTAAATTTCGATTGCATTTGTTTTTTTTCATATACTACTCGCTTTTCAGGCTTATACAGTTTGGGTCAAACATGGATTCATTTACTTTAAGTCAGCTGCAGTTCAAGAGTGTCGCGCATCAACCATATTTACAAAAACAGGTATGTCTGTAGCGTATACGAGTAGTTAAATAAAACACTTTAACGGTTTAAAACGTGATATATATCTATCAGTCTTTTCGTGACCACGACTGCTGCAAAGCGTCCGAAACGTCGGGCCGTAGTTAAAATAAGTTCCAAATAACTAATATATATCGCGTTTTAAACCGTTAAAGTGATTTATTTAAATACATGTGTGTAATAACAATATACATTTTTCTCTTTTAAACCGTTACAATAAAATGGAGAAACACTGCCATAAAAGCATATATAGAGTAATAGCTCGAATAAAGATGTGTTATGGCTTTTTGTATCATTATTTAAAACAAAACTAAAAATATCTACAGGATGGCGTATCTCCAGTGAAACATATATTCCTATACCAGCATTCTGCACCAACTTCTAGTCGTAGCATGTGGTCGCTTGTGTTGGGCCCTACAAAGAAGGCCTATATTTTCGTTCTTGACACTGTTAAAACGAACCAAGTGCCTAATATGAACACCCTGTATTCAGCTGAGAGGACTGCCAAGTGAGGATAATATTTTTTACTATTTTTTTAAGTTTTTATATTATCGCCATTTTTAAAGTGTGTGTGTGTATTATGATAGAAGAAGACAGATAAGCATAGGATTAACTTGATGGTAGGTGAAACACTCCAGCCATATAACATCTACACAAGATGCGCTGTCGTCCTATTGTAGCTTTGGATATCCGGAAATCCACAGACTGAAACCGAAACGCGATTGAACTTCATCGTCGCGGGCGGTGGGTCGTGAACCGGACGGAATTTAAATACTCCTACCCAATAATATGCACAACACGATAATTATTAGTTTACTACCAATAGCCCAAAATTCCCGTTAGCATATATAAGGAAATGTTTGTTTTTTTTTAACCGTTTAATGTTTTTAAAGTTTTAAGACTGAATTATGAAAATAAATATTTTCAGAATTAACTTAGGTACTGAAGAAACTACGCTACCAGGGTCTGAATTAAGTTGGGAAGTAGTAGTGGAAACGGAAGCGAGGGCCGTGTATAAGGGAATACAGAGGGCGCTGCAGAGATATCGCGATGAAAAGTGCGGGCCTACAGTACTGGCGTTGCAGGCAGCATTATCTCCTGCTGCACTTATTGCTGTTATGCCAGGTATATACAAACTGCTGAAAACTTTAAAATTTTACACAAATAGCGTTGGATAGATATAGAGGCAATATTTTTTTTTCAATTTATAATCATTTTTTATTTAATTTATACTGTCTTAAAACCACTATACTACTCTTTGTATTAATATAAATGAATATTAAAGTAAATCTAACGTTTGTTTTGACGGGTTCGTTAGTGTAATGGTAGCAATGTACAGCTAAAATAATGAACGGGTTGTGTGTTGATACCCAATAGGTCCTAAATTTTTTTATTTATAATTTTTCTGAAAGTTTAACAGTGTTTCGGTTGCAGTCTGTGGATTTCCAAATATCCAAAGTCAAAATAGATCAACAGCGCATCTTGTTTAGATGTTATAGGCCTCAGCTACAGCTATTTTAGCTACCATCGAGTATCATCATGCCTGTCTGTCGTTTATCATAAAAACTACTTTTTAGGTTTGTGCGACTTCCCGTTAGTCCCGCTACACGTACGAGACGTTGAATCTCTGTATAACACGTTAGAGTGGCAACGTATCGGCGCACGCGCAATCGTCCGCCATTATCTTAACTTGGACTCTGTTCTCAACCTAACAATCGAACAATGCAGGTAATATTACTGTTATAATTAATTCGCAAATCTTAACGCTTACTTCGTGAAACTTTATATAAATTGATAATGATTTACTAAGTTGTTGTTTTTTTTATTTGATATAGTTATATCAGATACTACACATAAATAAAAACAAATCTAAAACAGTCTTTCATAAATATACATAATTCTAATGCCTGTCTTAAGTAAGGAAAAATTATTACCATTAGTAATAAAAATATTTGTCATTATATTTTATATTACGATTAAAATACGCTACTTTATGTATTACAGATACTTCCACGTACCAATCGGCAATATGCCTGCGGATCCAACCTTGTTTGGCGCGGATTTGTTCTATGCGCGACATCTCATCAAACATAACTTCGTGTTGTGGTGCTCTAATCTCGAGAGGCCGGACCTTGGTGGCAGAGAAATTGATGACAATAGGTACGTATCAACTGCGGATCCAGAGGGGTGGTCATGACCCCATGAAAATTGTAGTTGTAAATCGATAGACGTTTACAGAGACTATATTGGTTGATTTATTTGTATTTTTTTTTTACTTCATTTTAATAAGGGGATAAAATTCAGCACTAGCAGTTAAATTGTTAGTAAAATGCTACTTTTAAAATTTAAAATCTTCTATTTACTAGATTGGTGAGTGAAGTGGAAGATAGCAAATCCTGTGCGGTGGGTTCTAGCGGTGCTTACGGAAGCGTGTGCGTTGAGTTGGACACCGACGCACTCTGCGTATGCGCACTGTTGCAGGCGCATCACATTTTGCAGGTATTCACTTATTTAATTTACTACTACACTTATATTTAAAAAAATAAGTCATGTATATATATGTAACAAAGAGTTTTGTAATAATTTTTATATTATATTACAGAATTCTTAATATATATATATATTTTTTTTGTTTTTCCTAATCTACAATTTTATTTTCTTCTATAACTATAATGAGAAATATTTCGTAAAAGTTAATATAACCATTTACTAAAGTAGATTACACGGCGTAGTTGACAACCTATTTTGAGAGAAATGTTCTATTTTAAAAAGTCCTTTTACGTAGGTTGAAGGCACCAGTGTCGCGACATCTTTTGGAGCTCAACATGCAAATATTCAGGATGTCATGGCAAATACAGGTACATATTAAGTGACACAAGACTACAAAATAAACAAGAAATAAATTTTCAACAAGAAAAAAAAACTATTGAAATGGATTCTGCTACTGATTCTAAACAAACTACTTTCAGGTTTCGCATGAAGTAGGAATAACTTTGTATAGTATCTCTTGTGTAGACTGCAGTCAACACATTTGTCCAATGTTGTTTGATAAATCCATAATTAATTAGTTTTCAATAAAATTCAACATTATGGTTTGATACCTTTTTTAAGACTATGTACATTGACTTTATGTAAATCTTAATATTTGTTCGTCTTTGTTTCAGGATCAAACGCAACCGTAAACTACGACGAAACAGCGCAGTGCAGCGCCGCGTTCAAGATATTGCGAACAATGATTGCGTCATGGCTGCGTGACGTCACTGTTTATAAGAACGTCTTTGCCGATTTTCAAATATCTCATTTTTACCGGTATACTATTCACTTTATAAATATATATTTTGCGTTCATAAGTGGAACCAATTTCTGGTGATCCGCCTCCCGTGTTTCTTTAAATTTTTAAATTGTATAAGTACTTTCTGTACATTCACACAGAATTCATGTTTTTAAAATAAATACATCTAAAATAAAAGAATAAGACTAATGAAACAAAACGGGAGTTCATGATTTCTGAAAATTACCCGAATCGTTGGGAAAAATAAATAATGAAGCAAATAATAAATCGCAGTTAATCGAATGTTTTTAAACATACGGATACAAGGTGCAATAAACATATATAACTAAAAGAAAATATATCGTCCATCCAGATGGCTAAAGACACCCACGTCGCTTCTCTATGATCCGGCTTTGCGTCGTACCTTATATAACTTGATGAAGAAGTTATTCCTCATGTTGATAGCCGAGTTCAAACGGCTAGGCTCACAAATTGTCTATGCTGACTTCAACAAAATCATACTGTGTACTAGTAAGAACACTGTCATAGACGGCATAGGTAAGTAAATATAATATGTAAACATATAAGAAGTTAGTTTGTAGTAAAATAGGCACAAACTAATTTAAAACTTAACATATAAGAAATCTATAAAAACTCGACGTACTGTTTTATGATTGATTATTAAAAACCTCTCGAGTACCTCATTATGGTCCTTCAAGCCGGATATTGTTCCCGCAAAATTTCAAATACTAAAAGAACACATGCTTTTGACTTTAACACGTATGTACCAAATATAATAATACACCCAGGTTACGTGGAGTTCGTGGTTCAAAGTATTAGAAACAAGGAACTATTTCACGGAATTGATATTCGATACAAACAGTGCTGGTCTTATTTGTTGTGGTTGGATGAAGCTAACTTCGGTGGCGTGCAGGTAATTTTATATGACTTATTGTAAACTCCCTGGAGATATTATGCTATTTTATTTTTGTATTCAGTCTTTACTATAGTATTGTGAACAGTGTCATTCATATCAACTTTTTTTAATTTTTCTATGCTTCGCTCTGACACGTACTAATACTTTCACTAGTACGCTTAACTTTTTGTATTTTAGTTATTTATACATTACTAGACTAGAATATAAAATATTATTGCACAAGGATTATAATCTTTTATAATGCATATTACCGTGCCTTTATTTTAATTGTTTCAATATTATTTATTTTCATTCGTTTTATTTTTACTAGGGGAAGTTGCCAGACGGTTTGGTGGAAGTTGGATCATCTCAAGTACCACAACCAAGTGACGAAGATCCGGAGCAAGAAGTACATACACAACCAATGTTCATTATATGTGCCTTTAATATTTGTTTATTCAATAAAATTAATAAATATTTGCAGAGCGCAGTTTCAATGCAATGGAATCTGTCAAATTTCTTACCGGGCGCAGTACGTGAGTACTTTTGCGCTGCTATTGCGGGTTTCGTTAGCGCTGCGCATACGCAAGCCGACCAACTGGAGACTTTACTCGCCACTGAGATGTCACAGAAGTTGTTCCAGTTAGTTCTCTTTCACACCTTTACTTATTAATTAGTTATAATTCTTTAATACATATACATAGTTTTTATTTTTTAATTATCAGGATTACAGAGAAAATTAAATCTCGTATGCCAACTCTAAAGCTCTCAGAACTGGAATCGCAGCCAGGCCTAAAGACGGAGGTACTGGAAGGAACTTCTCCCGTCCTACTTTTTGTAAATGCAATTTGCAAGGTGTTTTCGCTGGACGAAGCCCTTGAAGATAAGGTAGGGTTTAAAGAAACTTATCATCACGATTGATAATTTTAAACATAAAAATTATGCAAGCTGGTCTCGGGCATGTTTATAGTATAGTACCAAATTGTGCTCTTTCTTTTTCTTAAATCACAAAACATGATAGATATTTTCTAGTAGATAAAAAGTACACAATTTGTAAACGTATTTTTAATTATAAATGTATTTATAACTTAAAGAAAATACAGGGCAAAGGCGGGAATCAAATTCACGATTAACGACTATAAGAGGGTTGACAATTATAATGGACATTCATAAGTTTGTGTTGCTCATGATACATGTATAAACTCTACAATGGTCGGCTTTTAAAATACTATTTCAATAAAAAAATATTCCAATAAGGTGACACTGCTTCGGCGCAATCTCCTACGGTTAATCGGCGTTGGTGAATTTAGCCCTCTGGCGGAATGGCGTGAGGCGAGCGCCTCGTGTGTGCTCTGCGAGGTCATTTGCAAAGTGTGCAACCACTGTCGAGATCTAGATTTGTGCCTGGACACCCACCGCTCCGTCCACGCTGAGGTGTACGTTTTTTATGTATTTTTTAAATCGTAACGTTATTTAATTCTGTTCTTTAAGTATTATTAAAAATTATTATCAATTACTGCTTTAATTAATATAAGATTTATACTATACTCCCCTTGTTTATACATATTTAGAGTTTATGTAAGATTCTCTATATTATTTGTCTGTGTGAACTTTAGAAATATTTTTAAACTCCATCCGCGATTCAATTGTGAAACATGGTTCTTTGGTGTTAAGCAACATGATTTAATATTGATTCGAATAGCTACTTCATTAATAATTTAAAGAACGTTTCTAAAAATAAAAAAAATGTTTATGCCATTTAACAGTTTAGCACTTATCTGGTTTTTATCATCGTCCGTTTTTATATTGTCTTTCTGACCTACAAATGAGTGATTGAGCAATTATTTTCAGGCCCGTATGTCTCTGCCCAACTTGTGGTACTGCTTATGAAAACCAAGAATTGGAATGGCGTTTGATTGAGATTTTAAACCGAAGAGCAATGTCCTATACACTGCAAGACTTGATATGTTCTAGATGCCATCAGGTAAGGTCCAATATTTTATGAGTCTACAGTAAATTTTACTAGGACTTTTTTAGGAAATAACTAAAGGTACAATTTTAAATTAAGCCAAAGCCTTGCGTAAACTAAAGACAGTATTTAATAAATGAAGCCAGTCAATATAAATGAATATATATATTTATATTGATATATACTAATATTGTTATTATAAAGTCAACTGATTTCTATTAGTTATATATTATTTTACCACACTGAAGTGATTTTTAAAAGTAATTCCTTTTATGCAGGTCAAACGTGAAAACCTCTCTGTTGTCTGTGACTGTGCTGGAGAATTCACATTAATGGTTCCAGTAAAAGAAATCAAAGAACAACTTGCAACATTTAAAACAATAGCTGATTACTACCAAATGCCCCTGCTGTCAGAAATTGTACATTTTAACTTAAACAACATATGATATTATGAAATATTGATAAGAATTAAGTGTATTAGGTAAATAAAAATGATCTAATAAGGTTTTTTAAAGAAAATGAGTTAATGTTAAGAATTTATTAAATCATAATGTTACACTTCAAATTATTAACAGATAATACCAATATTAACTAAATCATAGTGTGCTCCTTTCATCATTAGATGTCTGCCCTAGTCCCTTAGATACTTCACTGATGCATTGCCACTGGCCATCTGCACTTTCTCTCCATAAACTTACTTTGTTATCTCCTCCAGAAATTGCTAGTATGTTACCTGTTAGAGACCAGCTGACACTCCATACAACATCATCAAAAGTATTTAGTATAGTCGGTGTCCAGGACACATTATCATCACTAGTCCAAATAACTACCCGCTTGTCTTGAGAACAACTAGCAATCAACGATTTCTGTAGTCCCAAAGAAGGTGCCCAAGCAACATCTCTGACCCAATCCATGTGCATTTCTAAACGGTTTTCTTCTACCCACTGATCTCCTTGTTCCTTCCATATCTAAAAACAAATACCATATAAAATTTTAACAATATATTTTAAGCCAATTTTTATAAAAACTATACTAGTAAATGCCAAATACGACTAAGAGCTTTGTTACAATGTTTATTAGCTAAGATGTTTACCTTTATTAAATTATCACATCCTCCAGACACTAATCTCTTTGAGGCCTCTTTGTTAGTAAGTGGATCTAAACTTAGATCTGCCGAAATAGCTGGACACCAACTAATAGAATTGACTCCAATAGCATGAGCTCCAGATATCTTCTTAACATCCCAGTTAGCAGCATCTTGGTTATAAGATATTATGGATATGGAACCGTCTGAACTACAACATGCTAATACAAGTCCGTATTCAGCCGGCGCCCATGCAACAGAATTGACAGAACTCTCGTGGCCAGTGTATTCATAAAGTTTAGTCCACTCCCCTGCTTCCTTCCATATTATTACTTTTCTGTCGTATGAACATGATGCCAATAGATTCCCATATTTAGGATGAGCCCAAGCAACCTGCCATACTGGTCCAAAGTGTCCTTTTAGATCGGCTGCGAGTGTTTGAGTTCCGCTTTTGATATCGTAAATTTTTACGGAGTTATCCGATGAACAGGTCGCGAGCCGGAGACCATAATAGTCTAGCTCTGCATCGTGTATCATATCCTCATGGCCTGTATCGATTGTATTTAAAACACTTATCATATTTTATGATTTACTTTCCGGAATAATACAAATTATGGTTATGCGTTCACTATTTTAAAAATGTAATGTCAAAAAAGTTGACGTGGAATATTTATCTGTCACTTATAACAGACAAGAAATTTAACACAGCTGTAGAAATGTTTCATAGAGAACAGAATATTTTTAGGTTTTACGGTTTTTTTTAATAAACCCTTTAACCTAGCCGTTAAGCCTTGGTCATATGTTTTCTGTCAAGCATAAATAAAAAAAAAGAAAAACAAAAAATATCGATGAGATAATAAAATCAAACCAAAGTATGAAATAAAAAACGTTTTATTTACATTTAAACAGAATGATTGAAAATACAGAAGGAATATTTTATAAAATCGAGAGCTTATTGGAAAAAGATTATCGCGGAGTAAATGTACTGTCTTGTACTATAAAAAAATACAGTAATTTGTCTTTAACTGTGTAAATTGTTTTTTCTGTTATTTTTTAGATAGCAGTTTACAGCTTAGCTACTGCCGGTTTAGCAATAGCAATACATAGAGTCCGTCCGGTGAGTATTTTTTTGTGTACTTAATAGTAATTCTGTAATTACATAACTTTAAATAATATTCCATATGCAGGTTAGCAAGTTCTCTAAAGCTAGTAAAGTACCAGAACATTTTATAAAAAAACATGAACCCTTGAGAGGAATTTATGTTGGAGTTCAACAATCACCTTTGAGATTATTGATCAGTCACAAGGCTCCAATTTACTTACCGTTATGGCATTCCAGTAAGCCCCCCTTACCAGTGAAGGTATTGTAAAGATAAGTGTTTTTATTAGTTGAACAAAAATATTATTATTTTGGTATGGTTAAATCTTAAATTTTTAGCTTTGGGGAGTTGATGTTATCAGTGGAAATGCTATCAATTGGTTAGATTGTGTGGCAAAAGGGCAAAAGATCACATTGAAGCCCCTAGGTAGAGATAAAGATGATTTGATTTCAACTGCTGTGTTGCATTTACCCCATACTAAGGTATAAAGAAAAATATTCTATATTTGTTTAATTACTTTTAAGTTCTTCATTAATATAATATTTAATTTTTAGACTAAAACTGAAGAAACGATGAATATAGGGCAGAAATTAATAGAACTTGGCTTTGCTAAGGCATCCGTCCCACAAAATCTTGAGAAAAACACAATTGAATTCAAGCTTGCACCAGTTTTTATTAATGCTGAAAATAGAGCAAAAAGTCTTAGAAATGGAGTCTGGTCTGAGAAATTACCCCCTGTACCTGTATATGTTGTTTACTGGAGGAAAGGTTTAAATTTAACAAAGAGTCTTGGTGTTTTGTCTTCAAAGAAGCTTCTGGAGTTCTTAGCATTTGTCTCAAAGGGTGCTTACGTTGGAATAAAAAGTCTTGCTGTCAGACCGTTTAAATCCACTCCCAAGCAAGTTCAAACAACATAAAATTGTTTAGTTTTTTTAAGTACCAACCATGTTATGAAATTTATAATCTTTTGGTTACTTGTCTTCCTGTATGGTTACAACGATTTAAAAAATATTTTTCTGGTTTTTATAGATAACTGTTGAAAATAAATTTAAAACATTCATTAAAAATGCAGTGAAATTTCCTTTACGCATAAAAGGTGTCTGAGTTAATCAAATTGCTATTTAAAAAAGCACTGTTTATTCAAATTAAATATGTTGTATATATTACATTAAAATATATATCTTAATTAAAATAGCAAAATAAAATACAGCTAATCATATTACAAAATAATTAACTATTGAATTACTTCTTTAACCATGTCTGCATAAGAACGTAACACCCAGTAATTTAACCTAAAAATATGTGAAAGTAATATAATTTCATTAATTATTTATTTATTATACAAAAAATACTGTTCAAATCTGGAAATAGGACACAAAATACAATTGTAATATTCTGAATTAGAATGTGACATCTTAATTTCATTACTATAATCTTGTTTTGCATTGCAACATAATATCCACAACAACACCTTGAAGAAAATGATATGGATATAAAAATACAAAAGCAAGTCTGATATCTCCATGGGGAGTTGCACCAGTCAAAAACGTAGATCGAAAAATAGTGTTGAGGCTCGAGGCCCAAATTCACTTAATAGAGAATTAATTGGCGCGGGTGTTTGGGCGGGGAATTGCATCGTCAAAGGATGGAACAGCGAGACAACCAAGAAGTGGGCTTGCGCTGTTGGTCCGTTGCTTTCAGCTGGTGAGTGCCTCCGCGTGCCCCTGGCGGGTTACTCGCCTCCTGGTTAAAACAATACATGAACACATTTAAAAAAGAATTGAATTACTGAAGAACTGGACAAAATATCCTACTAATCAAGCAAATAATAATAGAAACAACAAAAAGTCTATTTCATTGCGTCTAGGTTTTTACACTTACACTTGAACTACAACGACTACATTTAGTTTAAAATACACAAAAACACAATTGTTGGTCATATTGACATACAAATGCCAAACTGTATATAAAATATATAAAAAAAGCACAACTAAGCATAGTCTAGTAAATGTTAGATACCTACAACTTGTGGAAAGAATACATTAATACATAAATCATAAGCATCATATAAATAAAAGCTTATGAAAATAATTATTGAAATAGTCAATTATTTCTAATATTTTCAGGAAGATCTTATTGCTAAAAACATTCTTATTAAAACAATCATCGACTTCCTTCTAACCAATTAGTCATTTTAATCAGCATGACTAAATTACTGGCTAGTTTAATTGATGTACAGTGTTATATTATCATAAAATAGTTATAAACATTAGCAATAAAACTTAAAAAGCAAACATAAACAATAAAACAAAATACAATGTTCATTACAACCTTTACCTTCTGTGTGTAATAAGCCATGTAACAAGAGAAAAGAACATATAATTAATAAATAATGTCATAAATATAAATAGAAAGAACTTTTATCGGTAAATATGAATAAATGAAATGTCTATTATGTAAATTTTTTAAATATTACCTGTTTTTTCTCCATTTTAGCTTTTATATCTCTTGCTAATGTATAGAAAGCATTTTCAACATTTACCGAATCCTTTGCAGATGTTTCTATAAATTTAATTTGATATTCTACTGCTAATTGTTCACCTCGTTCTTTTGACACCTACAACATTATTCAAAATCTGATTACAACAAAATTCATAACCCTAGAGTTCAGACATACAGCCAAAGGCAATCAACCGGATTGGGAGAAGAGCAACAGGAAATATAAAATGCTTCAAAACATCAAAGGCCTGTAAAAAAGGCACTGAGGTAACAAATTAGCCATAGTTTGAGTAAAATACTTAACAGTACAAGTTTGCTATAAAGAGACAAAGAGAATTCAACATAATAAACAGAATCTTGGCCTATGTTTTACTTAATTTATAAGATATGATACCTGTCTTTTTGAATCCAAATCACATTTATTGCCAAGAATCATTTTTTCAACATCAGCACTTGCATTTTCCTCAATGTTTCTTATCCAGTTCTTAATATTTTCAAAACTCTTTTCATTTGTCACATCATACACTAGCATTATCCCCATAGATCCTCGATAATATGCGGTTGTGATGGTACGGAACCTTTCCTGACCAGCTGTATCCCTAAGGATAAAACACTTCAATTTATATACAGAAAGTATAAATATAAACTATGAATATGTATAAATCATGTACCACTTACCATATCTGTAACTTAACTTTTTTGCCATCTAAATCTATTGTTCGTATCTTAAAGTCAATACCTGCAAGAGTTCAGTGTTAAACAGCATTAATTAATTAAAATTAGAGTGAATGATGTCATATACAGTGCATTCATTTAACTTCATAAGGGCTTCATTTATCAATGAACCGCGCCCTGAATATCGTTAATTCGTGTGGGATTATTCATAACAAAAGATAACAAAAAATGCAAACGACAGTCAATTACGTATAAAAAATACAAGATTTTTGACAATAACCTTTGGTACAAAGACAGGAATACTTACCAATAGTTGATATAAATGAAATGTTGAATGCATCTTCTGAAAATCGAAACAAGATAGATGTTTTTCCCACACCGGAATCACCTATTAAGAGTAATTTAAATAAATAATCGTAAGTTTTTGCCATTTTTTACAACAATCTGATTACAGAATACACGGCCATTCATTTGGCATTTTTGAGTAATCGCTAGTGATGTGATATGCGTAAAAGTTTTATCTCGTGTACGTCAAAGACTATAACGTTCGGGACGTTCAGGAAGAAACTAAGATAAAATTATATTGAAGCAAATATATTTTAAGCCTTTTTGGACTGTACACATTTATAAAATGAACGACTTAGTTATTTATATTTTTAAATTAAATAAATGATCGCAAAACGTTTGGAGAAAAACAAATTTTATGTCCTTCCATATACTCTTCACCATAATACTAAGTGTCAAAACTGACAAGAACATTATGTATAATGTCAAAAGTCAAATATGTTTATAAAGTGTTTTGCATTTTACCGCGTATCTTAGAATTTAGTTTTCCTTTTTTATAAGAATATATTTAACAAAGAGGGACTTAAATCTCAACTTTTATTACATCTTTGCCTTAGTTAATAATGTTAAATCGATAAATACACAAAATGTTTTATCATGTAAGTCATCTTTACTTAGTATTTCTATCCGTCTCGTAAACTGTATACAGTTATAACGTTACTATCTTTCTTTTAGATATCCTTAGAGCACGAGATATTGCTCCATCCTCGTTACTTTGGGCCTCAGCTATTAGATACAGTCAAACAAAAACTATTCACAGAAGTGGAAGGAACATGTACTGGAAAGTGAGAACAGACTTTAGTAATAGGTTAGATTCAAATAGACGTCTTTGAACTTACATTAATGCTTGGTTTTGCTACAGATATGGATTTGTGATAGCAGTAACAAGAATAGAAAGTATTGGAGCTGGTCTTATACAACCTGGACAGGGTTTTGTTGTATATCCTGTTAAATATACAGCTGTTGTGTTTAGACCTTTTAAGGGCGAAGTACTTGATGCTATTGTAACACAGGTCAATAAGGTAAGAGAAACTTCAATATGTATTAATGATGAAGATGAGGAGTTTCAAAAGGTTCGTCCTTACGAGGCACAATATATTTTTAAATTTCAGGTTGGAATGTTTGCACAAATTGGTCCTTTAAGCTGTTTTATTTCTCACCATGTAAGTATAACTATCTCATTTGTATGTATGGATACACAAATTGGCCAATTATTAGCCACAATAGTTTACATAAATTTCTGCTTCATTATTTATCTTCTTTTATTATAATATGCACCATAATCAAATTATTAAATTTAATTTCAGTCAATTCCAGCAGACATGGAGTTCTGCCCAAATGTCAATCCACCTTGCTATAAGAGTAAACAAGAAGATAATGTCATACAAGAGGAAGATGTTATAAGATTAAAGATTGTAGGGACCAGAGTTGATGCTACAGGAATTGTAAGTATTTTTATATTACTTGCAGTTATTCTAAAATAAATATGTCACAAGCCATAATGTTAAGTGTATATGTGATACTGGGTGATCCAAAGTCTTCGACTCGATCCCTCAGGAAAATAGATCAAATATTTAGCAGATAATATGCACTGTTCACCCAGTCATCTATCAGTGTCGTCAATAGAAAATAATATGAATGTTGAGCACCAATCAAATTAAGCACTATAAAAGTAGTGGTGGTCCCTTCCCTTTTTTGATGTTGAATTGTGATTATGCTAATAGTGGTATCCCATTATTATAATTTTTTTTATACTGAATGATTGTGCTTAAATTGCTCATGTTATTGTCTGAAATGTCACAAAGTATATTTTTTTTGTTAAATCAATAACATTGTGTGTATACCTTTAGGTTAATATATAAAATATATGTTTTCAGTTTGCGATTGGCACTCTCATGGACGATTATTTAGGATTAGTGACACAATAATCTATTTATAAGGAAACAATGAAATAAAAGACTTGTAAACTATATTTTTATTTATTTGGCATTTAATTGTTGGGACATTACATTATGTTGTAACAGAAATATTAAAAAAGAACAAAATATTTGGACATAATCAGTCTGTTTGGGCAGTATTGTGGTTGTTCAGAGTAGAATTATTGTTCATAATTATAATCTTAAGTCTAACATAGTGTAATGTTGTTTTTTTTGGAAAGAGCAGTAACTTTGTAAACTATTACAAAATGCATCAGTCAGGGAAAATCTGGAATAGGAAATTTGGCTTTGGAAAATGTTTTTATTGTTTTGTTTTCTGTTGTTTGTATTGCATGTTGTTTTTAGCTAAACATAATGTAAGATATTCATTCATCTAAAAACTTAAATTTAGTTTTTAATGTGCACAATAGCATTATTTTTATTAATTTAGTGAGATTTTTAAATCCAGTTTTGTCAGTATTTTTATGTCTACAGCTATATACATATTGATATAATAACGAAATGTAACATAATTATCAAAATACGTATCCAAAGGGATGAGATGTCTTTGGTTTGTCATTTATATACAAATTATAAAAATAAATAAAAACCCCATTGAACGTTGCCAATATGTGCTATGGCAACTAAATAAATAATACTCGATATGAGATCAAAAACTCAATTTAAGCACCAAATAGGCCTAAATTAAACAGTGCTTATTGATTTAAGCGTGAAATGCCTCACAAACGTTACTCTAATTTCTATATACTTTTTATAAAATATAGAGACATAACATTGTGCAATATAGTGTTATAATATGCAAGATAGAAGATATATTTGGAACAATTTGTATTATTTTGCAGTCAATTTGCAGTTCACTCACTGATTTTATTGCAGACAATGTGTGCTGGCTAAGAGATAACTCACTTGTGTAATTGACACGGCCAAAGGTACAATTCATTCAACTTTGTACATATTTATGTCTAGCTAGTTAGGTATTTTAATACTTCAATTTAGCTAAGCCAGCGACACGATCGTCGCGTTACAAGGCACAAAATAAGACATTGCAATAAAATTATTCGCAATCGAAAACAGATAATATACTATGCTATGTACTCAACAGTACAGGAAGGTTTACTGAAGCAAAGGAGGGTTAACAGTAGGAATTAGCTGATATGATTTCTTAACAACTATTTATAAGATTCATCTACAGAGGTGAACAACATTGTGTCCAAACAATGTTTTATAGTGGGTTCGCCTACTCCTAAGGGTGTGATTTGAAGACAGGAACGTTTTCAAAAATATTAGCTTCTTTTCTACATATAGTAAATAATGATGACAGTCATTTGAAAACAGGATATCTCCAAACATAGACGATACCTAACATTGAAGCACAGACTAAAGGGGGGGGGGGGGATAAGATTTGAATACAGTCACTATCTAACATCCAAACATTCTTTAACAATATGATTAAATTGTTTATCTATATAACACGAATTTAAATAGTAGTAATACTGATGATATTTTATGTAAGATACATATGCGCCCGTAATGGACTAACACGTGTCGTTACCTTAAGGAGGGAAAGAGAGGAATATATTATTATTCTTTTACATGGGATCCTATCAGAACTAATGTGTTTCGCTTCCCCGTCATCTGGCTACAGCAAATTGTCCATCTTCACAAACCGAACACCACTCAAATCTGGTTTCCTCTGAAGTAAATGTGGAACTTAGACGAGATTTTACTAACTAATCAATACAAAGACTAGCACTGTATAAATATAAACTAGCGTAAAATATTTAACATTAATAAGATATTATATCAACATTTACTTCTCGAACGCGACCGTAAAATTAGGACTACACTGATACTATGTACTTGCTAAATAATGTAAAAATGGTTTAAGAATGACGTCACTAGTGTACCGTGGAAGAATTTCGAAAAGGGTTAGTAATGTAGCTATTTAAGATTTTCCTAAACGTAAGAAGCATGCATTTTTACCCCTGTTTCTTTTTGAACTCTTCTTTGCGACTTTCAGTTAATTCGTCTATCAATATCGTGTCGAAATGTGTTAGCAACAGAACGGAAGGTAAAGCAATGGGTCGCGGGGCCGTCTGTCACACCATGTCGTAGCGCATCACTGAAATCCTCAGTGCCTGACGTGGAAGCAGTGGCACTAGGCGTGCGGATGTCAGGAAGCGGCTGCTGGTGGAGCGATTCCGCCCGGCTGGGGTACTGCGGGGCACACTGGACCCCGCACGGCTTCTATATAGTCCTTGATGAGTGTCGCGATCTGATAAGCCTAAAAAATATGATGGTAGTGTGACATTAGTTTTATCTAATCTAAATACTGCCTATAGTTGCCATGATAGGTACACATAAATAAAACACAACGTTTAAAATGCGATATATAAGTTAAACTCATTTGGGAAAATGACTTTTTAACTCGGCCCCGATTCTATGCTTGCAGCTGCGTAGCCATTGAGAGAACCCAAAACTATAAAAATAGTGTCGTACACCTTGTTTTTCATCGTCGTTTTAGGTATTTTGTAACTAACAATTTTCAACATAATGGATTCATTTGATGAAATTCCAATTCATACATCTTTTATTTATTTAATTCTAGTGACTAATATTCTACGACTTAAGCGGAATATTTACCAATCCTTCCTCATTAAATTAAAACAGCCAAAAAAAAAAGAATTATTATTTTAATTCAAAGCGATATGGACCGTATTTGAAATGAATACACCGTTAAAGTGTTTATTTAATAAGGTCCAGTCGGTTAAGAATAAGGCACAATGTGATATATATTATTTTATTTTTATTTTTATCAATCACTTTGTCGGTTAGAATAAGACAATGTGATATAGTTTTTGTTTATTACCTGATCAGTAGACAGCACAAGTTTAGCGTGTTTTTTCTCCGCGCGTGTCACAAGTAATAAAGCTCGTGGCGCTGGGGATACGGCCAAGAGCTGGTCATGGTCGTGCGATACCAGAGCTGCTCGCGACCCTCGCCTTAAGAGAGTGAGGCCTCGCGCGTCTACCGCGAGCCATAGAGCACGGGGCCAGTTCGACGTAAATGATTGCTATAGATAAAGTATATTTTTTAATTGTCAGATTGGTGACTCACTTCTTTTTTCTTTAATATTTTAACACTTAGCCTCGTTTCTTCTGCTTATACATAAATAGTGGATATTTGAAAAGTGTATCACATTTTGGCCAGGCCATTTATATACAGAACTTATGCTCAAGAGTTTATTAAAATAGGTTCAGCCGTTTGAGATTTAGATTAGGATAGAGTAATGATGACTTACCATGACATCGAAAATTGTTGCTCTTGCGAGTGGCCAAGATGCGGCTAGAGTAAGCGCCCTTTGCATGGCTGCGTGTGGTGGTGTTCCCCGCAGAGCTAGATGGTGTAAACGGATAGCAGGTGCAGGCAGGGAGGGAGTGAGCCGCGGCGGGAGCACCGCACCAGCCGCTGCTAGGCATTCTTCTCCTCCCGTGCATTCCCCCTTTACTACTTGCGCGTGGAGCGCTGCTACCATCACCTATGGATATTTAGAGAAATGTTTACTTGGGATATAATGAAACAGTAATATGGAGGAAACTTATCTCCAGCCCTGCTTAACTTCAAAATTAACAATCCAATTTGAGGGGTTCTATTAAACATGGAGGTTTTCAAAAACAAATTTAGATGCCCACAATTACTATTGTTCGTGAACGAAGTCGCTGACACAGCTAGTTTGTGATAAATAACATTATTTTATAGGCAGAGAAAGTTACTCCTTCAGTGACTACTAGTAAGCAGTCATTCTTTGAATTCAGTTTGGTTCAAACTTACAGCCTCGTCAGTTTCTATGGGCAGTCGGTCGTGTCTCACAGCATGCAATAATTGGTAGTACAGTAATTCCATTTCAGCCCCGCACGCGCTGTGTAGTGGCCTCTCGCCGAGAAACAGTCGCTTTTTGAATACGAGTCTGTGAAGAAACCGTCTTTTAAAAACCACTATCAGTTCTATCTTCATAGTCAAGTAGTCTATAAAGTTATTGTATATTACTGTTAGGTGGTCTATATGTTTGGGAACAATATTAACTTCCCATATATGAGATTGAAAGGTTTTCTAGGTAGTTAATATGAGGTCACTTATCCCTAAGATTTATTTTTTGATATAAAATAATTAAATAAAAATAAAGGAAAAACCCTTTTATTTAAGGGCTTTTAACAGGATTTAAAAAAGTTTACAAATAGCCGATCGATAACTTAACACAGTTATCACTATGGCCCGAACTGTTATATTTCGTGTTTTAAACCGTTGAAAATGATTTATTTAAATGTACTGTTACTCGCGTAAACTACAAACAACATTTGATAACTGCAGTTTAATTTTAATATAAAATAGCAATCAGTCTATCAAATCCATAATTGAGAGAAATGTTATTATTTATTGTATTTACTTATTGATATCTTAAATAATTCTATTGAAATTTTACCTGCAAGCAGCAGCAGTGGCTCCAGCTTTCTCCCATCTCGCGAGCACGTCACCAACTCGTTCTGCGCCACCAAGTGCACGTTCACCCGTACCCGCTGGTGATGAGTTCGCGCACACTTCGTATAGAGCGTAACCTACGGACATAGTTATGTATGAAAATATACATTTTATAATAGATATCCTATTATTCCTTAGCAATGTATATAAGAAGTTGTGACTCTTCTGTAGCATAGTGTATTGTTTTGGCGGGCTTGTTGTCTGGGTATTAAATGGCTGGTAGGGATATCGAAATTTCGTCCAGGTTGCGAACCGCCGTCCACAAACGAAAAAACCCCGAAGTTTAGTCGCGTTTGAATTTCGAAATATCCAAAGACAAAATAGGTTAAAAGTTGCCAAGATGTTATAGTATTTCACCAGCTCCCTGATGCTTTCTCTATTGTAAAAAAAACTCATGGTTATTGACATCCAAACTGTGCCCGCGACTTCTTCCGCATTAAATAGTTGTTTTATCATATTATCATTTGCAAACAACCTCCTCAGTTGTAAATTATAGCTGTTATTACGTATTCGTAACAGCGATGATAATAGATTAATATTGAATATACTAACCAGTAGCGGTATCAGTGAGACCAATCTTCTCTCTCAACATAGCGACAAGGTGATCAGCAGTCGCCGCCGGCCCGAAGACCAGTCCATGCTGTTTCCCATCAAGTAATAACACCCGAACGTGCATTGGTCGTCGTGCAGCAGCACATAACAACTCTTCTTTCGAAGGCGCCGCAACGCGTCGCGGTACTTGCGCTATGCTTAGGGCGACCTATAATTCAAAGAACTTTAAATAAAATCCTAACTTATATTATAATCAATTAACACTTATTATTTATAAGGCTAAAGAAACCAATATTGCAGTAATTCGTTCTGAAAATAGAAAATGTACGAGCTGTTGGAATTTCCCAAACTAAATTTATTTTTTTACATCACACATGCAATATCATGGGTATTATGCATATTAAAAGTTCGGAACCGGACAAACCTTGAACCATCATAACGGCGCTTGCTGTTACCACAACCATTTGAGGTACCGTATCTCACATGTCATCAACAAATTTTTCTTCAATACATGCAACTTTTGCGCAATGTAATGCAAACTTTTCAGCTTAAGAAATCAATAAAGATGAAATCACGATCACGTCAGGACATGAAAATTTCAACCATCGTCTTCTCCGGATGTCTTTGTATTAAAACGTGTCTTACTCAAGAGTACAGTGTAAGAGACAATTTTAAAATATAAAAGCTGACCTGCTCTGCCCGTCTTGCGAATTTCCCTTCCTCGCCTGTATGTAATGCGGCAGCCCGATATCTCAGGTGTGCCAATAGAAGCCTCCGTAATGGCTTAGCTGGAGGCAGGGCGGCTCCTACCGCGGCACACAAGAGTGCCCAGTGGCGAGCTGATACACGAGAACTAGGCTCGGGGTGATCAGTGGTCTATAACAAAATAAATAAGCGTTAAAAAATAGCCATAATGTGTTTGTATTTTATGTAAAATTTGATTTTCTTTGTTGCTTTTTGTTGTTTTTGTGCAGCCTTTTCTTGTAGATCAAGTGATTCTAGTTGTCAAGTTAAAGTGATGGACGTATAATATGGATTGCAATTATTATAAATTCTTCTTTTAATTTTTTTTACGTAAGCCATAATATTGTGTAAACAACAAGACAAATATTGAAATTTTGGCCTTCGAACCGGATATCTATGTAGTACATACTTGTTTAATAAGTTGCATATAAAGTTCGCAGAGTAACGTATCCTTTTGTAGACAGCGTTGTAATAAGGCCTGCGCTAGCGCAACTCGATCGTCGCTGTCGCTTTCGTGACTGCTCACACTGCTGTTGCTTGCTAAGTTGTTGTTGCTACCTTCGTTACTACTTAATCCCGCGTGGCTCATGATATCCTATTATTGAAATAAGATAAACAAAATTGAGTTAATCATAGCAGAATTGGAAGAAATATTTGTTTAAAACAAAGTACGCCGCGCCATGTACTCAATGAACTGAAAATCTCAAAAGTGTGGCCTCCCTCATCATAGTCTCTCCTCTTTTTATTATGTGAAAAATTAAATGTATTTAAGTGTTGGATAGTCTAATTATATGATATATTTGTTTAAACGATTGTCCTTTGTAATTTATTATACCTTAAATATTTGCATGGCAGCTACTTCTTCAGCTTCATTAAGCTTCGTCAGCGAATGCGGTAACGTCCGCGCCCAACACCAGTACGCAGCTGGAAAACCTTTGTAACTCTCGCCTTGAGATTCCGCTGATATATCCAGTCTGACTCGTTCTAATCGATGCTTGCTTAGTCTATAAAAGTTATTGTTATTGCGATGTTAATAATATCAATATAAGTGACAAATTTCTAAATTGAAGCTGCTCAATGCAGACAAAAGATTATTGCAATCTTATCTGTTTCAATTGTACTTGACATCAACAAATACCTTCTCAGAGTATTTCTTAAGAAACCGCCAGCGGATAGGTCCGGTGGTCTTCTCAATAGGCCGCCATCGACAAGCGCTCGTCTTGCGGACCGCAGTGCACCAGCTAGTCGTGTCCGTTCGCTCACAGGCGCCGCACGTCTCGGTGGTTCTTCTGAGAGGCTGTTACTGAGCGTGGGGCTGTATGCTGCCATTAACCAAGCAGCTTCTTGCTTTTGAGCACATTCTAGTACAATACACCTGGAAATCGGCAAAATATAGGTATTCATTCTACACACTAGGAACATCAAATCAAAATCGTTAAGCGAATTAACGTCCTTTTTTTACATAAATTAAAACCCCTATATTTCGTTTTTGAATTCTATTGATCTTCATAAATGTACTCGCTATATATGTAATTATATAAAATAATTTATATTTTCAGAATTATAAATACATATGTACTTATATAATGATAAAGTATATTGGTCAATCTTACAAAAGAGATTTTGTATAATTCTTGCCTTTTACACAAATGCCACATAGACAGTGAACGACTAAGTATAATGTCATAGAATGTAGTAAGGCAAGTTAACTGACAGGTCCAAACTATCATTAGTACGGGACGTCAATTGACATAATCTAGCGGACTTCACTGCGGTGTCGAGTTTCTTTTTAAACCCGTACTTATAAATAAAAGGCGGTACTAGTTTGAATCTCAAAAAAAAGTTTTCTATAAAATAACTTACGTGTGCATCGACCCTAAATGGATAACAGGAAATAACTACACGCTAGGTCCTCCTGCAAATAAATACAAATAAATAATAATATACCTCAGACCGTCGTGTTGGCCATGGTGTGTCAAACTGAGTGTGAGTCCATTGTCAACCGGGTCCATCAGAATAGCCGCTATGTTTGAATAGGGATATTCAGCTAACACCACTTTGTCAGCTGGCCGCACAAGAACAACGCCTTCAGATCCAACTCCCAATAAAACATTTGGACCTATAAAAAATATTTTTCAAACAATTAATTTACAAAAACAAGAAAATCACGTTTAATTGCTGGGCGTTCCTTTTTTAAACGACTTTATTAAAAAAAAAACGTATTTTGAACTAACTGTTGTGAAAGATTTAATATTTGTGATGGACGGACAGACCATCTTCGCTTGTATTAAGAGGTAATGCTTTATATATTTTACATACCGTGAGCCCAGTATCCTTTGTAAGTGACCGGGAATAACGTAACACCGTATAAAGGATATTGCATTACACAGGACAAGTATAAAGCTTTGGCCGTGAGTTCCGCCCTCCCCGCGCCGTATTGTCTATGGGCTTGGGCTAGTATTGTCGCCTGGAATAAGTTTATAATTATTAATTTATGTTTATAATTTGTAAAAATCATTTTGATTAGAAGGAAATAAATATTGTAGCTAGAACAAAGATTGTGTTGTGTTTAAAGAGGTCCCCATTTTTATGGAAAACAGACTATTATGTTTATTTTTTATTTTTTACGTACCCATTGATGAGCTGGTCTAGTCTTGGCAATGCGAGGTGGCAGAAACTGTTCAGGGTGAGAGTAATAAGCCCGTGTATGAGGGGGTGGAGGACTTGCAGCTGGCTCGCCCAGAGACACTTGTGCTTGTAGACCAGCAAGTTGTAATGCCACTTTCTCGGAGACTGGAAATTCGTCCATCTGAAACAAAATGACATAATGTACTAGATTATCCAAGGCATAATTTAACCTAAGGGCTGTTATAGAACCTTAAATAATTTTTTTTTCAAAAGCAGTGAAAAGACTTGTTTATTACCTTAACAACACTGTGTACAGCTTGTGCGTAGAGTAAAGCGACCTCTACCGGATCGTGAGGAAGCTCCCGACCGCCACGGAATAACCGTCGTTTGAATACAAAGCGGTTGTCAGCTGAACCACCGCCGGGCCCTTGTTGCCTAGAGAAATAGACAGAGGAGATAAATAAATGCTTCTATAAAAGTAATGAATTCTTTTAATGACTCTGTTTTATTTCATAGAAAATAAAATATTATTACTCAATATTTTAAACTGGCAGATTTCTGAAGGAATTAAATTATTTTAACCAGGATTTAAGTAAGTAAACTTATATCGATAACTAGTTTACTTACATTTACAAGTAAAGGCAGAATGATCTTATACTGGTAACAAATAACATGATATTCAATAAGGAGGATAATAAAAATGCGCAATCAACTAGGGCGAAAATTAAATTGTACTATTATTTGTGTAAGAATGTTTACAATTTTTGCTCACTGTCCTCCTGTAGATTAACATTTTTAAACAATAAAATAACTCCAGCCTTTACTCCCTGCAAGCCTTTGATTGCTACCAAAATTAATTCCTTTGACACACGACAGATGCATTGTAGACATTCTTAAATAATTGTACTATTTTTACTTGTTTTTTACTACTTACATTTCCCAAGCAGCAATTACGTCGTAAAGATACTGTGTGGCTCTGACGTGCTCCTCAGTGCTAGCCCGTTGTTGATACACAGCCCATCCAGCCCTGGCGTTAGGTGGCAATCCCAGTTTATCCGCGAGTCTTGCTGCTGCTGCTGCTGCCGTGTCAGCGGGATGTACATCGATGGCTTTCGTACGACCATCCAGGAAGAAGAAGCGACATACAATGGTTCCGAGACGACGCATTGCCTAAAAATATGAATTATTTTATTATTTAGATTATATTGTGATAATTGGCTAACCTAATATAATGGCTATCATTTTTATAAATCAACTCAAACTTACAGCGATTTCCACAGTACTTGGTGGCAGTTGCCTCGGCGCTGCCCCACGACAGTTGTCCAAGCACCACTGTGCACAATGAGAGGCTCGGGCGCTTGATGTAACTGAACCTACAGATGTCATGGATCCAGCCCCGGGAGATCCCAATACGGGTTTAGCGCGCATGCGCAACCATGCGCAATAATAGCGAGCTAGACCACGACTCGGTTGCCAGGCAACCGCACATAAACACAATATGAGCCAAACGCGCTCTGCCCATTCTTCCACGGGGCATTCCGTGATCTAAAAAACGAAACAATGTTTTAATATGAGATATGTCCACGTGCTTAAAAGTCAAATAGGTATAAATAAAAATATACCGACCTGTCTTACACATTGAACTAAAATCTCATCACGTAGTTCCTCCCTCTCCAAACCTTTAGCGATGATGGCTTGGATCACCTGGGTTTCTTTTTCTGATGTCAATTCTCCTCTCATGTAACGGCAGAGATCCTATACATAAACAGAATGTTATGTTCGCATATAAGAAAGTTCAATGTGAATGTATACAAATTGGAAAATCTTAACTAATGTTTATATAATTTATACTCGTAACTAGTGTAATTTGAGAAGTTTATATTATTTTCCTGTCCAATTACAAATAGTATACTATACAACTTTCCTCCGTAAGTGAAGTGCCTTGCAAATTAATATATTATATTAAAAAATATTGCTGATCGGCGGATAGAGACGTAATATCGTACTGACGTCCCTTATCAGACAAAGAATAATTTACTATCGTCGATTATTTTGTTCTATATTTACCCTAAAGATATTGACAGCAGCTGTGATGCTATCAGGGTCGTGAAGCTGTATGTGCGAAGTGGGAATGTTGTTGCCTTTATGATAAGTAATCATCTCTTCTTTGGTCAGCAGCTCCATTGACTTGCTTTTGCGTGTCAAAGTTGCCATTATTGTGCCTAGAATAAAGTTCAAACGGAGATATTAGTAATTATGTTATTATTTTATTCATACAATATATATTGACTACTTATGACAAAGTGAAATAATTTTAATAACATCTATTATGCGTTAGAGGAGTAAAATGTTTAGATTTTTTATTTATTTCTTGGTAAATAATTTTTTTTACAATTGAAAGTATTGGACATTAAAACTTAGCAAAAGTCTTATAAGGACAAAATTACGATGAGCCAGAGATGATTTGATGTCAAGGCTTCGAGGCCCTGTATAGATTTATAGAAGTATGTTATCTCAAACGTTGTCAAATACTCTAAAATTCGGGAGTTAAGAGAGGTCGATCTTAAAAATGCTTAAAATGGTGTTTACCTTCCGGTGATCTTGGATGATCGTTAAAGTACAGTTTAGCGAACTCTGTTAGGTCACTTGTATCCACTGACGCTTCTATAGTTGGAGGTGCTTCTAGCTGATGTAGCCTTCTTTCCACTCTTTCTTTTCTTCGAGCGCTACGGTCTGTGTTCTAAAATACAATTATACTTTTTAGAGAAAATCGAGAAAACATAAAAAAGAATATTTAAATAAATTATAAATTGAACGTTTAGCATTTTGTTTCTTTTTTATTAATATTAAGTACGTTAAAAAGATCTCTACTCTATGCTAAATTATTTATATTAGATCTGTGATCTGCCAACTTTTTATTACAACGATAGACAAACACATTTGTAAAAACATAAAGACAGTCACGATGTGTCCATTTTAAATAGAATTGAGCAAATTCTTTATAGAATAAAAATACAAGTTTTCTAAATATTTTTATGCATTTTATTCACGACCTTGAAAATGATGGTTTCGTCTCTAATGACTTACATTAGCGTCTCCATTAGACATGGGTGGCGGGCTGATGCAGGAGTCTAATGTCACTGATGGTGTTTCCGCTTGTTCCGGTGACGTAACGTTACTCGGTAATGGCGGCAGCGGCGCTTCCGGTTCCATGTCAGGCGTTTTATTAGACAATCTACAATAATAAAAGCTTTGTAAGTATAATATTAAGTAGTAGGATAGGATTTCATTATTGAAATATAGTGTTTTTTTTTCTTAATTTTTATTACAGTAAAGAAATTGTATTTTATTCTAAATACACTTAAAACACATACTTACCATAAAAATTGCAGTAAAAGTAAGTACATATGTAAGGGACTCATCTGGATTTTACATATGTTAAATTAAAAAATTACGATTAATGCTTTTAAAGTGGCATATTATAAATTTCAATGTACCAAATGTATCGATCCATCTGGAAACTCACCCATTATTATTCACAGGTGGATTAAGTGGTGGTGGGGGTGGCGACATGATAGGTGGTTCAGTGTCACTAGGTCTTGGTATAACCGATTCGTAGATTGGCTCTTTGTCCTTTATCACAGTGAGTTTGCCATTCGGAATTATCCCGTTGGTTAGTTCTGGTGGGGTTGTATCTGTGGAATAACGGTTTTTGTAAATGAAAAACGCATTCACCAACACATATAACCTACAAAAATATAAAAAATATATACTTTAACAAAAATACGACTGTGATTAATAATTATTTTTATAAAATACAAAAAAAATAATATGCACACTAACTCATTACAATAATAGACTGTAATTTCAAAGGAGCATGCTCAAACCAAATATTGCGAATGATTCCATGTTATTATTTTGGTATATGATTTAAGAGCCTTCCAAAGGCATTTTATACATTAGGTATAGGTGCAAAATTAATACCCAAGCAATATCATACAAATATAAATTGTCTTTATTCTTTGGGGTGAGGTAAAATGTGGGGAAGGTATCAAACACTATTTCGCATGCATCAATGCACACACACACCTTTAATAGGTGGGGGTGGCGGAGGTCCAGCGGGTTCTGGCAGTGAGCACTGCGGTGGTGAAGGGAACGATGGCGACCCTTCCACCAATGGCTCTGACATGGGGGGCGGTGGGAGGATAAGAGATGACGACATCGCATCGCCGTTCGGTATGCGACCTAACAATTTTATTGCTTAATACTGATTTTTGTAGCGTCAGAAGTTTTATACTTAACCAAGATAATTTGGTAAGTTTGTTGTAGTTTTTTCTTTAATACAACAATTTCATTATCTCTATATAATAGATTGAACGAAAATATAGTCGTTTCATCCATAAGATTCAGGAAGAATTAGTGGTTATGAGACTAGAAGTAGTAGTATTTAAAAAATTAGATCTCACCATTCATAGATGACGTCATACTATTGACAGGTGATCCATTGACCATTCCGTTGGTGAGGGATGAGACTGGTGTAGCTGGATGTAAAATGGAGTGCAAGGCGAGGGAATTGGGGGGAGGGGGAGGTATAGCGTCCGATGGCGCCCCATCTGGTTTGCGTTGCGCGTCCGTGTGTTTGCTTAGCTCACTCATCTCTTCAGCTAAAACGTGTTCCAGCTGAAAATGTAGAAATTGAATCAAAAATACTGTCTGTAGTTTACGCGAGTAGTACACATTCAAATAAAAAACTTTAACGGTTTAAGTCGCCGAGACTTCGGGCCGTAGTTAAGTTTAACTAATATATAAAACTTTTTAAACTAAAGTGTTTATTTAAATCATAGTATTAGACAGAAATGCAATTATTTAAAAGTATGCGCAAGACTAAGAAAGCTATAGTACTACGGTATATAAAACTAGTATTATAGTTTCTTAAATATACCACACATGCAAATATGCCTTTTGGAAATTTGTTTGTATTACATACATACATAAAAAAAAATTAAAAGAGTCAATGTATTGTGGTATATTTTTTGCCTAGAGGCTTTTTATCAGAATACTTCTTAATAAGAACTCACTTCTTGGTTCAAGTCATCCGCTAGCCTCTCTATCGAATCACCGATCTCGTTGATAGTGGGTTGATGTGCTGGCTGTCCATCCGGCGCGCCTCGTTGTGCCGGTACATCCGCGAGGAAGTCGAATAGGTTATCCAAGTTCACAGACTCCGTACGAGCGCCAGAACATGAGATACCGCGAAGATTCTCCGCCATACTTTCTAGTTCTGCTCGTTCTTGCTCAGCTTTTTCCGCTAGACTGGAGATAAAACGATTCACAGTAACGGTTATAAACTTAGGCAATACGACATTCATACAAAAATTTTCCTACTAATCATTACAAAAGTATTTTAAAATAAAACACTTTAACGGGTTAAAACGTGTTATATATTAGTCAACTATTATAATAACTAAAATATATATAGTGGTTTAAACCATTAAAGTGTTCTATTTAAATGTGTACTACTCGAGTAAGCTACAGAGAAAAGTATTTCCAAAAACAAATTTAATGATCTTTGATGTTTTCGAAACTAGTAAATATAAAAGAAAGTGACAACATGCACTTTCTTTCGTACAATTATGACTATGATTACTATTATTGTGATTTATTCAGGTATGTATTTATAATCAGAGGTTTTTTTCTTAATTCGCAAACTGTGCCTAAACTACTCATACTCAAAACTTTTCAAGACACATTGTAATTAAAAGTTTTAAAAGAATGAGATTAGTCTGCTGCAAACCTATATCTCTTACCTGTTTCTCTCTTCCCTCAACTTGATCTCTTGATTGACTCTCTTCATTTCTCTCAAAGCAGCAGCAACTTCCCTAGCGAAGGCGCCTCTTAAGTGCCTCTGCAGTGTAAGGGCAGCTCGCCGCAGCCGCAAGAAGACTGTCCTCTCGTACCAGCCGCGCCACGCTGCTTGGAGTACAACAGCCGCTTTCCGCCATTGTAGATATTGTCGACGCGATATTGAACCTTTGTACCACTATTAAAAAAGAGTGACGTTTACAGTTTAATTTTTTTAAATTAAATATTTGATACAAATTAATATTCAATTGATTTTATATTCAAAAATATTACGGGCAAAATTTGAAATGGCATCTACAGCGTTCTGTGTTGTTGCTCTAACCAAATAAGATACCGTGTTCTACACGTCGCGTCGTCTAGATTTGTTCAACCTATTAATTAACACTTGCGTATTAAGGCGCTACAATAAATAATTGTACCTTCTGTATTAACAATGCTGATGATTGCAATAAGGCAGTTCTTTTAGCTTCGAGCGGTCCGTGAACTGAGCTTCTCATAAAAATTTTCGTGTGTCCGATTTGCCAGTCGTCTACCGGTGCATTCACTAGTGACATTATATCCCTAAACAAATAGATAATTTCATTAGGCAAAGTAGTTAAACGGTCAGTAATGGTCTCGGCTATTAAGAAAAAAGCAGTTTTTTAACGATAAAGACTCTTCTACTCTCTCTCAGACAAGCACGGGGTCGAAGGTGAAATATAACATCACAACAAGATGTGCTGTTGACTTATTTTGACTATGGATATTCGAAAATCCACGGACGAAAATCGAAAAACGTCTTTTAGGAGAAGTCCAACATGTGCCAGAAATTTATATATTTTTAAATTTTTCCAACCGGGTCCACATGGGTTTGAACCCGGTCGTTTACCATACCTTTTGATAGATTAAATTGATAATTTATATGTTTTAATTTCTTTGTTATATACAAAAATAAATCAAATTTCTTACGTGATATCCGGCTCGAACGGTCGTGGATGAGGCAAAAGACATCGATACCGAGCGCGGAACAGCGGTGCCGGTAAATGAACCGGGTACCCATCGCGACGAATGCGAACTATTTCGTTCATCCCCAAGTAGCGGAGTTGTTCTAACACTAGTTTCTCATTGTACTTCCCTGCCACTTTGTTCTCGTTTGGTTTGATACATCGGACGTACCTGAGAAAATTGTTTTGGAATAAGAAGTATTTTAAAAAGATTAAACAAATAGATGATAGCACAACGAGACTCGAACTCGTAATCAACGTCGTCGTAAGCATTTTTTCTATTTTTAGATCAAAAGATTAATTATAGATAAGTATTTTTCAAGTTACATTTGTCGATAATCCTATTATGCTGTAACCTTTCCGTATGTGCAAATGTGTATAAATAAAATATATATAAATACTATGCCGTCACTCTACCATCTGAAATAACTCTTTCAATTTATAGGAGCATGTCAAAACTAAAAACTGTCTTTAGTTGACGCTAGAAGTACACATTTAAATAAACCATTTAACGGTTCAAAAGGTGATTTATATTAGTTAAACTTATTGCAAACTTTTAACTCCGGCCCGACATTTCGGATGCTTTCGAAATTATCAATTAAAGTTAAGTGTTACAGTTAAACATTAAAATTATCAATATTAAAGATAGTTAAATTTTTTCCTTTTAAATGCATACCAAACATCTGTAACTTGTAACATATCGACCAAAGACTGTAGTTGAGCACGGAACGTATCCACAACAGTCGGTCTGCCTTTTGAAGTACCACGTTGCGTCGTACTTGTTGACCCGGGACTTGATAGATGCACATCCTGCGAATAGGTATAACAGAAACTATGTTACTACACTACTATGCTTCAGAGAGCATGTAAAAGTGTAGTTCCCGGTTATCATTACCAATTTAGTGGCGGTAGTCGTTAAAGCTGAAACCTAAAGCGAAAAGCTCAGCTATGAGACATTATTTCGTCTCGACGGACTCGCTAGTCTAATCGTAGCAAAATATGACTAATAATCAACGAGTCCGGGGTTCGATTCCAACGAGGCTCAACATGTAATTTATAATTTTGATGAAACATGTTGGAAAATCTGATTATGACATGGGTGGTACGAATATCGAAATTCCGTCTGATTTCACGTTTAGATTTCCGTATATTCAAAGCTAAAAAAGGGTCGACAGCACTTTTGTTGAGATCGTCACATCGTCTGGGGTACTTCACCGTCCATCAAGTGAATGAACCCTTGCTAGTCTGTCCCCCTTTATATATATCAAATATTCAATAACATACAATACATCTATATACCTGTCCAGGTGGTGCCAAGTCCTGTACATAATCAGCAAGCTCACGAACGAACGGATTCGCTGAACGACTCAAGTGGTCGATGAAAGCGTCCTGCTGGGTGTCTCTGTTTTTATCGACGAAGCCCTGGACGCTGTAAGTGACTGTGCCCGCATAGTGCTGCACACCAAACTCTTCTTCCCATTTTCTACGGGACCCTTTCACGAATGTTTGGTGTTCGCCGAATTCTCCTTGGATGTTGGTTAGATACGCGCTGTCGCATCCCTGAAGTTAACAGAATTTTACATAGATCAATTTGAAACAATTTTAATGGTATCAACTTTCATACGTATTATTACTACATATAAATGATTTTATAAATATTAAATATATGTTAGTATTACATTCTAGATATCAAATAGAAGACGACAAATCAGTTAATCATATCTAAACTTAAAATAAAACAGACCTTTAGTAAAAGCCATATTATTTATATTATCTTGTATATAACCCATAATTATAAGTGAATTATTTCCTAATTATTGTGATGGCTTTTTTTAACAACAAACTATTTAACAGTAATAAAAATTAATGTTAAAATAATGTAGAATAAGGCTTAATAAAGATATTTACAAAAGAACGGTGAACAACCGCGTATTTGGATGTACTTTAGGCTTAAAGTAAAAGGAAACTAGGAAGGCAAAAAAATATAATTTATATTAATTTGTTAGGGATTTTATAAACTAACAAATTGAATAGAAATAGGGTCTTAGAGTAAATAAAGATGCTGCAGCGCCCAAATGGTATATTTGTAAGCATCTGAGAGATAGACTTATCGTGGGATAAGATTATAATATTACCTTAGGCATGTGACATTGTTCACTTAGCAGTTTGAGAAGACTTCTCGGTGGTTTTTCGAGTAGTTCTAGACACGCAGCATTGTCAGTAAATTGTATTTGACTGTATTTGATGCCTTCTTGTCTGTACTGTAAAGTAGTATTATTTTACATGTTAACTCTTTAGATAATAATTTAAACAGTTTAAAAAAAAATAAGCATTATAATAGAATAAATTTCGTTATTCTTATTTGCGCTGTTGTTGCGTCTTTTACCTGTGTATGACAGAAATATATTATATGATAACTCAAGTATTATCTGTAGATTAAGTAAGTAGTACTTATTTAATTAAAGCACTTTAAGTGTTTAAAACACAATAATATTTCGCGTTTTAAACCGTGTTGTTTTAATTTACTATAAGTTAATATAGTAATATAAAATGACTTCATAGATACATACACGATAAGTAAACTTACAATTTCCTGTTCAAGCGCAAATACATAGTTATTAAAGAACATATGAAGTTTCTCATTTGCGTAGTTAATGCAAAGTTGTTCCAAGGAGTTCGACGCGAAGTTCTCGAAGCCGAAGATATCTAGGACTCCCAAAGCTCGTCTTGCCTCACGACCTGGCGCTGAACAACTGTTCACATGGCGGACCAGCCAAGCAAATGTTCTAGAGTAGAGGGCTCGCGCCATAGCATGTCGGTTTTCGCGAGCCTGAAAAAGAAATAAATTAATTCTGTGTTCAAGTGTGTTTATTTTTTTATGTCCATTTCTCGTTTCTTAAAATAACAATTTCGTATTAACCGATTTCCATAGAAACGGTTTTTGTGAATGTTTAAACAGAAAGGCCGACATCTTAAAAGAGAGACAAATACTGTCGTGGCCATTTTGGTAACAATGGAAGCTCTGAAAGATGTACAGTTTTCGCCGTTTTTGCCTAATTTCCCTCGGTTTTTACGCTCATTGCAGTCGGACGTTTATAGCGTTATATTGTGTGTATCCAATGAATGTAACTGGCTATTGCCGTTTTAATTGTTGTACAATAAATAAAATAGCCTAAAGCCTTCGATATTCCAACCAACACTAAAATATATTATGAATTCTAATCTGTAATTCTTGCGACTGCGTAAAAGTGTTTAGTATTTGCATTTATACCTCGTGCAATCTGAAAGGTATATCCGTGACATTTCCCCGCACGTTGATCTGTCTTTCTAACAAAACTCGCTGAGCAGTAGGTGGAGCTAATCCTAGCAAATTTGCAACTGCATCGACTGCTTCCGCATCTTCCGGGGCGAGAGTTGTACGCTCACCATCTATGTCCTGCAAGTGTCAAATAATCAAGATTTATTTATTCACATAAGTAAATAGGTATATATGTTATACTTATGAACGTCAACGCCAAGTCTCGTTTTACAGAGTTCACTTATAAAAAATATATTTTCTTGTTAGAGCGATTTCTTCAAACCTTCAAGCATTATTAATTTTTATTCTATTTGGATCTTTATTTTAAAGTAAATTTTCGTCGGTGGGGTATAATTTACATTTACAAAACAATACTAAAAAGACATTTAAACTAAAATACTAATAATTTACTTTTATTTTGTCTGACTAATTACAAATTGACCGGCCAATACTCGGCCTAAGAGTTAAAGATAAGTGGAGTTGGTAACAGCCGTTACAATTTGGATCTCTGTGTTTCTAGTTTTGAATCCTTACCTGAAATTGTATATTCCCCAGCCACAAAACAGCTGCCAGTACTTTAAATAGCCCCTCGCACATGTGCGGTGGAACTTGCAGAACAGTTAAAGCCAGTTGCAACGCTTCCAGCTTGCCCTGCTCTCCTCCGCGTCCCTTTTGCGCTTCTTCGTCTTCCGGCCGAAGATATTTAAATTGAACTGTGTCACGAAGCCGTAAGATGTTCTTGAGTTCCGCATTATGCTGTAACAAAATTTACTTAAATACTGTTATAGTTTACGCGAGTAGTACACATTTAAATAAAACACTTTAACGGATTAAAACGCGATATATTAGTTAAACTTATTTGAAAATGAATTTTGCTTTGGGTTATGCTTTGCAGCAGCCCCCGAAACGTCGGGCCGGCAGTTAAAAATCACCTTTTAACTAATATATCGCGTTTTAAACCGTTAAAGTGTTTTATTTAAAAGAATTTACTTATTTATCTAATTATATTATATCCTGATTTAGTTTGAAATAGTACGCGAATTGTAGGAATAAAACATACCGTTCTTTAATACGTAAGTTTTACAACAACTTTTAATATGGTCTTTTTTTTCTCTAAACACAAGTGACACATAACAAAGGCCATAGACATCATAATAAAAATGATATAATTTTATTATTTATATATACGATAATATATCACGAGAAATATTTTTAAACCACGAATTCAAGTAAAAATATATTATAGAGAAAGAACGGATTATTCAATTGAGACAAAGCAATTGAAATCATACCCTGGCTCCTTCAACGAGTTGGTAAAACACATGGTAGTTCGTTTCTCTAGGTGCCGGGCCAGTTATCCTCGCCCGTTCCAGTAAGAAGTCCCTTAAAACTGCACCTTTTATCCCACCTCTGTGATCGAGCCGCACTTCAACGAACTTTCCGAAACGAGAAGAATTGTCGTTTCGAACCGTCTTCGCATTACCTGAGAAAGTACGTATATTTGTAAACTGAACTCTAATACTTCATGTCCTCAAATATTTTTAACTTTTCTGCGTCCCGTCACATATCTGTGTCCATTTCACTGATCGGTTACGTGCGAGTGGTAGTCGATAAGACGTCTGTGCCCGGCCGACCGAAACATTCTATCTGAGATTCGAACCCCAGACCTCACGCGCTTAACACAACGTCTAACCATGTGGCAACAGAGCCCGTTAAATAATAAGGCCTAATAATAATCCATATGTATAAAATGATGAAATCCTGGTTAACTCGACGTGTAATTTGTTTTAAATTATTGTATTCTAAACCACATACCAAATGCTTCTAAAACAGTATTGGCCTCGAGAATCTGCTGTTCCGCCCAGGAGGCTTGTCCGCCGGCCGCGCAAAGGTACTGCAGAATCAATTTCGTTGTCTCCGTCTTGCCTGCACCACTCTCGCCTGATATTACTACAGATTGATTTTTCTCACCGTTCTGAAATCCATGTTACGTCAATATTAGGACTATATGCTATTATATTACTTCTTAAGATAAGTAAAAAGGCCTAAAATGCGGTTACTATGTCAAAGAAATAGACATTGCGTATGAAAACAAAATTGCTATTTTATTCTTTGTCCATCTGTTACTCTTTGATCTAATGAACAGATCGTCTAGATACTTCTTCTTATTGATATTTACCTGAGCTTGACTTATTATCGTATATTATTATAGATTAAACTAAAATGTGCCTCTACCTGTAAGGAACTATACGCAGATTCAGCCAAAGCAAAGACGTGTGGTGGAAGACTTCCAAATGCTCGCCCGCGATAGTTCTGCATATCTTCCTGTAATAGATAGAAGATCTCAAAGTCTGTTTTAGCCACAAGTGAAATTTCGCCATCCATTACGAACAGGGTAAGATGGAGAACTTTAAATATCATCAGAGCAGGCGATTAACCTCGCAACCAGACCGAAGAATTTTGCCACTCAAGTAACTTCAGAAAGCGTTTAAAATGCAAAACATTAGCAAAGAGGTCAACGGAAAACACAGATGGGATTCGTCAAAACGTTCATTTTTTATTCATACGGGTGCGAGTGAAATATTTACGCAACAAGCGGTTAAATTTTAGTCGCCATATCACCGCGTCCACAGCTCGCGCTGCCATAATAGAAAAATAAAAAGCCCGCAGCTTGACGCTCTTATATAATAGAGCTTTGTCCACTCAGCAACAATAACTTTTAGCGCGAACTATTGTGGGTCTTAAATATTGCTTGGTATTTTCGATTCTATATTTCACCTGGTCTGCTAGGTTTGTTTTCTTCACAATCTATTCTATTTAGAAATACATTCTAACCATAGTAATTTTTACTAATAAAATTTACTAAAACACTGGACACGATAGCGGTCGAACCCCGATCCATTAGTTATTAGATATACCTATTATCATTGAACGACCCGTCATAAAACACTCATCTAAACAAGCTTATGTAACCAAAAACAAATCTATACTTACGAAACTGTAACATCCTAGTTCCTTGTACGGATTGACTGCAACCAGAATCGAACCTGTATAAGTCTGTAGATGTGTTAAGGAAAAACAAAGCACCGCATGAATATTGTTTATACTAGGAAACTAGGGCAAAGGGTGCGTTATTCTGCTGTTGACAGAGTTTTGTGGAAGGGAGCTTTTTATAGCGACTTAGTTCCTGCACATTCTGAGTTATAAATAAAAATGCAGTATGCATTTGTTACGGAACGGATTTTAGAGTCGCAACTGTTTTTTTATTACTGTCTGCTACAGTCAAAGTCACTGTCAACTCATATGCAATGCAGTAAAGGATTCACATGGCCTTATTTTTTCGAAAAACATTTTATGTACTTACGTATTTTGTATAGTCTATGGTTATATGTATTGATATTGTTATTGGTACAAGAATAACAATATATGAAAATGACAATATTATAATACACGTGTATGTTTAGTCGAGATATTCATATATTAATTCCTGTCACGATGTTTGTCCGCTATGGACTCCTAAACTACTGAACCGATTTTAAATTGGCAACCGTGAGCAGTCTGGACTACTTGAGACATAGGATAGTTTAGATCTTTAATTACAGTCGCAATTTTATTTTATTGCAAATTATTTGTCTATAAATAATTGACAGTTACAATGGATTGAGTAAGTAATCAATAGATGGCACTGCTATGGTAAACCGACAAACTGTCATAAATAACAACAATAATAATAATAACAATAATTTCACCACACCCTACCGGGTCACAAGTGTACCTATATAATTTTTCAATGATAGAGGAGCTTTCTCAAGTAAGTATGGTATTCACTTGATGGTAAGTAAAAATCCAGCCTAAAGCATCTAAACAAGATGCGCTGTAGGTCCACAGCTAGTTTTGTCTTTGGATATTTGGAAATCCACAACTAAACGAAACGATTAAACTTTACGGCTTTTCATGTGTGGGTGGTACTTCAGACCCAGTACTACCCATTTAATATTCAGACTTCTAATGAATCCACACGTTTGAGAAAAATTATTAATTGAAAAAATTAGAAAATGTTGAACCTACGACCCATTGATCTTTAGCCATACATTGCTACCATTAGACCAACAAAGCCCGTCAAATATAGCCGTATATTTGTATTGCCGAGATATTAATAAGCAGTATAATGATAATCTATACTAATATATAAAGCTGAAGAGTTTGTTTGTTTGTGTGTTTGCTTAGAGCATTTATCGAGAAAGGCTATAGACATCGCCCTGTAACTAATAGGAGCGAAGATACAGCGAGAAATGTGACAAAAATTTGGAAAAATATTCATCATTATGGGTTTACGTGGCGTATGCCGCAAAACGTGTTCAAGATACCCAAAAGATATGTATGAGACAGTATGACCTTCAAATGATCTAAAAAAGTCAGCGACGCTGTATATCTATCTTTTAAGATTAACTTGCAAGAACGACGGGAAGGGACGCGACCGACGTCGTCGGACAGCGTTATAAAGTTTATAAAGAAGAAGGATTTTGCAAAAACAAATTTGGATGCCCAAAATAAATATTCTTAGCGGACGAAGCAGCTGCCACAGCTAGTGTATGATGTATTTCAAAGGATACGTATATGAGGTCATGTTTGTATCGCCGCTTGAGATTTTCATTTATGGCGTCTTCGGTGATCAGCGGCATCATCGTCATATCGGGCACGCCGGGCCCTTCATCTTTATCCTGCTCCTCCATTTTTGCTGCAACAAAAGATTAGTAATTACTATAAAAGTCATTATACTAAACAATGTTACTCGTAACTACTACTTGTTTAGTATTCATGATTATACGATCAAAAAATGTATTAAAGTAAAATAATAGATTTTTTGGTGATAAGGCTGAAATTACATTTCGCGAAAGGCGCATGTCATCAATAGGTTGATACAATTCGACGCTGATGAGCAGGAAACGATAACTCAATTGGTTAGAGCAACAGCACGGAAAGTTTTGGTTGCCGGTTCAAATCGCTCCCGAGTCGTTAATTTTTTCAATTTATAATCGATTTTTGCCATCATGTACAATAACATGTGAAAAATATTAAAAGTTTTTACAAATATAATAAACGATACAAGATAATTAGTCTCTAAGTTACTGTAGCTCATAAGTTAGCTTCGAATCTCGAAATTTTCCGACCTCTATTTGGGACGTGCTAAAGGCATCTTTCGAGATCCTTTAACGTCAGGAGCAGAGATAAGTGTTTATTCAGTGCAAATACTTGACCCAAGAGTCCCTAGACGCTATCGATTGACGCACTGAATAACCCATATCCACATTCTAAAGATACGTTATTATAAGATTTTTGGTAATATTATATTTTTTAATTTAGGAATTTCTTTAAAGAAAATTCCAATAAGAATATTGTTTAAATATAGTAAATTAATTTAATAAAGTATATTATTGTAGAGGGTGGCAAGAACAGTGTACGTCCATCAATTCCTAGTTTCGGCCAATTGTGGTCTCAAATAATGCGCGGAAATTAAAACTAAGCAGACACACTACAATTCAGAACTTTAAAACCAATGACGAAGTTGACGAACAACTAATTACAATAGTTTTTTACTCGCTAAAGTATATTTTCACTAAACAACTTTCCATGTGCAAGCCAGTTCGAAGTTTAATTTAAACCTTTGATAACTTAACTCTTCGGCCGCCATGTTGCGGAGTTGAATATTGTTCCATTTTTAAATTTCAGGACAAATATGATTTTACTTAGTAAGTACTTATTTGGCCGGGAAAAGATATGGATTTTATTCACAAAGAAAGGTTGTTAAATACGAAAATTTCTGAGCATGATCGATAAAAAGAATTTCTATAGAAATGTTATATTCATTGACAATTAGAATGAGGTTATTATCAGAATTAAACAAAGTTCGACGACCTATCGATAAAATGGCTAGGACTTCGAAACATATGGACGGCCCTTAGCGATTTCGATGACAGTATAATAGTCCTTGGGGCAGGACGCTCCACTCCCGTAAGTTATCGAACGGAAATGTCACTTGCGGATAAATACGTCATTTCGCCCTCGCATCACAAATATTTATCGATATTTACATACATCACTGGTAATAGAGAATTCCATCAAGTGATCAAATGTAATGAGGAAATACAAAACGGTATATGGACATAGCTTAGCATAGTAATAAGATTTAATTGATCATTCCTCTTGATAATTTGCATGTCACGTTTTAATATAATTAGTAGGTATGTATAGAGTTATATAATGGTATTTTTAAAAAAAGGGTTAACTAATTTTGTCATAGTTGTTCCTGTCGCACACTAGTAACAGGTGGTACAACGTAAAGTAGCACATTCTAAATTTAAATTAAACTTAACTGAAAATTCTGTACTTAATTAACAAAGCATTTTTTCTTTTATAATCATGATAATTGCCAATATTATATAGAAAATTGGGTTTAAATCTATGATGGTGTTGTGAGTTAGAATTGTAATGCATAGGAGATGTGAAATAAATGCAAATATAATAGCTGATTTATTACCTACTGTGAAACATAAAAGATACCGTAATTGCAAACAAAAGAGTGCACAATCTACATTTCTATCGCAAAAAGTTAGATCGACGACAACCATAAAAGAAAAACTTGCAATAAACGCATATCAACAATATTTCCTACATCCGCATATCAATGCGGTAGTGTTATGTATAATTTGTTCTTATCTAGCCAATAGTTGATAAACAACCTGTTCTGAAAATAATTATTCTCGTCACGCAACCTGGGACTCCCTTTTAGGATAAAGTATGGGATACAAATTGCATTTATATACTTAGTTGTTTCATAAGGCTATACTTACCTATTGTTTAATTACTAGACGTACGTCACATAAAACTACTTTAAAATACGAACACTTTAATATTTTTTAACATGTATGATGATATTATATAAATGCGCGAGTTGAAGAAATTCGACAACAGTAGCTCAATTAGTTAGTGCAACAACACGGAACAGGTTCAAGTCCTGCCCTTGTCGTAATTTTTCTTCAATACAAAAAATTTATACTTTGAAAAACGTGTATAACATAAAAGTAAATTGATTTTAACGATGCTTTGTTTCGCGTCTTTATTCGTTGAAATGAAGAAGAAAACTATACTAAAAGTGCCTGCTTGTCCCATACCGAGATTGGGCAAACCACCATTAAAAATACACTGCACTTTAGGGTGTGTTTTCGTCTGAATTTCCTGCAGTACAATATTCATCAATTCAAATGTCCTTAGGGAGAGGTTGCGAAAGGGGAGTGCTTTCCCCTAATCTTATTAATTACGTAGTTCAAATTTTTACTTTTCACGACGCCAAGGTCCGTGTATTTTATTGTAGACTGATAGTATTTTTTGATGAACCATGAAGTATAGAAGTGTGACTAGAAAGCCTTTTACGGAAATTGTCGACTTGACTAACAATAGCAAGTGCTTTTCTCGGAAATGCGTCTGGTTGTTATGTCTGTGTTTTTTCAGGATATGTTGCTGTAATATACTTTCGATAGGTGTAATGTACTTATAATGGGAATTATTTCATTTTTTAGGAATTTTCATAACATTATAACTACTTTAACCGCCTCTGTAGCAAATGGTTAAACGTATTGCGTTAAGCGCGAAAGGTGTTGGGTTTGAATCCTAGGGAAACAAAAAGGTGCTTCGGTCGGAGAGGGCACAGAAGTCCGATCAACTACTTGCCTGTTAAAGAACGGATCAGTGAAACAGACTCAGAAATGTGCCCCATGGCCCACGAAGGTGAAACGGGATTTTACACCCTTTTGATAACTACTTTTAGAACTTTAAAAAATACAAACATAAAATTTATTTCTCTTTAGTCAACTATTTTTGTTGCTTTCGTATGGTTGAGTTATTTTTTAAAATTCTGGTTCATGTTGTGAAGGTTTGAAGGTGGGTAATATTATCAGCTGTTTAGCTTTTGATTCCAGTTATTAGGCAGGCGAGACATCGAATAATTCCCGCCTACTCACATCCTTGTCGCCCTTTAGAGGTTATTAGGGTGGAGCTCTATCTCAAAAGACTTCTATTTTCATGAAATTTAATATCGCGACCGTCTTCGAGATAAATGTTTATTTGTATAATCAATTTTGCCAGGGAATAACATATTTATTTTATTTAGGGGTGAATATGCTTTAGAATTAACTACGTAGCTATATTACATTTTTATTTTAAGCCAGAGGACAGTCTAGTATCAGCTTCTAGTATTATTTTGGGTTATTTTGACAATTCAAATAGGTATTTAGACTTTGAATTAGGAAAATACAATCGTATAAATAAGACGACTATACGTTGTTACGAAGCGGTTACCTATCATATATTTATGCAATAAGTAAAATAAATGAAACAGCATATTGACCATAACTTATACTAGGGTTAAGCGTGGGCAGACAGACAGCAGAAGATTCTACGATAAAAATGTCTCTACAGTTGATTCTATAGAAGTATACATTGATCAGTAGGCTGACAAAAATTCTATTACATTGTACAACAAAGAGGACAGCTTTTAAATACTGTCTATAGTTTAGGCGCGTAGTACACATTTAAATAAAACACTTTATCGGTTTAAAACGCGATATATTAGTTAAACTTATTTGAAAATGATTTTTAACTTCGGCCCAACGTTCCGGGAGAATATCGCGTTTTAAACCGTTAAAGTGTTTTATTTAAAAGGACAGCTTATCTTAGGACTCATAATAAGTTTGACCACGTCGAGAGCGTGTTGAGTTGTCGAAAATTTTGAAGACATTTACGAACAATAAGCCATGTAATTTAAAAATCGAAAATAATTTTTTGCGATTTTTAAAATATATAGTGCTTTCATGTGCAATAACATGTAAAAAAATAATAAAGTTTTCAAATAAGCCATCTTTCAACCTGATCATATGAAATATGAATAGGCTTACTAATATTTTTTACTGACATATTTGATATAACTGATGTCACTTGTAATTTAAACTAGTTCCATGAATACAGGTAAATTATGACGTGCCTATTAGAACGCGTGGGTTTCAGAAAGTAATTTCCATGAAGACGAGAGCAATTTGTAATTTAACTTTGCTCCAGCTAAGTAATGATTTCTGTGAGAGAACTCGAGACGATGCATAATCCAAGAGTGTGCTAGTCTCTAGTTAAGAATTTACTTGTTAGACTTCAAAGTTAATATACTGCATATAATTTATTTGAAACATGCTGGACTTCGCCTGGATTTTAAGTGGGTGGTAATAAAATCGAAATTCCGTCCAGATCACGACCCACCGTCCACAAATGACAACGCCCTGAAGTTTAATCGCGTTTTGGTAATCCGAATGTCCAAAGTCAAAGGGGGTATTTACCATACCATATTTACGAAGAATTTTTGCTGTAAATACTGTAAGAGTGGTTATTGGCTGGATAAAATCATAGCTAATATTATTTTCTAAACGAATGTTTATATATGATTATAGTTTTTTCAGTCTAGACTGTCTGCGATTCGTCTCTCGAGACGCAGTACGATGACACTAGTGATAAAATAGCAGTAAACTCAATAATGATAGCCAACGGAGTTACTGATGCGAGTAATATGTACTCTTCTGTTAAGTACTTTTTAGTGTAAAGTCCTTCTGTAAGATCATCTATACACAACATAATTAAGATGTTAAAATTCATACTGGTACTACTCGCATACTTTCAAGTAACATCAAAACTC